AGGTAGGTGAAGACCTCCAGGTATCTCACCTGGGGAAGGCAAAGCCAAGCCTGTGCTAATGGTGCTGCATAAGGTCCAGGGGGCTGCACGTGACCACGCAAAGGGCGCCCCCCATTTAATGTGGGGAGCGGTCATTCTGGGATAAAGTAATCCTGCCTTGCCTTCCTACAGCCTCTGAGAACCAGCAAATCCAGGGATCAATTGAGAAGCACCTTATGACTGGTTCAACAGGTCCTTATTAAGGAGAAGCCCAGTTGCAGCTGCTTCAACGATAACACCAGGAGCCCACCAGATCCCTTGTTTTGGCTAATCTGTAACCCAGAAGCACCAGCCACACACTGCCGGAACCCTCACTTCCTTCTTAACAGCCCTTGCTGCTGAGCATTGTGCTGCTCAGTCCACCATTGTGATCCTTCCTGTTTTGCTAATGCAGGGAATCCAGAGAAGTAGAGCCTTCCTAGCACTGCCATGTGATACCAACCCTGTTTTATGCAAGGACAACTTTCTGGTATCACTGAGGTTGGGTAGGAAGCTATTGTTTTTATTATTTATGTATTGCATTTACATCCCACCTTCTTTTCTCCAGTGAGTTCCAGGTGCTCTGCTTCCTCATTTCACAACAACCCTGTGAAGTAGGTTAGGCTGAGATGCAGTGTCTGACCCAAGTCACCCCATGAGCTTCATGGATGGCTGAGTGGGGATTTGAACCCTGGTCTTCTGGCTCCTAGTCTGACACTCTAACCACTACACCACATTGGGCCTTTAAGCAGCATCTTATAATTCTGGGCAACCCTGTATTGCCTATATTGTGTAATTGGGGAAGTGGCAGTGATGGGGAGAGCAACAGGAGGACTGTGCTTTTGATTTCCACATTTCAAGTGCTGTGGGGACTGCAAGCTGCGGCTTGTGCCATTGCAACCACCCCTGGTCCATAGGATGTGAGCTGCATGCAACCTAATTTGGCAGATGTTCTCATTTGTCATCAACAGAGCTCTGTGAGAGAACTCATTGTCATTTCATGTATACTGAACTGATGCAGGGCGTCAGTGTGATTTGAGCACACCTGCTCATCGAGTCCCTGGTTGACCCGCAGTCCAAATGAACTGCTTGCTTCAATCTGCTGACTGGATGCTGCTGTGTTTAATGTAAAACCTTTATTTACTTATGCTTAAATCCCCAAAAGGAGTTACAAAAGTGGGAAATAGGAGATGAGACACAATCAGTTTATTTAATAAATATGCCTATTTTCAAAGTATGCTTTTCTAACAGAGGGCAGATATTTCATTCTTTGGAGTTGTAAAGCTAACACACACACACACTTTCCCATCCACACTATTGAAGGAAGCAACAATATGTTGGCATGACCTCATGTTTTCCCCCCACCCTGGTTCCTTGGGCAAGGATATCGGCTCACATAATGTCTAGACATTGCTTAAGACTACACAGCAGCCCAGGCAATGCCTTGTTCTGCATTCGAGCACCACCCCAAAGTTAAATGTACATTGCTTTGAGCGAGAACAAGGGACGGGAGCCCTTTGCATAAATCCCAGATTTACATGGATAACGGGGCCTGACTCATTACGCGGTAAAGCAGACATCAGTGGGAGAGGGACTACTATTCAGTACAGACTGAAGCCAGATACATTACAACCAGCTATTCCATTGCAAATTCCTAAAATCAAAATTTAATTGAACATGGGTTTCAATTAAAGATTATAGATTGGCAACACTACATAAGAAGAACCTACTGGATCAGGGCAATGGACCATCTAGTCCAGCATTTGGTTCTGTGTGGTGTAGTGGTTAAGAACGGTAGACTCGTAATCTGGTGAACCGGGTTTGATTCCCTGCTCCTCCACATGCAGCTGCTGGGTGACCTTGGGCTAGTCACACTTCTCTGAAGTCTCTCAGCCCCACTCACCTCACAGAGTGTTTGTTGTGGGGGAGGAAGGGAAAGGAGAATGTTAGCCGCTTTGAGACTCCTTAGGGTAGTGATAAAGCGGGATATCAAATCCAAACTCTTTTTCTCACCATGGCCAATCAGATGCCTATAGGAAACCGGCAAGCAAGACCCAAGCACATCACACTACAGTGGTACCTTGGTTCTCAAATTTAATCCGTTCCGGGAGTCTGTTTGACTCCCGAAAAGGTTTGAAAACCAAGGCACAGCTTCCAATTGGCTGCAGGAGCTTCCTGCCCTCAATCGGAAGCCGCGGAAGCCATGTTGGATGTTCGGCTTCTGAAAAACGTTCGCAAACTGGAACACTCACTTCTGAGTTTGCGACGTTTGGGAGCTGATTTGTTTGGGAGCCAAGCCATTCAACTACCAAGGTACCATTGTACCTGGTATTCTCAGCCTTACCAGAAGATGCTGTGGATCGAACTGGGAACCTTCTGTATACAAAGCAGATGATGTACCACTGAGCTATGGCTCTTCCCTCAAATTCACTGCGTTTTAACCATAAACAACAGCGGGTTTCTTGATTGTTATTCTCTCACTGAGCTCACATAGAGCACAAGAAGGATAACGTTATTCATTTGGCAACATGCAGCAATGTTCCAGGAACCCAGCGCCAGGTGCCCAGTGGTACTTTATTGAAACGCCCAGATTCCACGAAGAGGTCCGGGACATTTAGCACCTTTTCCAGCACTGTTCCTTGTTGCCTTAACTGAATACATAAACCCTTTTGCAGCATAAGAAGTCTTGCTCTATGAAACAGGATAGGGAGGATGGATCTGAGAAGAAAGATGCTGTGAATTATAAATATTTTGGCACATGTGCGAAAGAAGTGTTGTTGTTTTCCATGTGAAAGAAAGCAGCAAATGTCACTTGTGGTCGAAGTAACAGAAGCAAAAACTTAAGTTTTTTCATGTAAGCTAAGTAAGACTTTCCTTGTCATGTTTCAGATTCAATTCAAATAAACTCTCAGGACCTCAATGTACTACACAATCAGGCAAAACCAGAACCTATAATAATCTTGATTCCAATCAGACGTGCTAATCTTCAAGAAGTACATTGTGGTGCAGGAAGATGTGAAAACTCATTTGGCTGCTGCACATCGGATAATTAACTGGTGAGGGTTATGTCTGCTTAGGGGGGAAAAGGGCAAAGGCTGCAAGAAAATGCAAAGGAGTGCAAGTGGCACATTTTCAGAAGTGCCCATAAATATTCATCAGACTTAAATGCCCAAGTTCCATTGTGTCTGAATGGGGTAGGTGACGTAGCAAAACTCAATGATATCTGTTAGATTGCAAAGTCACTTCTCGTCATTCTCATCAGTAACATATAGTTCTGAATTGCCATGATGACCATCACTGCATGATTAAAAAGCTATGAGTCAGCCAGGAAGGAGGACCAATAATGGGTGAGGAAAGAGTTAACATGATAGTTTAATAAGGTATAGGTTGTGAGGAGGCAAGATGGTTCACTTTTTACTTGCCCTTGCTCTTGTGTTATAACAGCAGTTTGATCCGACCTCCATGCAGTTTCACCTGTTGATTTCCACAGATCCGTCAACAGTTAAAGACATAGGAGCGGGCCAGACCTTTTTTTCTGATCAGTTGGCAATTCCTCAGTCAAGGCAGTCCTCCCTTGATTTAGTGCCAGGGAAAATTCTGGCCCGGAATAAATCATTGCTAATGGGAGATTGCCTAAATAGCAATGGGGTGGAAGAACTAGCCAATAGAAATGCAACGGGAGTTGTCAGCGATTCAAAGAGGCAAAAGTGCCATGGGATAAAGAGCATGTGCCAAAGACAAATGGAGAGGGATGCCATCCATAGGTGTTCCTCTAGTAGCCTTCGGGCACAACATGGACAACCTAAAGACCCCGCCATAGAACTGCTGTGTATGGCAATACTGGGCCCCAGTGCTGGGGATATACTGTCCCTCCCCCTACCCAAGACCAAAATGACCAGGATGATCTTGAGGCGGAGAATAAAGTCAAGGAGAATCCAATATATGAAATGCTATAGTAATAGGTGATTTCAATTGCCCTTACAAAAATTGGGCAAACGTATATTCTGATCATGACAAAGAGGTAAAATTTCTGGATATCCTAAATGACTACAGTGGTACCCCTGGTTACATACTTAATTCATTCCGGAGGTCTGTTCTTAACCTGAAACTGTTCTTAACCTGAAGCACCACTTTAGATAACGGGGCCTCCTGCTGCCGCCGTGCCGCCGGAGCACAATTTCTGTTCTCATCCTGAAGCAAAGTTCTTAACCTGAGGTAGTATTTCCGGGTTAGCGGAGTCTGTAACCTGAAGTGTATGTAACCTGAAACGTATGTAACCCGAGGTACCACTGTACACCCTAGAACAGTTGATTATGGAACTGACCAGAGGGGACATGAACAAATCTTGAACAAATCTTAAGTGGTGCCCAGAACCAGCTGTGAGTTGTAAGTGTTGTTGAACCAACTGGGAACAGTGATCACGATGCTATCAGATTAAATATCTATGTAAGGACGCAATTGCCAATAATGTTCAACGCAGTTACATTGGACTTCGGAAGAAGAATATTCTAAAAGATATGGAGATTGGTAAATGGGAAGCTTAAAGGGAAAGTCAAAAGGGTCAAATCTCTACAGGATGCTGGGGGGTGATTAAAATCACAACAATAGAAACTCAAATGTATACCACAGATCAGGAATGGTACCGCCAAGACAAAGAGGATGCCTGGGCAGGTCACATTAGTAGCTGGAGACTAACTAGGGAGGCAGCTGGACCATTGAATAACAAGTGAGCACAAGGTGTTCTGAATGAGGAAAAGTTTGGGGATGATAAGGGAGGCAGGAGAGGATATATTATTTAATGATATCCTTCCTAAGTTGTGCTAGCAAGTTCCATAATCTAGCAGAGTTCCAAACATTCCCCCTTTTAAATTACACAGCGATCAGCTTGTGGCTGACTCATCTGAGTCTTACTATTAAAGATTCCGTCCTGGTAAAATCCCTTCTAATCCCTCTTAAAAAGAATAAACACAATAATCTGATTAACGCTAATATAAAAGTAGTTTACTCACAGATTCATTCAGGTTCACAGACATATCGCTGAAGGCAGGCTTAGGTTACATAACAAGTAGAACTATTCCATAAAAAAGTTAGTCCCAAGTGTCTGAGACTAAGCAGTCACTTCTCCAAACATACAAAATGGAGAACACACACTGATCAGAACATGGCGGGCGTGTGCTCCTCCATGCTAGTACAAGAGACCACACAGGAAGTCTTCTCCTGAGTGGTACAGAACATTCCCTAATATGTCCACTGTAGGAATGTTGTACTTGACTGCAGTTTTACATCCCACAAAAAGGACATGTCCTGATTGGGGGCTTCCCACAGGCTGGCCACTATAAAACAATATGCTAGATTAGATAGGCCTTTGTTCAGGCCTCTTCTCATGTGGCATCCCATTCATTAAGGTTCAAAATCAGAGAGTGAATATACAAGGCGAACAGCTGATCATTCCTCTTTAATGATCAGTTGCTGAAAGACAACAACAAAATAACAACAAAAAGGGAGACATTTTGTTTTTCCGGGAGATGCGTTATTGTTAAGGTTGCAGTGCCATACTCACTTACTTATTAATAAGCCTTGCCAAACTTACTATTAAGTAGACACATTAAGTGCCGTAAATAAGCACTTAACAAATAAGTGCTGTAAATAAGTGTCTGTCAAGACAGCAAAAATACCACAACACTTTCAGAAAGTACACTATGCAGTGTTGTAGCACCCAAACCTCACATAATCAAAAAGGAGATCTTTCGGCTTGCTCAGTGCAAAACATGTTTCTATTTTAATTCAAGGGGTTGAAAACAACCCTCCCTGCAGCTTAGCATAGAACTTGGTGACAAAAACCATTGACAGAACTAGGAGTAAACCTGCGATGAAAACACGAATAATCTTAATTTAAGCACATTGAGATTATTTATTAAATGTAGACCACCCACCTTCTCCAAGAACCACAGAGCAAAACACAAGGTACTCCTGCATCTGTTCTATCCTCACATCAACCATGTTGAAGTGGGCTAAGCTGAGAGATGGTGTATGGCTCACACTAAAACAGGACATTTTACGGCAGAGGTACTCTTCATGCTCTAGGGAGGGTCTCCTCGTGAGCCACGAGGATGCTCTAGCTCTCTCCTGCCATTTCCTGATATGATTTTGTTTGTTTGTTTGTTTATGTCACGGCGTTGCATGCAAACACGGTTGCATGCGAGTAGAAAGCATGTAAGTGGGGCTGCCTGTACACAGGCCCATGACAAAAAAAATTGCATATATGAGAGAGATGCAAATTTAGGTCTCTAAGCAAGTTAAGGTTGGAGCTGGGACTTCACTGGCACTTCAGTACACCTAGCAATCCTGCAAGGAAGATTTAAAAGCAGGAGAGGAAGCACAAAAGACTCAAGGTATCTCCTAACACTACCCCTGGTTCAGTGCACAGACCTTAGGAGTTGGTAATGTGGAGTTCCATGCCACAAAGCAAACCTCTGTTAAAAACAATGGAGCCAGGAGACTTCGTCTGTGGCCTGCTGAAATGTCTAGTGAATAACCTGTGACCACAAGAGCTGTCTTTCTGACTGCTAAATCAGATTACCTTATCTGATTTCCACAAAATATAGGCTTGGCATTTTGTGAAGTTTCTCTTAAGGTTGCATTTAATGGTGGGGGCATGATGATGAACAGCATCAAGTCATTCCAGTGACTATAAAAAGCTCTTTAGTTTATTTAAGTTACATATGGGCTTCTGGGAAGCAAAAACCACAAGTCATTCATTACGGCAGATTCAGATAACTACTGACCAATCATCTTGATGTCAATGCCAGAAAAGGTCCCAGAATAAATAATTAAAGTGTCATTCTGCCAGCACTTAGAAAAAGATTGTGTGATTACTAAGACCCAGTATGGGTTTCTCAAAAACAAGTCGTGCCAGACGAATATCATTTCTTTTTTTGATAGAGTCACAAGCTTAGTGGATGAGGGGAATGCTGTGGACATAGTGTATCTTGCTTTCATTAAGGCTTTTGACAAAGTTCCCCGTGATATAATTGTGGAGAAGCTGGCCAAATGGGGGCTGGACAACGTTACTGTTAGGTGGATTTGTAGCTGGTTGACTGACCAAACCCAAAGAGTGCTCACCAATGGTTCCTCATCATCAACCTGGAAAAAAGTGACAAGTGCGGTGCCACAAGGTTCTGTCCTGGGCCTTTTGTTGTTCAATGTCTTTATAAATGACTTGGATGAAGGAATTGAAGGGATGCTCATGCAATTTGCAGATGACACCAAGCTAGGAGGGTTAGTTAATGCTGTAGAAGATAGAATCGGGATAAATTGCAGTGGAAGCAACAGGACTTAGTTTGGAGTCAGACTGGAGTTAGGCAGTGGCGTCACAACGGGGGGCGGGGGGGCAATGCCATGTCTGGGGGGGTGACAAGAAGGCACCCCGCGGGGACTCGTGGCAGCGTGAGCAGTCACCGCGGTGGCACAGCCGCATGTGGAGGATCCTCCGTTCGCGGCTGCAGCCGCGAGCAGAGGATCCCGGTGGCAAACCGCTATGTACAGAGCATGTGTGGTGTCGCAAGCATGCACTGTACGTAATGACACCGCACATGCGCTGTACATAGCTGTTTGCCGCCGCTGCCGCTTCAGCGCCATAAGGACGGTGGTGGGATCCCTCCGTTGCCGCTATAGCCGCATGTAGAGGATCCTCCATTTGCGCTACAGCCACGAGCAGAGGATCCCGGTACTGTCCGTACGGTGCTGGCAAACCGCTATGTACAGCACATGTGCAGCGTCATGTACGGCGCATGCGTCTTACATAGCGATGCCGCACATGTGCCCTACGTAGCAACACCCCACCCCGGGTGTCACGACGCCTTCGTTCACCTCTGGAGTTAGGATCAGGATATTAAATTGTTGGGCATTATTAAAACGACTCTTACCGTATCTGAGATAATGAAAGACAAAATAATGTTACTTTTTCGCATATCAACAACCACCCATAATTAAATTATGAAAACTGCTGACATAAGAAGCTGCCTTATACCACATCAATCCACTGGTCCACCTAGCTGAGAATTGTCTACAGCAGTGGTTTTCAACCAGTGTGTTGTGGCACCCTGGTGTGCCTCGAATGATGGTCAGAGTGTGCTGTGGGCAACACTGGCCTCTGTCCCTCTTTCCTTCCCTCCCTCCTCTGAATACCCTCTTGCGTCTCTGCCTCCCAAAGGCTTGCACAGCTGTTTGTTGCAGCAGCCCTGGCTACAGGCTCCCCAGGCGAATGGTGCCTCTGGGGCCAGCGGGGGGAGGGTTCCAGGCCCCTGTGGGACAGCGTGAGGAGGCCCCTCTCTTTGTGGCGGCGGGGGGGGGGGGGGAGACAGCTCAGAGACCAGGCGGCAGCTGTGTTTGCTCAGAGGACTCCAAAAGAGAGGGGAGAGGCAAGGAGGCTGAAGGAACACTCCATAAGGGAGGGTGTTTGAAAAAGGGTGAGAGGCTGCCAGCTCTGCAGGCAAGGGGGGACGTAACTGGGTTCCTGAGCCCAACAGGGGTGTTGCAGAAGGAATGCAGTTCGTCAAGGGAGCCGTGGACTCAAAAAGGTTGAAAAGCATTGGTCTTTAGGGACTGGCAAGGGCTCTCCAGGGTTTTATATGTAAACCATTTGCAGCCCTACCTGGGGATACTAGGGATTGAATATGGGATCTTCTACATGCCAAGCAGATGTTCCACTACTGAGCTATAGCATCTAACTGATTGGAAAAAGGATGCTAGGCTGGATGAACCCTTGCTCTGATCCAGAGCAAGAAGAACACTCTTCTTGTGTTCTTCCGGCATTGTATCAAAAATAAGGCTGCATCTACACAATAGATGGTAAGCAGTATCATACCATTTTGAACATTCATGGCTCCCCCCCCCCAAAAAAAATCCTGGGTTCTCAGAGTTCTTAGGAGACTCCCTTTCCCCCTAACTGAGCTACAATTCCCAGAGTGGTTTAACAGCCAATCTCTCTTCCCAGGGAACTCTGGAAATTGTAGCTCTTTGAGGGAAATAAGGGTTTCCTAACATCCTTCACAAACCACAGTTCTCAGGATTCTTTGTGGGGAAGCCAGGACCGCTTAAAGTTCCATGATACTGCTTTAAGTATATGGTGCAGACGGTGCCTAATACCCAGATAATGGGTCATAGCTTTCTTATCCTGCAGAGAAGAGCCTTTTCTCAACCCAGCGTGCAGCCTTATTGATTGGCTGGTTCTAAGCAGAAAGAGATGTAATTGTAAATAGCAACAAGCACAGCAGGTAAAGGTCTCTTTCCCAAAGGTTGAGCTATAAATGTACCGACTGCTATTTGTGCATTGATCTTCTAAGTGCACACACACACACACGGGGAAATGGGGGAGTTTGGGGGAGTGAGAAAGATTCAGTGGTGCAGTCACGACAACCACAGGTTTTGCAATAGCATTTCATGCGCTCTTAAGGCTGGAAGATAAGGACATGCACAAGACTGAGGGCCTAGGCATGATGAAACATTTTATGAACTACATTTGAAAGCAGTTCCTATAATTGTCAGGTGAACTGAACATGAAGATTTGTAAAATAATAATTTCTAGTTCATCTAGTTTATTAAGGAATAATCTCTACCTTCTCTTCAAGTTCATTCTCTTACATCCTCCCCCCCCCTTTAGATTCTTTTAATGGGGTAGGAGAGCTAAAATAATAATAATTCACGTCTGGTAACCAATGCGCCCCTTTGGTTTCAGACAGTACATGGATAGAAGAGTCTTAAAAACCCAGAACAAATTTTCATAGTACTCTAGCTGTATATATTTTAGTCTGGGAGGCTTGGTTTGGTCAGACTCGAGTATACACTTTCACAGTTAATGCTAAATACATTACAGTGGTACCTCGGTTTATGAACTTAATCCGTTCTGGGGATCTGTTCTTAAACTGAAACCGTTCTTAAACCGAGGTGCACTTTCCCTAATGAGGCCTCTCACTGCTGGTGCCTTTCCACCGTTCGGATTCCGTTCTTAGACCGAGGTAAAGTTCGCAAACTGGGACAATACTTCCGGTTTTGCAGAGTTCCGGTTTTGCAGAGTTCCGGTTTTGCAGAGTTTTGCAGAGTTCGTAAACTGAATCGTTCGTAAACAGGGCTGTTTTTAAACCGAAGTACCACTGTATTTCTGCTAAATGAGTCACCATAACTGCTAGAGGGGCATGAAAATTTGTGTCCTGGGCTTTTCAGACTCACCTACCTATGTACTACCTATGTAGGGATGCGGGTGGCACTGTGGGTTAAATAACAGAGCCTAGGACTTGCTGATCAGAAGGTCGGTGGTTCAAATCCCCGCGACGGGGTGAGCTCCCGTTGTTCAGTCCCTGCTCCTGCCAACCTAGCAGTTCGAAAGCACGTCAAAGTGCAAGTAGATAAATAGGTACCGCTCCGGCGGGAAGGTAAACGGCATTTCTGTGCGCTGCTCTGGTTCGCCAGAAGCGGCTTAGTCATGCTGGCCACATGACCTGGAAGCTGTATGCCGGCTCCCTCAGCCAATAAAGCGAGATGAGCGCCGCAACCCCAGAGTCGGTCACGACTGGACCTCATGGTCAGGGGTCCCTTTACCTTTACTTACCTATGTACTATCTGGTACATTGGTTGCCAGATGTGAAATATATTGGCATTCTTTTCAGCTCTCCTACTCCACTATTTGGGCCATTAAATTTAAAGTTCATAATTGTTAGGAAAAATAAAGGAAACAATTCACATCCCCGTATGGTTTTTTAAAAAAATGTTTTCTAAGTATTCTTTTGTATATGTTATACTTCAGCACAGCAGCTTGTAACATTCTGAATGCCGCAAAAAACCCCACAAAACCCTGCCAAGCATCATTTGGAGGACATTTCAGCTTGTCCCCCTGCAGAAATGCTTTGAATGCTATTTTTAAACAGAAAGATTCTCTAACCATGTCACCTTTGTTACATTTCCTCTATTGTAATCATTGTTTAAAAAGCAAGAAAGATATTTAAAGTGTACCTGCTGCAGACCACAAGCAGGCTACTCATTGAAGTTTGCTTAAAAGATGGGGGTTATTTTTAAAAGCATTGTAAAAATTATACATCTGTAATATTTTAAAGGGCATATTGAAGAATAGAGATGGGCTCACTGAAACGTTTCTTGAAGATCAGATGAAAGATATCCAGTAAATCTTAACAGGAATTCTTTGTTAAATTTCTGACGTCAGACTCTTCAGAACATTAAAGGTAAGGTTGTAAATTTTATCATTGGCAAATTCATTGAAAATGGACAGCGTTTTCTCATTTTATGTAACTGTGCAGTTAATGCCATCCACATCCCTGACAACCCCAAGAGTACTCTTAGGACTTGCATCCTACAAATTGCTCCCTAATGCAAGTCCCTCTGCTTACTTTTCCCATTTTCTCCACCTTGCCTTGCTCTTTGAAAAATTATTTCAAGCCAGGTGCTAGAATTGCTCAGGAGACAAACAAAATCATCACAGGGGTCTCAAAAGGATGCAAGACGAGTCGGACCAAAGGGCCCATCTTAGTACATCATCCTTTTGGACTAATGCAACAGCTTCCACATTTGTTTCTGGATTGTGAGCCTAGCAAAAAACTAAGGGCCGAAGTATATGTTACATAAACACGTCACTGAAACAGACATGTAGGGTTTTAGGAGCCCGGGAAGCTGCCTTACACCAAGTTAGACCATTGATTCGTCCATCTGATTCAGTATTGTCTGCACTGGCAGGCAGTGACTCCCCAACATTTCAGAAGAAAGACTCTTCCAGACCCACCTGAAGATGCTGCGGACTGAATTTTGGACTTCTTGCACACAAGACACATACTGGGTATCACTGAAAGTGACCCTTCCTCTGAACTTTCATCAACTGAGGGTAGGGTAGGGGTGATAATTAAGGAGATCAGAGCAGGTATGAAGGGAACATTGAACTCTTTCCTCCCTTTTGGAGGCAAATCTGCCTTCTGAAACTTGCAGTGTGGGGATTCTCTCTATTGGCACCAAATTCCCCGCAAAGATGTTTGTAGTTTTTTTTAGGTTTTTATTGTGTTCATTCAGATACCAACCCTGCTACAATATACAATGTTGCCAGGTTCTGTATAGCAGCGTTCAAAATTCATCAGTTGATGACCTGTGCCGCAAACTAGATTTAATGAACACCCATATCAGAGTGCTTTGTACATTGATAGTCATAGCCTTTTATATACTAACCTTTTATGCTCTTCCACATCCATTTAATGCTCCTAACCCTTCATTTAGATTCTTTTAGCTTCTCTTAGTCTTTTATATATACCTTCTGTTTTAATAATTTTAGCTTTCCAAAAGCTTTTTACAGATTCTAAATGACTGTACCCCACTCTACTTATGCTGGTCTATGACCGTAATAAGGATTTGATTGATTATTGTGTTCACTGTACTACGTTTTAGTACGGTGGTACCTCGGCTTACAAACACCTTGGGTTACAAACACTTTGGGTTACAGATTCCACTAACCCGGAAGAGGTACCTCGGGTTAAGAACTTTACCTCAGGATGAGAACAGAAATCGCATGACGACGGCAGCGGGAGGCCCCATTAGCTAAAGTGGTACCTCAGGTTAAGAACAGTTTCAGGTTAAGAATGGACCTACAGAACGAATTACCGTATTTTTCGCTCTATAAGATGCACCAGACCACAAGACGCACCTAGTTTTTGGAGGAGGAAAACAAGAAAAAAAATATTCTGAATCTCAGAAGCCAGAACAGCAAGAGGGATTGCTGCGCAGTGAAAGCAGCGATCCCTCTTGCTGTTCTGGCTTCTGTGATAGCTGCGCAGCCGGCATTCGCTCCATAAGACTCACACACATTTCTCCTTACTTTTTAGGAGGGAAAAAGTGAGTCTTATAGAGCAAAAAATACGGTAAGTTCGTAACCAGACTATTGTGTTTGTAAGTCACTTTGAATAATTTCAACAACTAAACAGACACCATCATGATCTAATGAGGTCCCTGCACATGTGAAGCATCCCTGTATTAAATAAACAGTTCAAAAACAGTTGTAATGACTAAAGGGATGCAGCTCCCAGTAGCTATAATTCTGCCATCAAGAAATGCAAACATGGTAAGGACAGTTTGCAGGCTAAATGTTTCTTCACTGAGCAATGAAGGTGAACAAGCTCAAGGTGCCACAGCTTCTTTCTCCTTGAAGTGAACTTTCAAATGGATGGAGTATAATTTGATTGCCTCAAAGTTTTTTTCCCATTCAGAGTAATTTGCATTGTACACTTCACCTGTGTAACAAGATCACAAAGTGCTGCTTGTCATGGCCTGCTGAAGCTTCTGTCTGCACACCAATTTCTGCAAGTTATCCAACAGAGTTAAAATATTGAAGGAAGGCAACCGTAAACATTGCTTGCGCTATTTTGAGCCACATGACAGTAAAGACTCTTAATGGAATTAGGCGGAGTGTGAAGCTCTGATCAGAATGTTAATGTTTCCACAATATACATTAAGGACCTTTTCTTAAAAAAACAAACACAAAAAACTTCAATCCATGGAAAGCTGCATCTTTTCAGTGCAGGTGTACCAAGTGCAGATGGCAGCCTTCCCCAGCATTGCTAATTGCTAAGAGGTGTAGTAATATAAAGGAGTTTTAAAAAATGCCCTGTACCCTCACGTCACATAAAATACTAAGGCTACAATGCTACCTGGGAGAGGGCACTGTGGATACAAAGCTGGTTTTCCTGACTTGTCCTATGCCCTGCTGGGCTGCGTGTGTGTGTGTTTGCATTAAAAATGTTTCCTCTCCCGTTGGTAATAACAGAAGGGAAAGATTTAGACACATTCAGAAATGTGTTAAAAATTCATTCAAAGGTTTGTTCAGTGGTGACATGATGAGCCTCTAGTGTCCTTCAGCTTGCTCCCAGCTGCTTCGTAGACACCTGAAAAGTTCAAGGTTGGAAATCTAGCTATTGGCTGCATTTTATTTTTTTAATTTTTTAATGTTTTAATGTTATATTTTAATCTTGTTTTTAAGTTGTATTTCAATCAATTTGTTTTTATATCGGTTGTTAGCCGCCCTGAGCCGGGTCTTGGCTGGGGAGGGCGGGGTATAAATAAATTATTTTTATTTATTTATTTATTTATTTATTTATTTATTTATTTATTTATTATCACCACCAAAGAAGCTCATTCATTGTTCAGGGTTGATCTCATTTTCATGTCATCTTCTGGAGTTTGTCCAAATATTTTTTTGGGGGGAATATATAATTTTTATTAAAGGTTTTCTTGGTTTACAAAAGTACATGCATTGTCTCTTTTTTCAGGTTGTAAAGTCTTTTCTACAGATCAGTTACATTTGGTATGAGACATTAGTGTTGTGGACAGTATAAGGTCAGGAGGAAGAAAGAGGGGAGAGCAGGGGTGGTGAAACTTCTATTCTTTTACATAGTGTATGTGTGGGGTTTTGTGCCAGCATCAACTGGATAGGTTCTTTTTCTCTTTGTTTATTACATAAATTTTTTGGCATTTATGTTGCAGCAGGAGGAATAGTGGTGCTTGTGTCTTCCTTCTTAGAAGCACTGAGTCAAACCCTCCCTCTTGCTTCATTCAGTGACTCTTTCCTACAAAACCTCTGGCTCATCCTAAACAGAATTTGCTTGCCTTTGTGAACTCACAAACCAATGTCCAAAGCACATAACTGAAAAGCCTTCCATTCCCATACTGCATTTTGGATTTAATTTCAATCCATTTTTTGGTTCAATTACTGCCATGCAAACATTATCAGTTTTAATAGCTTTGCACAGGAGTAAATGAATGTGGCTCTGATTTCCCCCGCAACCACTTCTTTTCTTTTTAATATCTCTGTTCTACTGTTCTCTAACGTCCTCCAGCCATTATTGATCCACCCAATTTCCTGTTCCTGTCTTTCTCTCACTATTAAAGCCATTCTCATTTAGGTCCCCACCTGTTCATAATGAGCACTTGGGTTGTTTCATTTAGCAGAATTAGGAGTTTCCATCTTTCCTAATCAAAACCCTGTCATTATCATCACCAAGATATGTGAACCAAGTTGGGGATGAAGTTACATGAATGCTAAAAAGGAACTTGCCAAAGCATTTCATGTCCAAGGACACTTGTGATAAACCCTTGAGAAGTTATCACTGGAATCCGTGCCAAATCAAATTCATTTGTTGTTAACCATTTACTGTATGGCACAACCCAAAGGCCTCAAAGAGCTCACATTACAGCGTATGCACACAGCTTGGTCTACCTGTTGCAGTTTCCCAGATGCTTGATCCAACCCATTTTTGTGAGCAGAGGGGATTTCGATGTTACTCCTGATTGCTGTAATAACTGTATACCTGAAGGAGCATCTCCACCCCCATCGTTCAGCCCAGACACTGAGGTCCTCCTTTGAGGGCCTTCTGGTGGTTCCCTCCCTGTGAGAAGTGAGGTTACAGGGAACCAGGCAGAGGGCCTTCTCGATGGTGGTGCCTGCTCTGTGGAACACCCTCCCATCAAATGCCAAGGAGATAAGTAACTATACAGCCTTTAGAAGACACCTGAAGGCAGCCCTGTATAGGGAGGTTTTTAATGTTCAATGCTTTATTATGTTTTTGTATATGCTGGAAGCCACGCAGAGTGGCTGGGGCAACCCAGTCAAATGGGTGGGGTACGAAGAAGAAGAAGAAGAAGAAGAAGAAGAAGAAGAAGAAGAAGAAGAAGAAGAAAGTTTTAACTGTTTTAACGGATAGGTTGTATTCCTCACAGAGGAAAACAAAATCAAGGCTTTATACTAAAAGTGCTCTATACTACTATTTTTTTTTCACCTAATACTTCTAAGCATTATACTTGCCATTCTTGCAGCTGTGTCATGTTGGTGGCTGATTGCCACTTTGTGATCAACCAATATCCTGAAATCATTTTCTCTGTGGGTTGTTTTTAACTACTAATTCGGCAGGTAACAAACATCTTTTATTGTTTGCTTCCAAATACATGGCCTTACATTTTGCAATGCCCATTTTCATTCCATTTCTATCATTTCAGTTCATGAGGCCATCCAATTAGTCCCGCGTAATTTCTCAGTCCTTTGGAGAATTACAGTACCTTCTAAGTTAGGGTCATGTTCAGGTTGCAACAGCACACTCCCACGCTCTTCCTGTGGTTATTAATAAAAATGTTTTCATAAAGCAGGCCTTAATACGGTTCCCAAAGGACCTCTGCTAGCATCTCCTCTCCAAACTGAAACTTTTCTGTTTCCCAAACTCATGGTCTTATAAAGTTATAAAGCTAAAGCCTAGATAATAAAAGCTCAGTGTTACGTTTCTCCTGTTCCTTCCTAGCGGCACATTATATTTTGGCTTGACTGTAAACAGCAAGTCTATGAAATTATTTTGACATGTGTTTGTTCTTGATCATTTCCACGCTTTTCCATTTTACCACCCCTGTTGTAGATTTTGGGAAAGTCACCTTTTTGCAGAGATCTATTGATGGTAGTGATAGCAGCTATGGATCAAGTTTCATAATAGGAGCACTTGCATTTTGAAACCTGGGTGCCTGGTGACTCTATGGGATTTAACTTAAATTTAATCTAGTGTGTCTGATGGCAAAACACTGCCTCACAATGAAAGACACATAGGCACATATCTTTCCTTGTGAGGCAAAGTTTTGCTATCAGATACATGTGATCCTAAACAGGGCTTTTTTCCCCAGCCAGAACTCAGTTCCGGCACCTCTCAGGTGGGCGCCATTGCCATTCTAAGAGAACGAGGGAGGTGATAATGATGAATTCTGGCACTTCTTTTTCTAGAAAAATAGCACCGATCCTAAAATGTGCAATAAAATTTCTTCTTTTTTTTGCACACAAACCCACACATGATGCCACTGCATGCAGATCTCCCAATTATGTCTTCTGCACATGCCACATAGTGCAGGATTCCAATGCATGCAGAAAGATAAATGGTCTGGGCAGCTGAGGGAGAAGAGATCCACTTTCCACTTCCAAATTCACAAGGCTTTTGCTATGCAGGAGCACACTACTCAGGTGCGCTAGTCACTCTTGAACCCAGTAGCGAATGACTGTTCACTAGTGAAATCAAAGGCAAGTGGCTATTTTGGGGGGGCACCCTAACCTGGTGTTCTCCAGATGTTGATGGACTACAACTCCCATCATCCCTGACCACGGGGATCAGCTGGGGCTGATGGGAATTGGAGTCCAACAGCATCTGAAAACCACAGATGAGTCACTGCTAGGCTATTCAGCTATCCACCTATGCGGTTGCTTCCTGCACCTTCCGACACACACAGTTGTTCTTGTACCGCACTTTCTGGTGCACAACATCTTTGGATTGGGACTACTACTGCAACTTTTACTGCTTGCTCTTCTGAGCGTTTACAGGACTGAGGTGCCAGCCAAAACAAAGGGAGCAACGCATCTGCATGGTTTCTCTCCATTTCCCCTTGCTCCTAACTCAGACCTAAACTTAGATACATGCTGAAGAAGCTTGTTAATTGCAGCTACACTACATGACACCACTGGGATGTTCTTTGGCAGGGTCTGCAGGGCAAGGGTGGATCGACGGCGCAGTGCAAAATGCAAGAGGTCTGTACTGCCAGCAACAACACTAAAGGCACCTCTTCTCAAAAGGTGGCCTGCTCAGTTAGTTCTGTCTCTGTGACGACTTTTGACCCTTCATTATCTGTTACCCAGTGATCCCCTCCCAGCGTGGATGTCTCTATCCGTACTGGTCTCTGCCAGCCTGTTGTTCATAATGCCCAAAGCGCCTACGCCACCAGCAAAACCGTTTTGTCTAGAAGCGATGCTTGCTCTGGGGCAGCCGTTGGCACTGTCGGACAACTGTTTTTGCATGATGGCCAGTGACACTTTGTTAGACGCTAAGAGGTCTTTCATCGAGATCATCTCGCCGGACAGCCTGCGCCCATCTGCCTCACTCTCGAGGACACCATCTGACTCGATGGATATGTTGCGTTGGTTCCGGGCAACTCCTGGCACCACAACATTCCTTCGCGACCGGAAGAGTTTTCTTTGGCACCTATGGCACGTGTTGTCCAGTTTCCTTAATATCCAATTCACAGACTGCTTGATGACGATGGAGATCACGTTAAAGAGGGAGTAGATGCAACAAACCCCCATGAGTACGAACAGGAAATTGCCAAATTGGTAAAGGCCTCGGTTCTCATAGTGGGTGTTCTGGCCACTCACCAGGTCGCCAAAACCAATGGTGCTGAAGGCCACAAAGCAAAAATAAAGCGAGTCCAAATACGTCCACCCTTCCATGGGAGAGTACAGAGCAGAGGCACAACAGGAAACAATGACGGACGCAATGCACAAGATAAGCATGACGTAATATACGGACGGCTTCCATCCTGCCAAGCTGTCCACTTCGGCGGTCCCAGGAGTGTGATGGCTGTCTTGGGCAAGGCCCCCCCTCCGCCTCAGTTGCCTCTCGCGGCAGGACTTCATGACATAGGCTATGATGGTGATCAAGCGCTCCAGGAACAAGTTGAAGAACAAAATGGTCCCTGCACAGCCTATAAGGCCATAGAATATCAGGAAAAGCTTGCCTGTGACAGTGGCCGGTGTGGTCATGCCAAAACCTGGAAGACAAAAACAACAGGGAAAAGTCACATGGGCAAGACTTCTCAGTGGCACAGAGGAACAGGCAAAGGGAAAGGGAAGCCATTTTAACATAAGAATCTTTATTTACGTATTTTGTGATTTTATGTTGTGAACCACCCTGAAACCTGTGGGAACAGGGCAGTATACACATTTAATAAATCATCATCGTCATCTTTAGATGTGATCTCAGTAACAGATAGGAATCATCATAATCATCCATGTAATGTTCTTGAGTGCTTCATAAACTTGATCTAGTATTTGTTACAACAGCCCTGCAAAGGGTATTATCTCCGTTTTGCAGATCGGCGACTGGGTCTGAAAAAGTGTGGTTGTAAATTGGAGTTGGGTAGCACCAACAAGATCTGAGTGGTTGGTTGACTTACTGGGATCCATCTCCTCCTATTCTTGGAGATTTAGAGATTAACTTTAAATAACTTTAAATGACACATTTATCTAAATTGCTCGTACTGTTTCTTCACATTTTATTACTGTATTTTTCTGTGCATTGGACAACCCCCGTTTTTTGACACAAAAATCATGTCAAAAAACTGGGGTTGTCCAATACACTGATAGTGGCATGGGGGGAGGGAGATGTCACTGCACGCGACGAGCGATCTGGGGGCACTAGTGGCTGGCTGGCTAGAGTGCAACTTCCCTTGATGCTGTTGAGCACAGGAAACGATCTAGGGAGTGTTTCCTGCCCACAGCTACATGGGGGGAGAGGCTCAACAACTTTGGGCCATCTCCCCTCATTTTCTTAAAATTGATTCCCCCAAAATAGGGGGGAGTCTTATATATGGGGGGTGTCTAATAGCCGAAAAAGTACGGTAAGTTACCTGCTGGTCTTTTCCATCCTTCTAGGAAGGATGGGCTGGAGGTCACATACACTATTTGGAAGGTGGGTGGAACGGCATTATCCCCTGCACTCTTCCATTCCACTATAATTTAAGACAAAACAAAAACTGACCCCATAGTTCCCCCAAGAGGGGTTCTAAAAGCCCTAATGGTGTGTTCTCCCTCACACAGTTAGCAGTTATGCAAAAGACCCGCCTGGTTTGATCCCTGACTTTTCCAGGTAGGGATGGGACTCATCTGAAATCCTGGAGAACCTCTGTTGGTCCGATTAGACCAGGAGAGAACATCTGGTTCTCTCCAGATGTTTTGTGACTATAACCGCCATCACCCCTGAATGCTGGCTGGGGTTTATGCGAGTTGTAGTCCAACAACATCTGGAAGGCACTGTGTTGGCTACCCCTAAATTAGACAACAGTCAGCTAGCTGAACCAATGGTTTGACACAGTACGGGGTAACTTCCTGTGTTCTATGCATCTGAATGTGGTGGCATACCTGTAGTACCTAAAGTAAAGTGGATGGCTGTAAGCGGCAGTATCTTTTCTACTGTGAATTGTCTCTTGAGGCAGACTTGCTGGGCTTGTGCCCTTTAAGGAGAGGAAAACATCCCCCCCCCCACATTTCTTCGGATATTTGGCAACAGTTATATATTTACCCATATTTATTGTTGAAGCTCCTTGCTGTGGTTGTTTTGTGAGGATTGACTGAAGCTACTAAGTTTGATGAATCAGGCTTTGGAATATTTATTGTTGATTTAAATATCTGGCAGGGCCAAAATAACAGCATATAAATGTGAAAATCAAGCAATCAGTCAGAGGCAACCGGACTCTTTCAGATCAATCAAAACTATGTGTAGACATTTGTTTCAGTTCACGCCTAGTAACTTTAGATTTGCAGCCTTTGTCTTCAATTCAATCAGAGCATTTGGATTTAGGTCGAGTTTGTGCTATAAATCTGCTTCAATCTAGTACAGTTGCTTGGTATACTGTCATTTATATCACGGGACATAGTTGTTCCTCCTGGAATTGCTGCTTCTTTTTACCTCGGTGGCTTCCAAATGTTTGCTGGCCATTTTTTGTCTCCTCCCCAGCATAAGGAGAACTTGGGATCCGCAAAGAAAATAAGATTTTTCTTTCTCCCCCTTTTCCTAGAAATGGAACACAGTGTCCCAAGCCCTCAACTTTGAGATTAGAAACTGACATGGGACTTTACAAAACTGAGGCCCTCGTTGGTAGAGAAGAGAGCATAATGATACTAAGAGACAGTTACAGTTTATCTTACATTTTGTCACCCTGAAAGTCTGTAATTTGGGGAGGACAGAGTGCTAGGCTCCCTTTACTTTCCCAGAGTTTGATCTAAGTCATTGCCTCCTATGCTTTTGCTAAACTAACAAGGCAGTAGATAATATTCACCAAAAAGCACATCCCTTATTGCAACGTGAGGTCTTTGTCCTGTACATTGAAGAGTGTTAAGAGTTTCCTTTGAGCTCCTGTCTGCGGTCTCTCTTGGCAAGGTTCCTGTGCTCCATTAATTACAGCAATGTTCATGTGGGTGTGTAATATGCTAAGCAAAGTGTATTTGAGTTCTGTGTTGTTAGCCAAAAATAAACAAATCCCTAGATTAATATAGGAATTAGATACTCATGACAGTACCACAGCTTATATTATTACACTCAGTTTTATTCTGGTAATTTGTATCTTCATTATTTTTGGTGGGCAATGAAGCATACAGCCACTGTGGTGTTGTGGTTAGTGTGTTGGGAGACCAGGGCTCAAATCCCCAATGGACCACAAAGCTCACTGAGTGAGCTTGGACCAGTCATTGTCTCGCAGCCTAACCTACCTCATAGGGTTGTTGTGGGGATGAGAAAAGAAAAGAAAAGGGAGAACCACGAACCACATTGAGCTCCTTGGCGGAAAGACAGGATGTAAATATAATTAAGTAAATCATTTTTATGTCGGTGCAAGGCAGGGGTTGTGTTTTGTTGCAGCACCTTGATTGCCCTCTATCTTCTTAGAAGCATTCCATTTAATTGGGAGAACTAACTTGATAGTAGCTGGAAAGCCCCTTCAAAAATTTCAAAATTACCCACCTCCCCAATTCTGCTTTCCTATGAAGAATGAAGAGGTCAAATGTGCAGATAGCACAGGCACTAAATGTTATGTTTTTTGACTACCTTGAGTATTGTGAATGGGTCTATCACCAGACAGCTGACTGGTGATCATGGACTTTAGGTAGAAAGCTGCAATTTTCCTTAAAGGCTGTTATTATCTTTTGGGTGTCTCAGCCTTCAAATCTGAATTAGGCCAGAATCAGAAGTTTTAGCTGGATTTGGCTGAAACTGGGACAAAAGTGCTAAATTTCCAGAACCTTAAGCATCATCAGCAAGTCCATTGCCTGCTTTAGGAGTAAAATTGCTTCTAAAAACCCTGGGTTGGTTAAAAAAGGTGAGTGTTATGTTGGTTAAAGGAGCATAGGGACTTTCCCTTCCTCACATATGGCTTAAATTCCCAAAGTGGTTTAACAGTCAATCTCTCTTCCCAGGGATGTCTGATACCATAGTATTTTTGTGGCTTTACTACAGGCTTCCTCAAACTCGGCCCTCCAGATGTTTTGAGACTACAGTTCCCATCTTCCCTGACCTGCTAGCTATGGCTCATGGGAGTTGTAGGCCAAAAACATCTGGAGGGCTGAGTTTGAGGAAGCCTGTTTTACTGCATATGGGGAAAATGAACAACTTACATTCTCTGGAAACAATCAATTTTTAACAATGTACAAATGCATTGCAGGGGGTTGAACTAGATCAGGGGTCAGCAAACTTACTGCTCCTCAGGCTGGTGTCTCCAGCGCTGATTGCGCAGTGGGCCGGAGGGCAGGGGAGCGTGTGCCCATACGCATTCGCACATGCTATTTCCTGCGCACTTCCGGGTCAGAGGAGCACTGGAAATAGCTTGTGCGCATGTGCACAGGCCTCCTCCGACCTGGATGTGCACCGGAAATAACACATGTGCATGTGCAAATAACACTTGCGCATGCGCAAATAATACTTGTGCATGCGCACAAGCTGTTTCCGATTCTCCTCCGACCCGGAAGTGGGCAGCCACGCAACGCAGTGCCGGTAAGAGCGGGCGTCGGGGGTCGCTGCGGGCTGGATAAACGAATCCCTTGGGCCTTATCTGGCCTGCAGGCCTTAGTTGGGGGACCCCTGAACTAGATGATCCTTGCAGTCCCTTCCAACTCTATGATTTTATGATTCTGTGCTCTGCTTGGAAACCTGCACAGCAACAGATATGGCAAGACAATGTGACTCTCCAGTGCTCTCCCATTACAAGGAAACTGACCCTGTGAACACCCTGGAATGTTCTCCTGCATGCCGAAAAGAGGAGCAGGTCTGTTTCATAAGAACATTCACCCAGCATCCAGCTTTCCCACACCGAACTCTTTTGTGTCTCAGTGGATTTCCTGCATCAGCCAGGGAGGTTGGACTTGATAGCCTTTGGGACACACCAGAATCACAGGGTCGGAACGTAATTATTTCACTTCATTTCCATTTCTCCTCGTGGTGGACCTGATGATATCTGCACGACTGTGTGGCGCAGTTGTTTCTTTGTCTTTGTTCTTACACAAAGGAACACTGCACTCACTTTTTAATAACTGGGCTATTTTAAAAAGACTCCAATTTAAATGATGCAGGGACACAAATATGAAAACAACTGGATACCCTTTCGCTTGATTATTAAGCAAAATATGCCTGCTAGAAGTAACATATGAAGCATCCCCCACACTGAATTAAACACCTCCGCTTCTTTATCAGAATATTCTGTCAGCACAGATAAATGGAAATACAGGATGCTAAAAAGTATCAGGTGTTTGACGATGGGCTGAAGTATGATGAAGTGAAGATAGCCTTCCTTTTCTCATTTACAGAACCATTACTGCTAATCTGTGCTCATTTTCAGAGAAAAATGAGCACATTTGCACTAGTTCACATCCACATGGGCGAAACTCTCCTTGCTTGCTTGGTTTGTTATTTGCCAGATAAGGCCACAGTCACACACCACATATTTAAAGCACCATGATGCTACTTTTAGGCAGTCATGGCTTCCTCCAAAGAAGCTGTAGTTTGTTTACCTAGCTGACTGGTGGAGAGCAAAGCCGTATTTAATCAAACATTAGAAAGACAAAATATTTTTGCTCATGTTTGGCTTTATAAATTAGTTATTAAAATACTGCATTAATTATCTGGCACGTAGCAAGCCAGGAAAATACTCCAACAACTGAAAATGCAACACACCCACAATTTATCCAAACACTTCCTTTCCAAAATTAATTGTGCGGCTTCATGCCAGTGTACTACTCAATAACTCAATTTCCCCAAACGCTTTGATTAAAAACATATTACATGTTCAAAAGGAGTGTTATGAATGCCTCTAATGTATGCTTCAGAACACGCACGGAACACATTACATTTCAAGTTTAAAGCACCATATAACTTTCCAGCAAGAGCCCAAAGGGGTGTTGTGGGCAGGTGTAGGAAGTATAGATTAGGCAACCAAGAATCAGGACCATGGAGAGCTCAGTCTTTGATTTAAGACTGGATTACATATATGACTTGCAGGCATACAGTTGCTCCTGCCTTGTTCTGATGGATTGTTTGCTTATAGACTGTCCCAGAACAAAATCTCTCCAAAAAAACACAGCAGAAATTAAATACAACACTAAAATGTCAAGATAAAAATGTGAACATAAAATGCAATATTATTATTATCCACCTCGGTAGCTCAGTTGGTAAAGCATGAGGTCAGGGGAAATTTCCCATCTGTTCTTGTCCAGGAGCGGCTATTTTCTACGGTTTTATTGTTTTAAATATATCAGTTAACTGTTGTTGTTTTTGCTGTTTGCATCGCCTTGAGACAGTTGCATAGAAGGCTATTCCCATATGGATTAACAGAGATCATATGTAGAGTCATCTTTCAGAATAGGTATTTTTTCTCTAATACGTATGCATGTATGCTCTGTAACAATATGCAAATACTACTTGATTGTAAATAGAACCTCAGGGTGGTTTTCAAAAAAACCTTCAAACATTCAAATTAACAACTAAAGAAATTACAAAATTACAAAATAATAATTAAAATCTACAATAAACTAAAAACAGATGAAAACTTCAAACATAGCGTATTAAGATATGTTTGTTATTATCAAGAGAATAACAATCTCATTTATAAACAATGCATGATGCTGCTCTTATGATACCGATGATTTATAAAATGCCTTAAATGACTAGGCTGTAAAAAATGAAAAGATTTTACATCACTGTAAAAAAAATGAAACTCTGAACTCACTTTAACTGAAACGAGGCTGCATTTTAATGTCGTATTTTAATCTTGTTTTTAAGTTGTATTTTAATCAATTGTTTTTATACCTGGTGTTAGCCGCCCTGGAGGCTGGGCAGGGTGGGGTATAAATAAAAATTTATTATTATTATTTATTATAACCCCTTAATACTCTTGCATCACCCCTCTTAGTTCTGGCCAAATGATCACGTATAAACCAGAAAGGAAAGTTCACATTTGTACAGCAACATAGAAAGCTGTGAATAACCAAGAAGAGTTGACAAAGACTTGTGAAGTTTCAGGGCTTGTTCCTACAGGGTAACAGCTGTTAGATAATAACCTCTAAAACCTGACTGAGTCAACAATTCCCAGGCCATGGCTTCTCAGATACTGAAATTATGTCTGGATGCAGCCAGTAGGGACTTTTGGTGTGGCCATCAAAGCATCTATTCACTTTGACTGGCAGGGAATATGACTGTGCTGTGATCATACCATAGCCATCACATTGCTCTGTGGCCTCATAACATAGCAACAACCCTGCTGGATCAGGCCAATGGCCCATCTAGTCAGTATCCTGGTCTCACAGTGACCAGCCAGATGCCCATGGGAAGCCAACAAGCAACAGGTTTCCCCCCACTTGTGATTCCCAGTAACTGACATTCAGAGGCACGATACCTCCAATAGTTGAGGCAGAACATAGCCATTACTACGACTAGCTGTTTATTTATTAAATTTGTAGACCACCCTGTACCCGTAGATCTCAGGGCATTTGTGTCTCTTATACTACCTAAGTAGTACGTTTCCAAGAACAATTCAACATGTTGGTGTTGACCTTTAAAGCCCTAAACGGCCTCAGTCCAGTATACCTGAAGGAGCGTCTCCACCCCATTGTTCTGCCTGGACACTGAGGTCCAGCACCGAGGGCCTTCTGGCAGTTCCCTTGTTGCGAGAAGCCAAGTTACAGGGAACCAGGCAGAGGGCCTTCTCGATAGTGGCACCCACCCTGTGGAATGCCCTCCCACCAGATGTCAATGAGAAAAACAACTACCAGACTTTTAGAAAACATCTGAAGGCAGCCCTGTTTAGGGAAGCTTTTAATGTTTAATAAGTTATTGTATTCTGTTGGAAGTTGCCCAGAGTGGCTGGAGAAACCCTGCCAGATGGGAGAGGTATAAATAATAAATTATTATTATTATTACTAAAAAAAATTCCTTGGCTAAACCGACAGCCCCCCCCACCCAAGGCCCAGACATTCTAATATGATCCAAAGCAATAGTCATCCCCAAACTTTGTTCCCCACGGATCTCTTAAAATTTGCTGAGGATCTTGGTGGAAGACTTAAGGATTTTTCTGCCCGTTACAGCTGTGCTCGGTGCTGCATGATTTTTAACTGTATTTTTACAGACGTGCCATGGACCACTTGAATGAAGCTCATGGAACATTGGTGAGCCACAGATCAGTTTGGGAACACCTGATCTAAAGAAAATATAACTGGGTTGTTTGAACAAATAGTTTCCCCAGGAGGAAAAATCACCACCTCTTAGAACAGGGGTTGCCAACATTTTGGGACTGGTGGCCAGATTTCAAATTTTGGGAGAGCTCTGGGGATGCCAGCCACAAAATAGCTACAGTGGAGAATGTGGCATCACACAAAATGAGCGAGACAACCACCTCTGACAAATTTATGCGTACCATAGGAAGTCAACAATGTTTTGATTGTGGAGATCACAAAATACTGATCACACACACAGTGTTGCTATCTAACTGGAAGCATTCTTCAGATATGTGTGTGTGTGTACATCACACTCATTCCTCATTTCACATAAATTGCTTAGAAGTTACCCACACATTTTGTCCCATAACTTTCTTTCTAGGAGGGTCAGAGACTTGCTTCTTTTTTTAAATGAAAACTGAGTTTAGGAAACCTGCCCAGTGGCACAAGTGAAAACCTTTGTGGGTACCAGGACACTTGTGGGTGCCAGGTTTGAAATTGTGACCCTTGCCTTATGGCTTAGAGCAGATATAAAACCAACTGAGACATTTTTGGTAACCTACGCAGCAGCATCCCCCCTTATCTTAATCACAATATATTTGACGTCTGTTGAACACTAGCTCTAATTGGATGCAACAAAATTCAAACACCCAGTCGGAGTAATTGGAAGGCAATTATATTTGCATTACTGTATTTGTGTCAGACAACAACATCATATGAATATAGAGATATTTAGTTTTGATTTCGACTTTGAGGAATAAATTAGTTCTAGGTTTTCCTGCAGATTCAAGCAGAAAATTTCATCAGTGGAACAGCTACATATTAACTCTGTATTTGGATGTTAACAAACCACTACATTATCTTCCTAATACGACACCCAGCGGCCTAGGTTTGAACCCAAGGCACTGAAATCCAGTTTGGTTCAAATGTTGGCTCTAAACTTTGAAGATAAAGGTTCAATCCTCACTTTCTTATAAAGCTCACTATATGGGTTTTGTGAGGAGAAGCTGCCCAGAGGAGAGATAAAAATCTAATAAACAAAAATAAGTGATCAATAATAATAATGTGTGCATACTGCCTTATTTATTTATTTCATATAATTTATACACCACTTGATAAAAAACAACAACCCTGGATAATAAATAAATAAATAAAACTATATCTGTAAACAATGTTTTCATTTCATGAAAAAAACTTGACAAATGTTCCTCCTTTTTCTATCACGTCCAAGTCTAAAAATCAAATAGTCTTCCATTAGTGGTGACTTGGATCTCTAAATTGTATGGGTTAACTTTCCCTCTTTCTGGCATCTGCAACAAACCCAGAGCCAGCCAGCTTACTGTTATTGTCCTTGCATTAAATAAGAGCAAAGAAAGAGGTGTGCTTGGGGACATGGGTGGCGCTGTGGTCTAAGCCACTGAGCCTCTTGGTCTTGCCAATCACAAGGTTGGAGGTTTGAATCCCCATGATGGGGTGAGCTCCCGTTGCTCTGTCCCAGCTTCTGCCAACTTAGCAGTTGGAAAGCACACCAGCGCAAGTAGATAAATAGGTACCGCTGCGGTGTGAGGGTAAACGGCGTTTCTGTGCGCTCTGGTTTCCTTCACAGTGTTCCGTTGCACAAGAAGCGGTTTAGTCATGTTGGACACATGACCCAGAAAGCTGTCTGTGAACAAACATCAGTTCTCTCAGCCTGAAAGCAAGATGAGCGCTGCAACCCCATAGTCGCCTTTGACTGGACTTAAGCGTCCAGGAGTCCTTTACCTTTACCTTTAACCTTTGCACAGAAACATCTGGCTGAATGTGGCCTACTCTACATCAGTTGCTCCGCCCACCTTTGCCCACCGGTTTGTTCATGTTCTGCATGACCTATGATAGCTGAAACAGAACACAATACTCCAGCACAATATTCTTTTGAGTCTGCTACTTCCCTCCCCACCTTTTGTGCTGGACATTACTTACAAATTTATGTGATAAGAAAGGGAAATATTACGGAATGGGCATCTAGCTTTTAGATGCTTTCGAATTTTTGTAGTTTAACCAAAATGCTCTGGTTAATACTCTACGGAGTTTGCAGGATTCTCAAATACAGACCAAAAACAAACTGATTGAAAAGATCCTAAAATAAAATAGAAAAACATCACCCTGGATTTAATTTGTGATGTGAATTATGACCATCTCCTGCAATTGTTTGAAGTGGTACTTGTCAAGTGATACGTTTAATTTATTCCAGCTTCAGCTGGTTTCACGCATTAAACGCAGGGAACATACACCTATGCATATTTAACAGGATTTAATCTCGGGAAGAGTGCTAGCCTTAGTGATGCTCCACATTTATAGAAGCCTCCATGCACCTGTAGCAGTCTCCAGTTCCAAAAACTAGAACAGGTGCCCAGACTCCCCCTTTAACCTATAAAATGCTGTGCCCTAGGAAAGTGGAGATCTGCCATTAACATGCAAAAGTCGGTTGTGACCACAGCTAAAGGTGCAAATACCGTGAAATTCAGGTGATGCAGGTAGAGCATGGTTTGGGCATACTCCTCCCCTCCTATTGTGTGGCCTGAATATACCTCTCTAATGTTTAGAACAGGACAAAAAGCAATTACCATATTTTTTGCTCTGTAAGACTCACTTTTCCCCTCCTAAACAGTAAGGGGAAATGTGTGTGCGTCTTATGGAGCGAATGCAGGCTGCGCAGCTATCACAGAAGCCAGAACAGCAAGAGGGATTGCTGCTTTCACTGCGCAGCAATCCCTCTTGCTGTTCTGGCTTCTGAGATTCAGAATTTTTTTTTTCTTGTTTTCCTCCTCCAAAAACTAGGTGCGTATTACAGAGCGAAAAATACGGTGTTCTAAGTCCGGTTGGATGAAAATGGTTGCCAGTTGTCTTCCTGACACCCTTCCTTTCTCGTACGTTTTTGTCTTCACTGGATTACATGTTGCTGCTTCAGCTGCAGAGCATTTCCCTGAGATGCTTCAGAGTGTTTTCAGCATATTTTCTAAATCGTTTGTAGTCCCCACCAACTTTATGTAACCCACTAATATGCTGTGCCCACAGCACCATTCAGGTGATTAAGGAGGAGCTGGGGCCCCTGGGAATAAACTATAATGCTTGGGAGCTAATCTGTCACATCAAATACAATATACCGAAGATGCCTTAAAACAGAATAACTTGGTGCTAAAATTGCACGCCAGGTGCCCCTTTTCCTCTTCCTTGACTGTTTTGTATGGTTCTGTATGGTTGAGCAGGCTGCTCAGCTTATTCCCAGGAGCTGCAGGAATCCCTGCTGAGTCCCAAAACTTGATCCACAAATGCTGGAAATTCCTCCAGTGTTTCAACTATGAACACGCCACTCTGACAAGTGACCTGGCTCCCTGAAGAGATCTGTCCCCTCACTTTGACTGATGCTTGAGCTGTTAAAAATTCTACTGCTGTCATAGTTTCTCACCTGTATGCTAGAGAAATTTAGAGTCCCCCCCGCTTAAGGCTTCTGAAAACTACGTGGAACGAAATACCAAAACTGAAAATACTGTTTCTGTGTCATATACATAGAAATCCACCGTGCTTTTTAATAAGTAGCGATTTCTTTCTCCTCCTCTCTTTTCTGTCTGATCTCAGATGCATTTTACACCAAGAGCTATACAGTGCTGGCTCCCCAGAAAGCATGCCTCTGTGAAACAGAGGTTACAATACATAACCTTCTTGGTTTCATGTTTTTTTTGCTACTGAATTACTTTCAGTGCAACCTTTAAGCCAGTGATGGATGATGGGGATGCTGTGGACTACCAGATATGCTTTATTTGAACTTCCATCAGTATCCAGCCAGCATAGCCAATGGCTAGGAGTGATGGGAGAGACAATTTTTCCCATCTCTGCTTTAAGCACTGTGTGAATTCCAACATCTAAAAGCATCCTAGATTATTCATGCAGGGTTTTGTTTTTTTAACAAGATGGAGCTGGGGGTGGGGGGTGGGCAGGATGGAACTACATTAACTTGAGTTCTCTTATTGCCCCTCACACCAATATTCAAAATGATCACTCAACAGCACTACAACTCATACAGCATACCGTATTTTTTGCTCTATAAGACGCACCAGACCACAAGACGCACCTAGTTTTTGGAGGAGGAAAACAAGAAAAAAAATATTCTGAATCTTAGAAGCCAGAACAGCAAGAGGGATTGCTGCGCAGTGAAAGCAGCAACCCCTCTTGCTGTTCTGGCTTCTGGGATAGCTGCGCAGCCTGCATTCACTCCATAAGATGCACACACATTTCCCCTTATTTTTGGGAGGGAAAAAGTGAGTCTTATAGAGCAAAGAATAAGGTATGTGTCCAGATACCCTTTCCGTTGTCTCTCCTTAGCTTTCTAACATTTGACGTAAATAATAAGAGCCTTCATAAAAGAACTACATGGCCCAATAGAAAGGTTGAAAGGAAATATTCTAATTGTACAGACACTTTTCAGGCAGCTGCTTTGTTTCTAATTCCCCCACACCAATCTCTCTTCTCAAACTTCCAAAGTGGTTTTTTCCTGTCTAACTATCCAGTCTCTTGTCTACACAGTGAGACAAGCCCACTAAGAACAAAACCTACTAATCATATGTAAGTGCTGTAATTTCCTCAGCCAATATCTTCATCCTTCCCTTCTTCCGGTCTTCATCTTGTCCAACACTGTTCCTTTCTTCAAAATAAGAATTATTTTTATGCCAATAATGAACATTAAGAGCATTATCCAGTGGCATCAGGGCACTCAAACAACTGCCGTTTGTTCTTAGGATAGCAGGAGAACTGAATCCAATGATTGTTTTGTGTTTACAAACGAAGTTGTGCAACCCTTAGCACTACCTACACACCACTGCCTGTGCTGTCGCCTGCCAACTGTCTCCTTTTGCTAATGTTACAACCTCAGTCATTACCTTCAAAAAATTCTATACATCACCTGTACCAATTACCGTATTTTTCAGTGTATAACACGCCCCCTATTTTTGGGGACTCCAATTTCAGAAAATGGGGGGAGATGGCCAGAGTTGTTGAGCTTTTTTGGGAGGATTGCACAGGGTTTTTGAGCTTTTTTGGCGGGGGGACTAACAAAAATCACTCACATGACTTACAAACACAGCCAATCGCACGCAGCACCGAAACCGCCAAGCGTCTGCCTGCTCACAACTAGTCAAAGAAATATAGACACAACACGTAGGCTAATAACTGTTAAATCATTTGTAGTAGAATAATGATATCATTCAAAAGGTAGAAATAAATCTATTGGAGTTCATATATACAACGTAACAGATTAGTGGCGCAGAACGTCAAGCCATGTGTTCAAGATAGGTGTCAAAGGTCATTTGAGAAAACCTTACTTTTGAGACATCTTTTGTTGAAACCTTTGAATAACCATTGTGAGACTGACCTTTGACCTGATCTTGAACACATGGCTTGATGTTCTGTGCCATCTGGTTACGTACATAATTTGTTCTGGAGGTCCATTCTTAACCTGAAACTGTTCTTAATCTGAGGTACCACTTTAGCTAATGGGGCCTCCCACTGCTGCTGCGCCGCCGCCACGTGATTTCTGTTCTCATCCTGAAGCAAAGTTCTTAACCCAAAGTATTATTTCTGGGTTAGTGGAGTCTGTAACCTGAAGTGTATGTAACCTGAAGTGTATGTAACCCGAGGTACCACTATATCTATCTATCTATCTATCTATCTATCTATCTATCTATCTATCTATATCCATATCCATATCCAAACTATAGTTTGTGTTGATTTCAACGTATAATACAGTCTGGTGGCAAGTTCTGATTGCAGAAAGTTCACTGCATCCAATAGATCAAAGGCAGCTTCTTGCCAGAATGATCTCATAGTTAGATTCTTTGTCTCTCAGTTTTCTCACACGACAGACATTTATGTAAGACAGTCCACCCACTTTCCTCCCTGGATACCTTTTCCATGCTTAATGTTTACTTATGCATGTGGCATCTCACTTATGCTGCCTCAATACAGCTAGAAATATGGTTCTTGCTTGCGCTGCTTCTTCTCCCAGTGAGACTCTCTACTTCTGGTGCTTTTTCACCCAGAAAAAAAATGAAGCTGCCACACAAACATTATGAAGCTGAGGGATAGTTTATTCCAGCAGTTTAGTCCCTGAGGGGGAAAGCACTCATATTTCATATTCTTGACAATTTCGCTGTCTTGTTCCCTGCTTCCAGTAATCTGAATCCAGAGCAGGAGGGGGGAAAAGAAGTCAGATGATGAACAAATCCATCATCTAAGCTAGAAAGAAATGTATTGTGGATGGCAAAAGTTATATTGGTCTGAATGCATTTCCCCCCCCCATAAGCACTAATGTATACACTCTATGCATACTTTCCCCTAATACATGCATTTTACACAGTTTTTTGGTTGAAGACCTGCACTGCAAAATTTGGAGAAGTAAATTTCATAGGATACAGTATTAGAGTTTGGGGTTGCATATTGTTTTGGGAAATGCAAATTAGGTAGGTCCACATTGAAATGGGAACCTAACTAGACTTATCTCCCAACCTTAATTAATCTGAGAATAATGGAGTCACCAAACAGTTGCAAATCAGTAACAGAGGCAGGTGCGCCGGGTTGGGCCCCACATTGGGGGGGGGCCTGTCACGTGTGCATGACATCACACACACAACGCCCCCCCATCGGGCCCCATCTTCTGGGACGTGCAGGCACCTGCCAGGACACTCTGGCAATCACAGTGGGCAAAAATTGCCTTCCAGATTTCCTGCTTGGTGTACCAGCACCCGCCGAGGGGCAGCGATGGATTGCAGTCTCCTCAATATTGGGGGGGGCTGTGCCCCCTGCCTCAAAATATTGAGGGGGCTGAATCCCCATGTGCCCCATATATCTGGCACCACTGAACGGGAGCCTGAGATGCAGGGGAGAAGAAGAAGAAGAAGAAGAAGAAGAGTTTGGATTTGATATCCCGCTTTATCACTACCCGAAGGAGTCTCAAAGTGGCTAACATTCTCCTTTCCCTTCCTCCCCCACAACAAACACTCTGTGAGGTGAGTGGGGCTGAGAGACTTCAGAGAAGTGTGACTGGCCCAAGGTCACCCAGCAGCTGCATGTGGAGGAGCGGGGAATCGAACCCGGTTCACCAGATTACAAGTCCACCGCTCTTAACCACTACACCACACTGGCTCTCACAAGCAACAGGAGAAGCAACAGGTGGCAGAATGGTCAGTGCTTAACTCTTTCCTCGCCTTTCACTTTCCCCAACATTCTTGGCATCACAGGGAAAAGCAGCTGGGTGTTGCAGGAAAGGGTTAGCCCTCCAGTTGTTGCCATTTTATTTCCTGCAAACTGCACGCCCCACCCCAGCACTCTGTATATTCAGACTTTGTTTCTGGGGCTTCCTGATCTATGTCTGTTGCCAAACACCTGCTTTCAGCATGTGCCTAAGTGCGCACCGAGCATACAGGAAACACAGCTTCTCTTCTGCTGGCACGAAAATGCTGCTGTATTTATGTGGGTGGTGCAGAGGGGGCTATTTAAAACCCTGCACCTTGGATGCGGCTGTAGAGAACACTATGTTCTGAGCACACGAAGGTTGAATCTGCCACTTCAACTGCAGCACATGGTCAAAAGGACTCCATCCTCAAGATGCATAGGGTTTTGGACACATGTACCAACACCTGGTAGCTAATTGGCAGCCAGTGCAGTTCTTTCAGCAGCAGTGTAACACTGAATCATAGAATTGTTGAGTTGGAAGGAACCACAAGGGTCATCTAGTCCACCCCTCTGCAATGCAGGGATATTTCGCGCAACGTGGGGCTCGAACCCACAACCCTGAGATTAAGAGTCTCGTACCCTACCGACTGAGCTATCCCTCATTTCATGATGTGACATGTCTGCACTATGCCATGAACAACTTGTTTTGTACTCAAGCTTTTGCCAATACAGTGGTACCTCGGGTTATAGACACTTCAGGTTACAGACGCTTCAGGTTACAGACTCCGTTAACCCAGAAATAGTACCTCAGGTTAAGAACTTTACTTCAGGATGAGAACAGAAATCACGCTGTGGCAGCGGGAGGCCCCATTAGCTAAAGTGGTACCTCAGGTTAAGAACAGTTTCAGGTTGAGAACGGACCTCCAGAACGAATTAAGTTCTTAACCCCAGGTACCACTGTATAAATTACAGACAAATGAGCCACACAAACACACTACTGTTTTATGTTGTATTTCTGTTTTAATGACATTGTTTGATGCTTTTAGATTGCACATCATTTAGAGATATTCACAAACAATACTAAGTGTTGCTGATTGCTTTAAATGAAGTAAATAAAATACTACTATATGAATGAGCCTAGCGACGTGAGAAGAAGACTGGAAACTTTTGCTTCCATCTTTAGCCAGCCGCAGTTTGCCGTTACATGGTCAGACAAACTGTGGACAGTTTTAATTATCTATTTTATTTATTAAATTTATATACTGCCTTTCACCCAAAGATGAAGAAGCCAACTTCAGCCTGTGGTTTATGAGGCTTGCTTGCTTCAATAAACAACAGTTAAGATCAATCACAGGTTAGGTCTAGTCGTAATGCGAAACTGTAGCTAACTGAAAATGTGCTCAAGGATGGGGTGAAATATCTTCCTCCATCCCAAGAGGATTTGGAAGCCATCAAAGGCTGGGAACACATTATACCCTTAAAGCACATGCGAAACACATTTTTCTCTCCCAGGCCCCCGGCCACTATAATTGTGGGCATTGTGGTTTGTTAAAGGTTGCTGGGAACTGTAACTCTGTGAGGAATATATTATGCACACATAATATACCCCTCACATCATTCTGTACTCATGCTGCGTTCAGTGTGACCTGCACATTTATTTTTATTTTTTTACAGTATGGAGTGCTCCCTCCCCACAAAATAAAGCCCTCACTGGCTCCTGAGCATCTTAGCCCTCACTGGGCTTTTTATAAAGGACTTTCCCCCTGCCCCCACTCCCCTTCTGTTTTCTTTCTGGCGATTTTTGGTATGCCTGTAGGCTATATGTCCCTCAAGCTGATACCTGCTGATACCTCCCGAAAGTGTGTGGCTGGTGTGCCATTCCTGACTACCTCAGTAGCGGCTACTCATATCACTATGAGTAGATAGCATTGGTTCACAACAGAACATTTTGACTATGGAAAAATGACAGTGTGTGTTAATGAGGCAATTGCAGTCCAGCAGATTACACAAAACCAGCAAAAAAATTGAACTGAATGGGGTAACCTGACACCACTGAAAATATTATTTTGTTCAGAAAGGTACATGCTGCCTTTCTTGAGGGGGGGGGGAATGAAGGCAAAACATGGGTCACATTAATGGATGTGCTGTTTTCCTTACCCTTTCCCCCTCAGCAGATGAATCCACGACTTAATCTATCCCATGTCACCATCAGTTGGAAGTGTCTTAGAAAAATAAAATAAAAATTACCCCAAACCAAATGTCCCCTGTGAGACAAAACAAAACAAATTTAATTGTCTCCAGACAGACTTGCAGGAGGCAATATGCAATTTGTCACTATGAGCAGCTTTCCTTTAGCAAACATCTGCTCATTTGTTTTCAGGTGATGGGAAGGTGGGCGGGGGGGGGGGGGAATGCTGTTCAGGCAACTTGCTCCCCCTTCTGTGCATTTTACAAGAACCAATGAAAGAGGAAGTGCAAGAGCCACACTTTCTGTTTTCACACTTCCACAGGGCCAAGAGGAGCGTATTTCTTCACACCGTGAAGCTGCATGTGCTTCAGATGGGGGGAGGACTCGTGCATATTCACAAAAAAACCCCTCACGCCACCAGGAACATACTGCAGAAACAGGCAGTGTATCTTTTGATTTGCTACTTCCTGTAATCTCCAAAGAGGTGCTACAAAACTATGGCTTCTCTTTTGCCAAGCTGTGGCACTGTGAGATGAACACAGGGGCAGAGGAAGCTGCCCGATACTGAATTAGACTAGTGGTCCACTTAGCTCAGTATTGTCCACTACACACTTGACTGGCAGCAGTTCTCAACAGTTCAGGCAGGAGTGTCTCCCAGCCCTACCCGGAGAAGCTGGGGATTAAACATGGGATATTCTGAATGCAAAGGAAATGCTAACAACAACAACAACAATTTATTATTTATACGTCGCCCATCTGACTGTGTTGCCTCAGCCACTCTGGGTGTCTCCCGACAAAAAATACTAAAACCACAATTCAACATCATACACTAAAAACTTCCCTGAACAGGGCTGCTGTCAAGGCTCTGTCAAGGCTTCAGGGAATGATGATCCCTCCCCCAGTGGCAGTCAAAGGCAGATAACCGAAAAGAGTTCTTACCATGTAATTTATTCAGTCTTCACAGAGAGAGACAAAGGAACACTGTCTCTATAATAATGGTGTTGCTCCAAGTAAAATCCCATACCTTCAGTCCTTCCTAATCTATGTCACCCCTGCACCGGTTGGTCAGTGATTTCTGCCTCTGAGATTTCTGTTCTGCTACTCACACATCCCGTCCAGTTTTGGGAGAGGGGGGAATCAGGAATGCTTTCAAGAGACACTGCGTCTGTTAACTGTGTCTCTCTCTCTCTCTCTTCCCGCCCCCCATGCTTCTCCTTCCTGCTGCTCCCCCAATATATCCCAGCTTTTTACTTCATCAGCCTCTGAACTATGCCCTTCGGCAAACCGCTGTTCTAAATCTATACAGTGGTACCTCAGGTTACAGATGCTTCAGGTTACATACGCTTCAGGTTACAGACTCCGCTAACCCAGAAATAGTACCTCAGGTTAAGAACTTTGCAGGAGGCCCCATTAGCTAAAGTGGTGCTTCAGATTAAGAACAGTTTCAGGTTAAGAACAGACCTCCGGAATGAATTCAGTACTTAACCCGAGGTACCACTGTACTGTCTGCCTCTTCCCGGGAAGGTGCAGAGAGAGGGGAGAGCGGCTCCCACCTTTCCTCCTCAGTCCAGCCCCTGACAGCTGCCTTCAGATGTCTTGTAAAAATCACATAACTGTTTATGTGTTTGACATTTGCTGGGAGGACGTTCCACAGGGCGGGCGCCACTACTGAGAAGGCCCTCTGCCTGGTTCCCTCTAACCTCACCTCTCGCAAGGAGGGAACTGCCAGAAGGTCCTCGGAGCAGGACCTCAGTGTTCAGGATGAACAATGGGGGTGGACATGTTCCAGGTATAAGATGCTCCTTCTACCATTGAACTTATGGCCCTTTCCCATAATGGCCCTGTTCTTATTAGCTTCTACTGTGCTGTGATGCTCTAGAGAAGAAAGCAAACTTTCAAGAGGCTTCTGGTAGAAAGTTATTCATCTCTTTTAGCATACTATTTACCTGCACTCCATGAAAGCCAGGGGGGGAACACCCACCTGAGGGGCAGGAGGAGCTATATACCGATAGGTGCATGACAATGTAAAGACTCAAACTCATGCTAACCATTCTGTATATCCAAAATCCAGTTTATTGCCCAAGGACAGCAATACAAAGGAGGCACACGAAATTGTAATACAACAGCATACATTCACTGTGCTTTGAAGTTTATTCACTTTTTTATTTTTAAAAGATTGATATTTATGAACAGCGGCTTACAAAAATAAAATAAAATAGCATAACCAATTCAATAAAATTGGAGCCCGGACAAAGCCCCTCCCCCAGCAAGAACTCTACAACAAAGCAACAGATAAAGGAGTTCCATTTGCAATGGCTAACTGAAAAAACATCCACAGTTATACTTGCCTTTGAAAGGCTGTCTAGAAGAAGGTGGTGGTGTGAACTTTTTACTCAGATGATTGTTCCACAGCAATGGGGCTGCAGCAGAAAAGACCCTGCCAGGATGGAATAAAATCCACCCTCCCCATATGATGGGGTCCGGAGGTGCCCAGTGCGTTACATGATAGGGAAAAGGGAACTGTTCTGATGTGTGAGCAGAAATCTGCTGTGCATTGGTGTGGACGTCACTGGATGTCACCCATAGTCTTTTGTTTTCAACTTCTCTTTCCGCTTTCAGTTGATGAACACCCTTGGGAGGGGGGAAATGCGCATCAGGAAATATCAAAAAGACCACTGCATAATGTTTGTAATGCAAGCCAGGATCTGTTAGCCAGAACGAAATGTGATAGGAGGTGCTGATTTTTTCACTAACTGTTAAGAGACCGGGTCCTGCTGAGCTGCTGTTTCTGTTTTCATCCCAGTGGTTCTCTCAGCTTCGAGTGCCAGCATTCTGTTGCCTGTTGCCTGTGGCAACGCCTACTTGAGTATGCCTGCAGTGATGGCAGCAGTGATGTTCTGCCCGTGTAGGAAACACAGTAAGACCACCGAAAGAGCTCCACTTTCTAAGCCTTCTCTGCCATCAAGAGATGAAATCCATTCCAAGCAAAGACGTTCAGAGGAGTATGCAAACATCTAATTACCTCCGGAACAATGTTCATTATGCGTACCAGTGACGCACTGAAAGGGCGTCAGGGACTTTTAATTCAGCAAGTGGATTTTGCTGATCCCTTTTGTAGCGCGTAGTGTTTTACTATGGGCCGCGGGGAGGGAGTTGGCGGGCCATAAGGAAGGCAGGACCTACTTGTAGAGATCTCTGGCTGAATTGCAGTAGATCTGAAAGTTACAACAACAACAAAGGGGCTCTCTGCCCCATGTCCAAGTTAGGTTGTTAAATCAAAGAAACTTTGGAGGAAAACCAGGCCTGGGCTTTCGTGTGGAGAGGCCTGTTTTAAACAGGTGCTGGAAAGTACAGTGAAGGTGCCTGCCTGATATCAATAGGTAAGGAGTTCCAAAGTGTAGGTTATGCTACATATCTATTAGACTAATAGATATGTCACAAAAGGATAAGAATACATGTAGATAAAGACCAGAACTTTAAGCATCAGCAATGCTAAAGCAGAAGAAAAAATATACCTTCTGCAAAAAGAGAGGTAATCTTGAAAAGTGGGATATAAGTAACTGTAATAAATAAATTAGATTACCTCTCTTTTTCCAGGAGGTAAGCTACAGTTAGAACTGGATATGGAACAACCGATTGGTTAAAAATTGGCAAAGGGGTATGACAAGGCTGCATATTGCCTCCCTGCTTATTTAACTCATATGCAGAATTCATCATGCAAAAGGCTGGACTGGATGAATCCCAAGCCGGAATTAAGATTGCTGGAAGAAATATCAACAACCTCAGATATGCAGATGACACAACCTTGATGGCAGAAAGTGAGGAGGAATTAAAGAACCTTTTAATGAGGGTGAAAGAGGAGAGCGCAAAATATGGTCTGAAGCTCAACACCAAAAAAACGAAGATCATGGCCACTGGGCCCATCACCTCCTGGCAAATAGAAGGGGAAGAAATGGAGGTAGTGGACGGCATCTTAAAAAGCAGAGATCTCACCTTGCCGACAAAGGTCCATATAGTTAAAGCTATGGTTTCCCTGGTAGTGATGTATGGAAGAGAGAGCTGGACCATAAAGAATTGATGCTTTTGAATTATGGTGCTGGAGGAGACTTTTGAGAGTCCCGTGGACTGCAAGAAGATCACACCTATCCATTCTTAAGGAAATCAGCCCTGAGTGCTCACTGGAAGTACAGATCATGAAGCTGAGGCTCCAATACTTTGGCCACTTCATGAGAAGAGAAGACTCCCTGGAAAAGACCCTGATGTTGGGAAAGATTGAGGGCACTAGGAGAAGGGGACGACAGAGGACGAGATGGTTAGACAGTGTTCTCGAAGCTATCAACATGAGTTTGACCAAGCTGCGGGAGGCAGCGGAAGACAGGAGTGCCTGGCATGCTCTGGTCCATGGAGTCACAAAGAGTCAGACACGACTAAGCGACTAAACGACGACGACAACAACAACAAACAAACAAACAAACAAACAAACAAACAAATAAATAAATAAATATGCTCTGCAAATAGAACTTTGCCTTGTATTTCTGGAACTGAAGCTCTTGTCTAGAGACCCTCCTTCCCACTTGTTCTGTAACCCCATCTGACTGAGGGCACTATCTGGGACACTGCATATTTACTCACCATGTTAACATTTAAAAATCTGCAGTCAAATGCTCTCCTACATGTGCTGCCTTTCTGCCAGTGCACAACAGAAATTGTGGTGGAATCAGCTGAATTCTCATTCCATTTCATACACAGGCAGAACGCGCCAATAGCACAGTTGCAAAATGCTGCAAAGAAGAGTTAATTTGCTTTAAAAACCTGCATCATTACAACAACTCTCAGAGGAATCATCTTAATTTATTTGGCAGCATATGGAATTTTAATTAAAAGAAACCCGAAGAAGAATTATACAGAATCCATAAGCACAACTTATTCTATGAGAAAAGCATAATAGTTCTGTAAATCCTATAACTAGAAATGGGACATGTGGCTGTTATCGCACTTTATCCATATGGCACCAAATTGCCTTTGTGAAAAACTTCAAAAATATGGCAAGCAAACCGTTTCAAGAAAAGCTGAGAATGTACATGCCTTGTTTAGCTATCGCTGTTGCATTTCCATTGGGCCTCTTATGACAAGAAATAAGGTTCATAAGACAAATAAATATTCTGAATTGTGTATTGTGTACATCGAGATTGTGGCGCTCCCACCAGCCCTGTCCATTGGCCACAGTGGATGGGCTGAAAGGAGTTGGGAGTACAACATCTGGAAGGCAAAAGGTTCGCTATCCCTGATATAAACCAGTCTCCAGACTAGCAGCAAATGTCTATATTGTCTATTCAAATATTATTAAATCAAAACTTTCCAACACTCCTTGACAGAGCCACTCTATATTTCTATTCAAACTTCTTAACACCCAGTGTATTTTCTCTCTCTTTGATTCAGTCATTCCACCAACTTAGCCTATTGCCAGTTAAATGAAAGATGGTCCTAATTTTGTTATGCATAGAAAAACTCTCTCCCTTCCCGCTGACTGCACCACTGTATCTGCATATGAGAAGCACCTTGACCTATCTAAATCATTCCTTGGACCTGCAACACACTTGGATCAGTGGCAACTGCCCAGGGCTACCTCCAGAGGGTAGCATTTGCCAGGATCCTAAAACTGCCCTAACATTTCCACTTTCCACAGGGAGTCCAAAATCAGACGCAGCCCGTGAGAATTCTCAGTTTGCATTTCCCACACCTTGCTAGATCAGGGGGGCACACTGAGGGTGCTGTGTCTGAGGGTCACCAACATCCTGCGGCCAATAGTGCAACCCCTCCCCTTAATGATTTTTGGTGGTAAAATTGCTGGTGTTTCCTGAGTAGCTCGATTTTCAATACATCTGTGCTGATGCTGGAAAAGCTTCTGGAGCCTTTTCTTATAAGGTCATTCCAGGAAGTATTTATTCACCCATTTCTGGTTCGTATTCGGGCAGAAGGTGCAATCTAGTGTGCCTCAGGTGAGCTCTGGGGATTAGGTAAAGGTAAAGGACCCCTGGATGGTTAAGTCCAGTCAAAGGTGACTATGGGGTTGTGACGCTCATCTTGCTTTCAGGCTGAGGGAGCCAGCTTTGGTCCAGAGGCAGCTTTCCGGGTCATGTGGCCAGCACGACTAAACAGCTTCTGGCGCAATGGAACACTGTGATATAAGCATACAGAAATGCTGTTTACCTTCCTGCCACAGTGGTATCTATTTATCTACTTGAATTGGTATGCTTTCGAACCGCTAGGCTGGCAGAAGCTGGGACAGAGCAACGGGAGCTCACTCCATCGCACGGATTTGAATCATTGACCTTCTGATCAGCAAGCCCAAGAGGCTGGTGGTTCAGACCACAGCACTACCTGCGTCCCTTACCTTACCTTTTTACCTCACCATTTTTTTATCTGGGGACTACAACTTCCCTGAGACTTCTGGGAACTGCCCTGAGACCTCCAGGTATAGGGCGGCATATAAATTCAATTAATAATAAAATAAAATAATAATAATACAGTGGATCCAGCAGCCAAATCCTCAACACTTGTGTACTTCAAACACATTTCATTGAACAAATCAGAAGGAAGGATGGTATAAAAGGATTCCACCCACTCGCTCCACCAAAAAACAAAAAAACAACAACTCCCTAGTTGTTGCAACCAAAAGAATAATTAGACAAACAAACTGAAATTTTACAGCAAAGGAAGAATTGAGGAGACACTATCAAACAGGCCAATGTTTAAATCTGTGCATATTCAGAGGAACAAGGGGAGAGAAGCAAAACTGTATTTTCCTGCAAGCTAAATATGGTAAAAGGAAATGGAGGTTAGTGGGAAATGGCTGACAGATGAGAAGTGCCAAGCTGTCCCTAGGCACCCGCCTGCCTTCAGCCGAGTGCTGTAATATAAACCTAGATGACAGACCTCAGGGCCCAAGTGGTGTGGCCTGTCTAGCAGTTCCTGGTTACAAATCACAGACTTGGTGACTGACGCTCAAAGGGTTGAGAAATCTTCATGTTATCCTATCACTGTCAATTTAACAGCACCAGAACAACTTTGTTCATGATGGATTGATTGATTTATATTTCTACACCGCTTTAAATTCAAATGAATCCCAAAGCGGCTTACAAACAATAAATGTCAATATAGCATGATATAACATACTAGAACATCACAAACACAGCATAAATCATATAGAATAATCAATGAATCATCAATGAAACAATTGCAATCTATAAAACAATGTTAACAAAGCAACAAATAAATAAAAATTTTTAAAAAGCTGGTACAGCAAAAGTCGCATTATGGGATTAATAAATCAATAGAGCACTTGTACTCTATAAAACAATATTATCAACATTAACAAAATAGCAGCTTCCTTGGGCAGGAGCTGGGGCGGCACAGGTAAAACCAATTGTCCCCTGATGTCAACAAACAGAGTCTCTCCCCCCTCACACTTCTTCCTCTGGAAACAGCTCCCTTCTGAAGGCTTCTAGGCTGGAGGGTGGGGCGAGGCAGGTGGAAAAACCCAGTACCTGCTGGGGTCTTCTACCCCACCTAACCCCAGTTCTTCCTCTGGAAACAGCTCCCTTATGATGCATGAAAGGTAAAGGTAAAGGGACCCCTGACCATTAGGTCCAGTTGCGGACGACTCTGGGGTTGCAGCACTCATCTCACTTTATTGGCCGAGGGAGCCGGCATACAGCTGGTCATGTGGCCAGCATGACTAAGCCGCTTCTGGCAAACCAGAGTAGTGCACGGAAACGCCGTTTACCTTCCTGCCGGAGCGGTACCTATTTATCTACTTGAACTCTGATGTGCTTTCGAACTGCTAGGTGGGCAGGAGCTGGGACCGAACAATGGGAGTGTACATAAGAATATAAGAGCTCTGCTGGATCAGGCCAATGGCCCATCTAGTCCAGTACCCTATTCTCACAGAGGCTGATCAGATACCCATGGGAATACCACAAGCAGGATCCGAGTGCAACAGCACACACCCCTCCTGCAACTGCTATTCAGAAGTTGTACTACTTCCACCAGTGGAAGTAGAACATAGCCAGCATGGTTAGTAGTCACTGAAATCCTTAAAGGTAAAGGGTAAAGGGACTCCTGACCATTAGGGGTTAAACCACAGAGCCCAGGACTTGCCGATCAGAAGGTCGGCGGTTCGAACCCCCGCGACGGGGTGAGCTCCCGTTGCTTGGTCCCAGCTCCTGCCAACCTAGCAGTTCGAAAGCACGTCAAAATGCAAGTAGATAAATAAGTACCACTCTGGCGGGAAGGTAAACGGCGTTTCCGTGCGCTGCTCTGGTTCGCCAGAAGCGGCTTAGTCATGCTGGCCACATGACCTGGAAGCTGTATGCCGGCTCCCTCGGCCAATAAAGCGAGATGAGCACCGTCACCCCAGAGTCAGCCATGACTAATGGTCAGGGGTCCCTTTACCTTTACTTTTATCACAGTAGTAAGCTGGAGGGAGGAGAGGGAGAGAAGATCAGGGTGGCTGAATCTGCTTCTATTATTATTAGAATTATTCTAGATCTCTGTTTTATTCCCAGTACATTTCATTCCCTTTTAGTAGCTGGGTCCTCTCTTTGCTTTCCAGGGTTTTTCTCTTCAGTGAAGGCTGTCTTTGATGTTGAACAAGTCATCATCACTATTATGTTTGCATTTTTTATTTATTCTTACCCCAAAAAGCATCCACGGCATCCAAAAGGATTCAACTCTCCCTGTATGTCTCTTCTCTCACTTTCTTTGAATTTCATCCCTTCCTTCCCTTGTCACCTGCTGCTGCCTGTCTTTCCCCCTAACCTTCTTTTCTAAACAGCAGCAGCAGCAAATTTTTATTAAAATTTTTCTAACATTCTTGCACTTTTTGTCCTCTGTTGCCTGTCTTGCCTTTGTTGTTCTCCCTTCTCATTCGGGCTGCGTGCAGACCCCTAGATCTTCTCTGTGGCTCCCACACCAGGCCAATTCAGCCTGTTCTGCCCCGGAAGCTACCACCCAAACCTAGATCTGTCCCCAAAATAATTCGGAGGTAGGACTAAGGATTTTTAATGGGTTTTAAAATCCTATTTTAAAATAAGGTTTTTTAAAAAGGTTGGAGGGTTGAGCATTGGCAGTACGCTAATCCTCCTACTGAACTTCTAAGTAGGAGGAACCAATCCTGCGCAGCACCAGTCACTGCTCCCAAGTAAGTGGCTTTTCTGCATGTGAGGGAAGCCAATCGTTTGTTAAAGAGCAGCAACTGGCACTGTGCAGAATCATATCCAACCCTGTGTGGCGCTGCTTTTCAAGGAAAGCTGATTGCAAAGCAGCTGCACCCAACAGAATTGATGTCTTTGCTCAGTGGAGGCACGGATCCTGCAGGGCATGAATGAATGTTTATTATTATTACAGCTAAACAGCCAGCATAGTGAAACCAGACTTTCAGCATAATTTTTACACAAACATTAAAATGGTCAAAGTGGAATTTAAAAATCAACAGGGCCTTTTTTCAGGGAGAACTCACAGAAGCTCAGTTGCAGCACCTCTCTGGTGGGTACCGTTCAAAGCGAATGAGGGAGGTGTTCATAGTGAGTTCCGACACCTCTTTTTCTATAAAAATAGCACAGACAATCAACATACCCATTAAATAGATTTAAAATGCGTAGTCAAGGAAATATAAACTACATTAAAGGTTATTTTTTTTAAAAAATAGAAGAATTTGACTGTGAGCTGTGTCAATTTATGACTGTCTGTGGAGCTGTTTAATCTTTTGCTTCCTCTGACTTATGGCTATTGCACAAAATCTAGCTACATTTCTGGTGACATAGGGATCCTGCAGGGCAGGCTGCCAGGCAGGAAGGACGGCCATGGCGTTGTGCTTATCTTCTCCTGGGAAAATGCAGCCTTCAGACAAGTATGTCTTGGCCTTATTTTGCTATGTCCAGAGGTCTCATACACTGCCCTGTTTCCTCAGGAAAACACCTACTCAGAGCTAATCAAACACCAGTTGGATGTGGCTGGCTGACTAAGGACTGGCATGGTCCTGGAACCACCTCAGGGCTGATTTTTCAGCACTAATTTGCACACAGTATGACAGTTATCACCCAGCTCTTTGAAGCGCCTGGTGATTCCCGTGGAGCTTTTGTGAGGAGTATGGCAGCATTACCAGCCCAGCCTTGGGCTCATGTGAAATGCTGCAGAGATTAAAAACAAGCAGTTCCATCGACCAAGGAGAACCTCATAATAGCAGTATCTTTCAAACAGGTTTTAAAGTAAAATTAGAAGTGTGAAATCTCATCAATGGAGGGGTGGATGGAGTGAGTAGGTTCTCGTCTCTTACAATTCTTTTGCCTTTGCAATAACAATTATCCCATTTTATGGGGGCTAGGGGAGCCCCCTCTCCTGTGCACCAAAGATGAGGCATTCTCCTCCTCCTCTGTGTCTTTAGCACTACTAATCATTAGCTGTTAACTTTGAGCTAGAAATAGAAGAAGTCTCTGGGTGCAGAAATAAAGCGCTGGTTGACCTTTTCAGAGCAGCAATTTCTAACCAGAAAGTTGCAAGGATTCATTCATGGAAAATAACGAGGTGATATTAGCGTGTTCCTGAGAGGAGGCATCCGAGAAAATGTAGTACAAGTGAAACAGAATTATTATTCTTTGTTATTTATCAAATTTATATCCTGCCTCTCCTCTCAAAGTGTGGAATGAGCAAACAACTAGCAGGAAGATGGACAAATACCATAAAAACGAATCAGGCCAAATGCAGGGTGAACCCTGACGGTTGTAAAATTGCCCCATAAACAAACGGGAACAAATGGAAGATTGGACATGGTGATTCTAAACTATGTACAGTGGTAAAAGGTAAAGGTAAAGGTACCCCTGCCCGTACGGGCCAGTCGTGTCCGACTCTAGGGTTGTGTGCCCATCTCACTTAAGAGGCCGGGGGCCAGTGCTGTCCGGAGACACTTCTGGGTCACGTGGCCAGCGTGACAAAGCTGCTCTGGCGAGCCGGCACCAGCGCAGCACACAGAAACGCCGTTTACCTTCCCGCTATAAAGCGGTACCTATTTATCTACTTGCACTTAGGGGTGCTTTTGAACTGCTAGGTGGGCAGGAGCTGGGACCGAAAGACGGGAGCTCACCCCGCCGTGGGGATTCGAACCGCCGACCATGCGATTGACAAGTCCTAGGCCCTGAGGTTTTACCCACAGCGCCACCCGCGTCCCTATGTACAGTGGTACTGCGGGTTATAAACTTAATTCGTTCTGGAGGTCCGTTCTTAACCCGAAATCATTCTTAACCTGAGGTACCACTTTAACTAATGGGGCCTCCGGCTGCCGCCGGTGTGTGATTTCTGTTCTCATCCTGGGGCAAAGTTTTCAACCTGAGGTACTACTTCCAGGTTATCAGTTTGTAACCCGAAGTGTTTGTAACCCGAGGTACCACTGTATGCTTTTTGCAAGCGAATCAGGACGAATGCGGAGTAAACAAGTAATCTGGAAAAGCATTAATCAGGGCAACCATTTAGTCTTTAAAAGATTTGGGCTGTCATTCTTCACCATTTTTTCGTTATTAATTGGCTAGAGATAGACACTTCTAACCTGAATTGCCATTTTTCAAAGAAAACCTGTCACTAAGGAGAACTCTTTGAAATAAGAGAGGCATCTCACGGCAATCCTAGTATTCAGATAGGCAAGTAAGGTAAGGTAAAGGTAAAGGGACCCCTGAACATTAGGTCCAGTCGTGGCCGACTCTGGGGTAGCGGCGCTCATCTCGCTTTATTGGCCAAGGGAGCCGGCGTACAGCTTCCGGGTCAGGTGGCCAGCATGACTAAGCCGCTTCTGGTGAAATCAGAGCAGCGCACGGAAACACGGTTTACCTTCCCGACCAGAGCGGTACCTATTTATCTACTCGCACTTTGACGTACTTTCGAACTGCTAGGTTGGCAGGAGCAGGGACCGAGCAACAGGAGCTCATCCCGTCACGGGGATTCGAACCACCAACCTTCTGATCAGCAAGTCCTAGGCTCTGTGGTTTAACCCACAGCGCCACCCGCGTCCCAGGCAAGTAAGGTATGTATGTCTATATGCCAAGGATACAGTACCTGTGGCCCTCCAGATGTTGTTGTACTACAACTCCCATCATCCTTGAACATTGGCCATGGTAGCTTGGGCCCATGGGAGTTGGAATCCAACTTCCTCTGGAGGGTCACTCATTCCCCATCCTTGATATGCACTCTTAAAGCCATCAGGTCAAGTAGGTCAAGTTAATTTAGCGCTACTGCATGCACTTTACTATTAGAGATTTTATTTTAGGTATGCACCTAAAAATGTGACATTTGAATGTGGCAAAGAGACATTTGCATACACACACATCGTGATTGGCTGCAGCTACCTCCTGAGTGTGCACACTGGATGGCAAAGCCAGGTTTAACTTTGCAGAATGTGTTGAATGGTGCTCATCTTTATTGATGCATCTTGTAATCTTACTGGGACTCTGCTGGAAGAGTCATCCAGGAACAAAGCCCCCTTATGGACCCCTAGGTGGAAAGGCAGTAGGGGAAAAGACACAAGTTTCACTGGGTCCAGATCTCAGACCTACTAGCATTGGTAAAGTAGACAGAGTTGCACGGTGTCCGGCGAGGGTTCTGCATTAATTACATACTCCCATGCAGTGAAGAGTTACAGCAGCAAAAGCATTGATCCTGTTGAGATCTGTGCCGCACAGTTTTGTTCTATGTCTATTTCAGGCTCTTTTGTGCTACATTTGAAGAAAAAAACACTTGCTATTAAGATAGACTATGCACCCAAGGCCAAGTTCTTAGAACAAATTGTTCCACATTCTAGGATGCTGATGAATGAACAGAAGTCTGTGTCTAGTCACCATGTGTTGCTTGCCTGTTTTGGGCCCCAAAGTGTACAAAACATGACCGTCATTTGCCCCCAAACCCAAGATGTGTAAGTAAGCCAAAGCCATGTATCTTCAATGAGATATGTGCCAATAAAACACTTGGGCTCTGGGCTGAGGATGCTGAAGTGCAAGGAGGATGCTACAGAAAATGCGTTCTCCCTGACAATGAAATCACCTCAGGGTCAGAACAGCCAAAGACACGCAGCTGAGTCACTGCCTCCCTGGAGGAGGGTCCTTGAATGTTACCAGAGTTGCTCTGGGTTGTTTTATGTGATTGTTACTAAAGCTCTTGTTCCAGTTGTTGCCTTCAAGTTGATAAGCCAAGCGGCAAAATGGCTGCATATGGAGAGAAGGGAAAAAATTCAAAACAAAAGGAACCTGGTGCCGGATGGTTTGCATTTTGATATCTGCATGGTGCCAGTTCATAGGACAGCTGGCATCTGTATATGCATATGCGTGCACACGTATGCATGTGAGAGAAAGGGAGTGTGCTAGAGAAAGGTCTTGTATACTACAAAGATGGAGACGATCTGTCTCTAGCCCCCACCCCAGCAGAATCCCTGCCAACTCACATCAGATATGGAAGACCAAGTTTTGCTCCACATAACAAAACCTCCTTGTGTAACACATTTCCCCCCATGAGGGCAAAAATCCACCATTCACTTTGATGGGATAAATTGAAGAGGTGCACCCAGTGATTCCATGGAGAATACGAATGGCATCTCATTCCAGCTCTGAGTGAGCCGAACATGAAGATAAAGCCTTCTCATATCTGCGAAGCCCCAAACCTGCATCTGCACAGCCTGGGCTTCATTTCTTGGACACAGAAATTGCAAATGGGAGCCTTCCTCCTTAGGAACAATGAGAATAATAGATGTGAATCCCCACCCCCATTCCTGCCTACTATCATTTTTTTAAAATCCTGCCATGCTTCTGAGATTTCACATCATACTAAGTTTGGCCCTCAGAATGTGGAGGCGAGGAGCCTAAAAGCAAAAGTCTCTTTCTCTCTTAGTGTAAATTTGTTTGTCTGTGTGTGTGAGAGAGAAAGCAATTGCTTTTCTGAATGTGAGGAATATGGGAGAGTTGTGTTACATATCAAACTCCAGTCAGCATCTGTATTGGATTTGAAATTGTTTTTATATATGCAGGTTTTTTTATTGTATTGTGAAATCTGCTTTTCATAAATGAAATAATAATAATAATACTCAAAGTAATTCTGGCTGTTGTGATTGCTATAGTTGCTGGAATTACACGTTGTGTCTATGTGGATATTTTGATTGTTGCTTTTTATTGATTTTAATGGATTTTATATACTGTGAACTGCTTTGATATAAAGCAGGAACTAAAAATTAAAATTAAAAAATACTTTATTTTGTCACAACCGCAGCCCTGTTCGGTGTTTATTGCATCCATAGGATGTGATGGCAATTTCCTACTGAGTATGATTGTTCTGGGCCATGCAAAAAACCCAAACGTACATAAAATGCATAAAACAAAACTTGAGTTATATAAAGCATACTGCAAAGGCATTGAATTTTCCACTGAACCAAGTAAAGTTCTCCTTTTTTCCTTTATTCGTCATTTAGATGGACGTCAGAATGAAGAAAATCTAGTTTTAAGCGTCTCCGGACAATTATTTCAAATCCGTGGTTACAGTAGAACCAGAAGCTTCTGTGGAGACGGATGCTTAGGGGAAATGCAAGAGAGCAGAGAGGAAGCTTATAGGTTATTTTAGCTCACTAACATTGGATTCTGCTCTGATGTAGCCCTATTAGGCAAGTCCTCCAGCAGCAGCATCTGGCAAAAACAGATATTTGCTTACAGTGAATGTCTGTTTGAAGATGCCGATAAGAGGACATTTTGCTCACCTCTCCTTCCTACTGACAATACTGGGGCTGCGGGTGGGGCTCAAATACTGGGTATCAAATACTGCTGGGCCTCCTTTATGCTCTAGCTCCTTAATTGGGACTTTCTACCTTTTCTTAAAAGAGCAAGTTCTTTTTTGTAACTCTTACCTTCCTTCACCTATTTCCATTTTTTCCAGTTCCAGTTTAGCAGTTTGCTCAGGGGCTGAGAAGTTAGCTGTCTACTCTACCAGTCAGTCTGGCGAGAGAGATCACTCCTTCCCCTCAAGAGGAGGCAAAGGTTTGAGAGGAACCCGCCCTAATCCTTTCAGTAGGAAGCATCATCCAGTGAAGTTGATTTCACAACAATAATTAGATTTATTTTTTAAAAAAATCCATTTTGTAAAAGCTGAGTAAAAATTCTTTATAGATGGGTAAAATCCAAACCAGAGACATTTAAAGAGACAGGTCTGATTATTTCCCTTCTTCGTCCTTCCCAAATGATAACTCAAAATATACCCCCTTACCCAAAAGCCACTCTATTATGGAAGCACTTAGCATGGATACTAGTCATGCTCCTTGAAGGATTTTGAAGCTCAGTACTTAAGTGTACAAGATCACACTCTGGCAAGAGGCTAAAGGACAGCAGAACAGGTGGTATCCAAGGCCTGTGTTCCATTAGTGCAAGGTTTTATTACTGTGCAATGGAACTCCCTGCCCTATCCTCTCCCCTCCCCACCAGCACCAAGCACACTCCCCAAATCCATACTGGAAGGTTGTCAGGAACTCCAGAACTCATTTAGGGGGTGCCTGGGGGGTGAGGGCGGAAGTTCCATTCTGCTAACAGAAATCTTTGCACTAATATGATATATGGCTGGGCAGGGGATTTATATGCAGAACAGTGGTGCAGTTAGGTATTTTTTGACTCTGGTCCTACAGGGTAGGAGCTCTTTAGGTGGTAATGTGGAAAGCCAGTCTTCCTGGGTTTGAGGGGGTCTCCTGCACATTCTTCTGAGTGGGGCCCTGGACCTCTGCCCCAATGGCACCACTGATGCAGAAGGTCCCTGACATGTCTAGATTTCTGGTAGGAAGGCTTCTGAATGAAGATCGGGAGAGCTACCACAGGTAAAGAGCTAGCACAGAGCTAATATCATTGACCTATGATCTGACTCAGAATAAGGCAGCTTCATGTGAAATTAACATGAGGAGAGGATAGTAGCAGGCTCATAGAATACATATTTTTGCATGTGACAAGAGGTGGGTGTGACCTTACCTGTCCAGGTAACAAAAGGAGGAGTCATGCAGTGCTCTCTCTCTTTTTCACTTCCTTCTTCGTTGGACCAGCTTTCTAGCTAGGAATGCTCTGCTAGCTCTCAGCTAGCAGAAGCACTGGGATTATTTCCCCATATGAGGTAGATCCACATGTACATATTTGTAACGAAGTCTGCCTTCAGGAATCCAACTGTGAACTGATGTGAGTAAACTTATTTTCTTGACTTTAAATAAGATTGTCATGTCTTTATTCTTTTAAGGGGATTAAAGGGAATTTACCAGGAATGTACTATTCGATTTGAAACAGACTGAACTGTATAATAGTGGGAAGGCTTACACGAGCCTGCAACAAGCTATCTGCTGTGCATGTAAGAAAGGGGAATGTAACTCTGCTACATGAAGAAACTTGCTAGCGCAAGTTAGGAAGTCTATCAATAAACAATATATCCTCTCCTGCCACCCTGAACATTCCCACACTACAATGGTTGAAATTCCTTCTTCTACACAACTATTAAACATGCAGGAGCCCTGCTCTCTTTTGCTCCTGGCCACCTTATACCCAAAACATGCCAATAAAATCTGTATAAGAAGCACATTGTCAAGGAATAATTCAAACCACTGTCAGTGTTTCATGAAAACTTTAATCCTCATAAAATTTCATCCCAATCATTTTTAATATTCCACATAATCCCACGATTACATTGGTCCAAATGACAGATTAAGAGTGTTCCCCTTGAAGAATTCATGGGGGTTTAATTAAAGTCATTATTTGCTATGGGATTAATACCTGCATATTTTCTAATGGATGTGTTTAGGAAATCAGGAAGATTACAGCTGTAGCTACTGTGATGCTCTTCAGCTCTTGGGAGGGAAAAAACCCAATCTCATTTGAAGAGTTATTCTGGAAAAGGGATAAAGACAGAACAAAATAAAACACATGCACCAACCCTAGGTAACAAGACTTCTCTTTACTAATCAAATAAAGCATACTGGCAATGTTACGTTAGCACATTCTAAAAAGAAAAAAGGAAAAAAAGGAGAGGTTATAGACTGTTACAAGATCAGAGAGTCCTTATATAAGATAGTACCACCATAGAAGGTGTGAAGAACGTAACAATGGCACTCTTCATTCCAAGAACAGAAGACTACAAAAAGAAGAAGGGTTCTAAAATAACAAAATTTTATCAGAAATACAGCTCTAGGGTGGGGGGCGGGAGGAATGAAGAGTGCAAGCACTCCTTAGAAAATCTTTCCATTTTGCTGATTCCAAGTAAATTTCTTATTGGAACATGGTGTCTATCAGTAATTATACTGAATAGTTCAAGTGTCTTGGTTTACAGCTTAAAGCCTTCAACAGAGACTAGTTGTCATTCGTTTTCAGAGGAGCTTCCAAAACAGACTGCTGGTTCAACTAACCCACAGCAGTCTCCATTCTGCAGATGGCATGGTTTTTTTTTAACTTTAGGGTCACCAAACGTCCCTCTTCTGCATGGCATGCTGCTAGCTAAAAGCCTGCGCATGATACCTCTGCGGTGCTGCCGCCGCCGCTTGCCCTTGGTTCCTACACTATCGATTGTGCCAGAAGTCCAGCATCTTGCCCATTGAGGTTGAATCCTGATAAGACAGAAGTACTGTTTTGGGGGGACAGGAGGCGGGCAGGTGTGGAGGACTCCCTGTCCTGAATGGGGCAACAGTGCCCCTGAAGGACCAGGTGCGCAGCCTGGGAGCCATTTTGGACTCACAGCTGTCCATGGAGGCACAGGTCAAATCCGTGTCCAGGGCAGCTGTTTATCAGCTCCATCTGGTACGCAGGATGAGATCCTACCTTCCCGTAGACTGTCTCGCCAGAGTGGTGCATGCTCTAGTTATCCCTCGCTTGGACTACTGACATGCGCTCTATGTGGGGCTACCTTTGAAGGTGACCCGGAAACTACAACTAATCCAGAATGCGGCAGCTAGACTGGTGACTGGGAGTGGCCGCTGAGACCACATAACACTGGTCTTGAAAGACCTACGCTGGCCCCCAGTACGTTTCCGAGCACAATTCAAAGTGTTGGTGCTGACCTTTAAAGCCCTAAACGGCCTCGGTCCAGTATACCTGAAGGAGCGTCTCCACCCCCATCATTCTGCCCGGACACTGAGGTCCAGTGCCAAGGGCCTTCTGGCGATTCCCTCACTGTTAGATGCCAAGTTACAGGGAACCAGGCAGAGGGTCTTCTCAGTAGTGGCACCCGCCCGGTAGAATATCCTCCCACCAGATGTCATAGAGAAAAACAAATGCCAGACTTTTAAAAGACATCTGAAGGCAGCCCTGTTTAGGGAAGCTTTTAATGTTTAATAGACTATTGTATTTTAATATTCTGTTGGAAGCTACCCAGAGTGGCTGGGGAAACCCAGTATTTCCCAGTAATCCCCATGACAGCAACAGCATTAACATGGAACGGGGGGGGGAGCCTGTGGGCCTCCAGCTGTTACTGGTCCACAACTCCCAACAACCCTTACTACTGGCCATGCTGCTGGAAGCTATCCAACATCTGGTGGCCCACAGATGTTATGATACACTGTCTTATCTTTAAGCTTAAACAAGTTCATCAAAACTTTATTTTTAAGTAAGTCTTAAAGGGTCTTTCCAACCAGAGTCACGCTTCATCAAGGAGCCATCTTGAATCTCTCTTTAGCTTTTTTGGTTCCCCTGTTGGCAATTAACTAATAAGATGCCAACTTAACTGGGTGTGGGAGGGAGAGGAGGTCCACTAGTGGGACAGAGAAACATTTTTGTTTCTTTTCTTTAAAATAAGCACCATTTTTATTTTATTTTTAATCAAGCAAGTGGCCTTCACATGTTCTGCAATGTTACAAATTTCACAGTCCAAGCCTGGGAAACGTAACTTGGTAAGAAGAGCCTGAGAAAGATACATAAGACAAAAGATTGCTGTGTGCTGAATCGGGGAACAATTCTAAATGCCTTACTTATTTGTGAAAAAAACTTTTCCCAGGGGAGGAGCGGTCTTTGAGATGAGCTGGGAATTAATAAAACAAAGCACAAACAGAGCAACAAAATGGACAAATTTACAGAAGGCTGGTTTCTGCGCACACGCCTCTCTGCTCCACCTAGGAGAACAAGAGAAATTATCAGACTTCAAGGATGCACTCCAGGCAGGCAAAAATAGGGCGCAAAGCAGAGCCAGTGTCTTTGGTGTCAGAAGAAGGTGAGCAGCCTGAGGAGAATTATCAGAACCAGCTAGAGAGGCTTGGAGGTCCTCCACCCCTGGTCTACACAGTTCATACTCATATTAGATTTTTTTCCCCCCAGAACACATGAATTTGCCCAATGTAACACAATGAGCGGTGGTGTGTGGTCATTGGACTAAGGCAGGGGTAGGCAAACTAAGGCCTGGGGGCCGGATCCGGCCCAATTGCCTTCTCAATCCGGTCTGGGAATCAGCGTGTTGTTACATGAGTAGAATGTGTGCTTTTATTTAAAATGCATCTCTGGGTTATTTGTGGGGCATAGAAATTCGTCCATCCCCCCCCCAAAAAAAATAGTCCGGCGCCCACAAGGTCTGAGGGACGGTGAACCGGCCCACGGCTGGAAAAGGTTGCTGACCCCTGGACTAAGGGGACTAGGTTTGACCTCTAAATGTTCCCCTGGCGCCTCCTTCACACAGCCTGAGAAAACCACTGGCCTGCAGGCCTGATCTGGCTCGCCAAGCTTTCCCTAGTGGCTGCCAACTTTTCTGGGCTTGCTGATCAGAAGGTCGGCGGTTCGAATCTGCGCGATGGGGTGAGCTCCCGTTGCTCAGTCCCAGCTCTTGCCAACCTAGCAGTTCGAAAGCACGTCAAAGTGCAAGTAGATAAACAGGTACCACTCTAGCGGGAAGGTAAACAGTGTTTCCGTGCGCTGCTCTGGTTCGCCAGAAGCAGCTTAGTCATGCTTGTCTGCGGACAAACACTTGCTCCCTCGGCCAGTAAAATGAGATGAGCGCCGCAACCCCAGAGTCATCCGTAACTGGACTTAACGGTCAAGGGTCCCTTTACCTTTATCTATGTCCTGTATGCAGGGCTTATTCTAGCATACAGCAGGACACTACAAAAGGGTGAGGGGTGGGGAGTGTGCTGGCTGCTTGCGCATGGGACGGAGGGGAGCTTAGAATAAACCTCGTGTCTGTGCAAACCTTCATGTGTACAGTGGTGCCCCGCAAGACGAATGCCTCGCAAGACGGAAAACCCGCTAGACGAAAGGGTTTTCCGTTTTTGAGTTGCTTCGCAGGACGAATTTCCCTATGGGCTTGCTTCGCAAGACAAAAATGTCTTGCGAGTCTTGAGATTTTTTCCCCCCCTTTTTCTAAGCCGCTAAGCCGCTAATAGCCTTTTAGCAGCTAAGCCGCTAAGCCGCTAAGCCTTTAATAGCCGCTAAACCGCTAATAGCGCTAATCCGCTAATAGGGTTGCTTCGCAAGACGAAAAAACCGCTAGACAAAGACACTCGCGGAACGGATTAATTTCGTCTTGCGAGGCACCACTGTAGAATGTGGATGACCACACTCAACACTGGAAGGTTAGCTGCCCCCCCCAAAGGCTTTCAATCCCTGCTACAAAGCTACAAACAGCCCCCATATTACCTTGCCACCTCTCCCAATGTGATTTACAGTGGTACCTTGGGTTAAGTACTTAATTCGTTCCGGAGGTCCGTTCTTAACCTGAAACTGTTCTTAACCTGAAGCACCACTTTAGCTAATGGGGCCTCCCGCTGCTGCTGCGCCGCTGGAGCACGATTTCTGTTCTCATCCTGAAGCAAAGTTCTTAACCTGAGGCACTATTTCTGGGTTAGCGGAGTCTGTAACCGGAAGTGTATGTAACCTGAAGCATATGTAACCTGAGGTACCACTGTATTTACAGCCTCTGAGCCTGGCTAAGGAGGAAATGCATCAAAAATAGACTGTAGGGTGTTTTTATGGCTCAGAAGAAAAATATAAAACACATCCCACCTACTGATTTGCCCAGGCTAATACCCCCAAAGCAGTATTTGAGGGCACCAGGTTGCTGAAGGATGATTTAGCACAATGTTCATAGATGATGGGATTCGAGAAGAGCAGCTTTGTCCAAATATTTTTTGTCATTCACCCACATAGAGAAATGCAGACTGGCAGAAAGAACAAATGCCTAACTCCATTAGTCTGTTGATAAAAGGTTCTTGGGCCTTTGTGTCACACGGCTCTTTCAAGTTGAGGATTCAACTTTGCTTGTGAACCCAGGTGGGTATCGTTGCAGCACTCTATATATGTGTGGCTTTCACGAGTAAAGAATGCCATCTGAAGAAGACAACACTTCTGCACAATTTATTTCAGATGCATATTTATAGTTTTCAAAAGCCCTGGTCCCGGTCTGCTTTACACAGAGTTAAACTACTTTTGCAAGTTGACAGGAAGACTTAAGAATTATATTGCCTACAGGGTCTTACCAACTGAGAATAGAAGGGGCAGAGAATATCAGCATAAACTGTATATTCCCCATCACAATTTGTTATCTTTCTAAACAGTTTAAAGCAAATGGAAGTGGTTTCCCTTTGTTCCTGTTCTAGTTAGATAAGCCATGGAAACACATTTTGACATCAAGAGGGAAAACTTGTGGAAATTTGCCATCAGATATCTTTTAGGAGACCTTTATTCCAGTATTTTCAAATCAGAAGCGCACAGTTAATTAATAGAAACAGAAGCAGATGTGTGGGAGGCAACAGGTTCCAAAAGTTAGTTTGGGCATCTGATAGGAAAAGAGAACTTTATTCTAGGGAGCATAGTTGGACCATAAGCCAGACAAAAGACCCATGCAAAACAGGTACATGTGCAAATTTCTGCTACTAAAATAAATAGAATGTAAAGTGTTTTAATTTAGAATGATGCACGATGGACCCCCCCAATGTTGGGTGCAATTCAGCGCCCCTGCATTAATACTACACACACACACACACACACACACACACACACACACAGATAGGCTTGGTTTTGCAGCTGTTTTGCCCTATTCATTTAACATTTGTCTTAAAATAGCAGAAAAAAAATTCATGGGGTATGTGACCATCAATGGTTTTCCTAGCTAGATGAATCTGCCGCAGATGTCTTGTTTTATATTGTTCTTGACCTCAGCTTCTGTTATTTTTTGAGCTGTTTTGTAACTGTTTTCTCTATATTACCTTGGGACATATGCAGAAGGTGATTAATAAATAACAACAATAACAGCAGTAACTGTCATGATGGCTGTGTGCTGTCTTCAGTATCAAAGCCAAGCCAAACGGAGTACCCAAGCCAAACGGAGGACATAGATGATGCCTTCCTGGAACAGATGGCCAAGCATGCAAAAGGAAGGGAGATAGTAGTAATGGGGGACTTCAATTACCCGGATATTTGTTGGATGTCAAACTCAGCCAAGAGCATAAGGTCAAACAGATTCCTCACTGGCCTTGCAGACAACTTCATTGTCCAGAAAGTGGGAGAAGCAACAAGAGGAACAGCCATTTTAGATCTGGTCCTAACCAATGTTGATGACCTGGTTAGTGGGGTAGAAGTGGAAGGATCATTAGGCGCGAGTGATCATGCTCTTCTGAAGTTTACTATACAGCGGAAAGGAGCAGCCAAGCATACTAGGACTCAATTTCTTGACTTTAAGAAAGCCGACTTCATAAAACTTAGGGAAGTGCTGGGTGAGATCCCATGGACAGTAATACTAAAAGGAAAGGGAGTTCATGATGGCTGGGAGTTTGTTAAGAGGAGATACTAAAAGCACAACGTCAGGCAATACCAATGAGACGGAAACATGGAAGGTGCCTAAAGAAGCCAGAGTGGCTATCTAAAGAACTTTTAACTGAGTTAAGATTAAAAAGGATGTGTACAAAAATGGAAAAGGGGGAAACCACCAAAGAGGAATTCAAACAAATAGCCAGCACGTGTAGACACAAAGTCAGAAAAGCTAAAGCACAGAATGAACTCAGGCTTGCTAGAGAGGTTAAAAGCAACAAAAAGGCTTTTATGGGTATGTTCGTAGCAAAAGGAAGAACAAAGAAACAGTGGGGTCACTCAGAGGAGAAGATGGTGAAATGCAAACAGGGGACACAGAAAGGGCTGAACTCCTCAATGCCTTCTTTGCCTCAGTCTTCTCCGATAAAGAAAACAATGCCCGACCTGAAGAATTTGGAGCAAATGATTCAGCAAAGGAAACACAGCCCAGAATAACTAAGGAGATAGTACAAGAATACTTGGCTAGTTTAGATGTATTCAAGTCTCCAGGGCCAGATGAACTGCATCCAAGAGTATTAAAAGAACTGGCAGATGTGATCTCAGAACCACTGGCAGTCATCTTTGAGAATTCCTGGAGAACAGGCGAAGTCCCGGCAGACTGGAGGAGGGCAAATGTTGTCCCTATTTTCAAAAAGGGGAAAAGAGAGGACCCAAATAATTACCGCCCAGTCAGTCTGACATCAATACCAGGGAAGATTCTGGAGCAGATCATTAAGCAAACAGTCTGTGAGCACCTAGAAAGGAATGCTGTGATCACCAATAGTCAGCATGGATTTCTGAAAAATAAGTCATGTCAGACTAACCTGATCTCGTTTTTTGACAGAGTTACAAGCCTGGTAGATGAAGGGAACACAGTGGATGTAGCCTACCTTGATTTCAGCAAGGCATTTGACAAGGTGCCCCATGATATTCTTGTAAAGAAGCTGGTAAAATGCGGTCTTGACTATGCTACCACTCAGTGGATTTGTAACTGGCTGACTGACCGAACCCAAAGGGTGCTCATCAATGGTTCCTCTTCATCCTGGAGAAGAGTGACTAGTGGGGTGCCACAGGGTTCTGTCTTGGGCCCGGTCTTATTCAACATCTTTATCAACGACTTGGATGATGGACTCAAGGGCATCCTGATCAAATTTGCAGATGACACCAAACTGGGAGGGGTGGCTAACACCCCAGAGGACAGGATCACACTTCAAAACGACCTTGACAGATTAGAGAACTGGGCCAAAACAAACAAGATGAATTTTAACAGGGAGAAATGTAAAGTATTGCACTTGGGCAAAAAAATGAGAGGCACAAATACAAGATGGGGGACACCTGGCTTGAGAGCAGTACATGTGAAAAGGATCTAGGAGTCTTGGTTGACCACAAACTTGACATGAGCCAACAGTGTGACGCGGCAGCTAAAAAAGCCAATGCAATTCTGGGCTGCATCAATAGGAGTATAGCATCTAGATCAAGGGAAGTAATAGTGCCACTGTATTCTGCTCTGGTCAGACCTCACCTGGAGTACTGTGTCCAGTTCTGGGCACCACAGTTCAAGAAGGACACTGACAAACTGGAACGTGTCCAGAGGAGGGCAACCAAAATGGTCAAAGGCCTGGAAACCATGCCTTATGAGGAACGGCTAAGGGAGCTGGGCATGTTTAGCCTGGAGAAGAGGAGGTTAAGGGGTGATATGATAGCCATGTTCAAATATATAAAAGGATGTCACATAGAGGAGGGAGAAAGGTTGTTTTCTGCTGCTCCAGAGAAGCGGACACGGAGCAATGGATCCAAACTACAAGAAAGAAGATTCCACCTAAACATTAGGAAGAACTTCCTGACAGTAAGAGCTGTTCGACAGTGGAATTTGCTGCCAAGAAGTGTGGTGGAGTCTCCTTCTTTGGAGGTCTTTAAGCAGAGGCTTGACAACCATATGTCAGAAGTGCTCTGATGGTGTTTCCTGCTTGGCAGGGGGTTGGACTCGATGGCCCTTGTGGTCTCTTCCAACTCTATGATTCTATGATTCTATGAAAGGTGATTTGCTTCTGTGCTCCAGTGGCTGTGAATTGTGAGTGTTGCGCTGCTTGTGGTCTTCCCATGGGCATCTGGTTGGCCACTGTGAGAACAGACTGCTGGACTAGATGGGCCTTTGATCTGATCTAGCAGTACTGTTTGTGATGGCCTGGGATTCGGACTCGGATGCTGAACCTGAGGGATCCTAGCCTGCACAGGATTCCCTGCCTCCAGAACCAGCTGAGCCAGAGCTGGGGCATGAGCCTGAAGGGTCCTCACCTGTGCTGGATCCTCAGGTGCAGGCACCAGCTGAGTCTGCTCTGGTCCCTGAGGTGATGGAGGACCCATAGCCTGCAGGTGCTCCACTCTCAGCCCCGTCAGAGGAAGCTGAGGTTGCCGCTGGGTCCGGTAACCCTCCAGCCTCTCCTGAGCTACAGAGGCTCAGGGCAGAGGGAACTAAATTCCCGCGAGAGGAGTGCTCGCCTCCAGGCCAGGAGAGGCAAGTCACCAGAGGATTGAGGCCACCCTGTGCCTCGGGGCAGATAAAAGCCGGCCAGCCCCAGTCCCAAGTTGCGGGAGCAACATTGTTGGTTGCTAGTTCATGCCTTAACCCTGTCCTGCTTTTCTGCCAGAGCTCCTGACCCGCCCTGGCTCCCTGCTTGCATGCCTGTTCCTGACTTCACCCGACTCCCTGCCCTGCACCCAGCTTCAGCTACTATGGACTGCCTCCACATTGCACCTTTGACCATGTACCGGACTTGGACCTCGCCTCTCGGGTAACCCACAGGACCAGCACACTATTCTTATGTTCTTGTCTCATTGGGAAAGGTGGAAAGTAAATGTCAGAGGCAGCATGTCTCTGAATACTGGTTGCTGGCAAATGCAAGCAGGAGTGTGTTGTTGTGTCCTGCTTGTGAGCTTTCCATGGGCAACTGGTTGGTCACTGTGGGGAGCAGGATGTCTCCTTATGTTCTTACCAACTTAGATAAACTACAGAGGATAGTTTTCATTATCACAATCTCTTGCATTTGTCTTTAAAAGAGTGACGTTTCATAATATTTAATTACTCTTGCCCATAATGAGGTGATGATGAGAGTCCAAATTGGGGCTTGGCTAATTGGAAACGTAGCAGTAGTAGCTCAGTGGTTTCCAGGCGGATATTCTGACAAATCTATGACTTTGTTTCATCTATTATCAACTAAACAAACTGTGAAGCAGCCAGAGGCCATGGCCTCCTCCTGTATCAAGGTGTATTAGTGACGAAGGAGTTTTATTATTAATAGAAATGTGTCTTAAGAAAGCCTGTTCCTGAAAAACTACTTATTGCTGGGAACATAGAGTCCATGTCTCTTTTGAAGATCTTCAGCACTACTGATTTTCAGCTCATAGCTGCGTATCACTACAAATAAGCCAGTGAGTAAGCCATTCCTAAGAAAGATCAATTCAAAGGCAGAAAAAACAAGCAAGCTTTATATTCATGAGTGTGTGGTAGACTGAAGGCAAACCATACCTAAGAAATCTTACTTATGCCTATTTAGGACTGGAATGAGGGATACTTAGTTGTACTACAGCAAATTTCCCCAAACTGGTATCCCCTCCAGAACTTTTGGATGCCAACTTCCATCACCCCCAACCAGCATGGCCAATCGCAAGGGGTGACAGGCAGTGGCGTAGGAAGGGGTGTGTGGTAGGTGCGGGCCGACCCGGGTGTCATCAATGAGGGGGGTGACAAAATGGTAAAAATGTGTGCGGTTTTTTTCAAAATATAAAGGCTGCCTGCAGACAGCTTTCTGGATCATGGGCCAACATGACTAAACCGTTTCTGGTGCAACAGGACACCGTGACAAATGCCAGAACACACTGAAACACCATTTACTTTCACACCGCAGCGGTACCTATTTATATACTTGCACCGGTGTGCTTTCGAACTGCTAGGTTGGCAGAAGCTGAGACAGAGTAACGGGAGCTCACCCTGTCGCAGGGATTCAAACCACCGACCTTCCGATCATCAAGCCCAAGAGGCTCAGTGGTTTAGACCACAACACCACTTGCATCCCCTTAGTAAGCCATGCTTTATAAAATCTCATCTGCATCTCACGTTGTGGTTTGGAATAAAAGATTAAACCAGTCCCCGGTTCAGATGTGTATGTAACGTAGACCTCAGCCCACATAAAAGAGATTTCTACCCAGCACCCAACTTCAAAAAAAGTATTCCAGACAATCAAAAACAACCCACAGAGGCTCAGCATTAAGTTTGAATCCCTGCAAAGCAGTGTTCTAGAGATGCCATCATTCACTGATGACTAGTTTACACAGGAAATGAGATGCCTGGTGGCCAATTTCATTGAAATGTCTCAAATTACAAATACATTAGTCCCTGCATGGCATTAAAAAAACCCAAAAACCTTATGCAAGTGTGCTTGCTGTCTTCTCCGTTTTGCAGCAAATTCAAATTCTGCAATTGTCTTCTAGAGCTGAAATAGTCTATTTAAACAACAACAACTGTGGAGTGGGCCAGTTCATGACTTTGCTACCAGCCCTGGGGACCATCACTTGACTGTGTGCGTTGCTTGTGATAGCATTCCATACCCTAAGATAACTGGGAGCAACAGCCACTGCAAGCAGCAGCAGAAGGTGTAAGTCATTGCTGAAGGGGTGAAGAGTAAGAAGCTGGCTTAGCCTTCACTGCAAAAACTCAGAAGGTTTGTGATGGAATGTGTGTTGGTTGTCAACTGGAAAACCAGTAAAGCTTCAGGTTTTCTTATTTTAACCTCAGATGTGGCACCTGCAGACCACCCAAGAAGCTGCCCTGTCTACACTGACACATCATCTCTTGATGTTCATTTCCATGAATGACACGAAAGGCTCATCCACACTAGGCTTCTGCCCATGCTTTCCACGCTCAGACCTGTGTTTCCTAGTCCCAGCGTAAGCACTCCTCCGCCCCCCGTTTTCCCCAGGAAAATGCACTCTCTAATGCTGAATTGGAGCAAACGATAATTCAGGTTTCTGAGGATTGCCAAGAGCGTTAAAGAGCTGGTTTCCACGAGGAACGTAGCCGGGTGTGGGTGGGTGTGAAGAGAACCCTGATACAAACCGGAAAAGCATGGTGGGATATGAGTGTTGATGAGTCCTTACAAGCACTGGTCAACATCTCTTGCATTGGTGAAGCTGAATAGCAGCACCATTTAGGAACATAAGAAGGGCTGCAGCTCAGTGGTAGAGCAAACACTTTGCATGGAAAAGGTTCCAAAGTTCAATCCCCAGCATCTCTAGGTGGAGAAGAAGAGTTTGGATTTGATATCCCACTTTATCACTACCCAAAGGAGTCTCAAAGCGGCTAACATTCTACTTTCCCTTCCTCCTCCACAACAAACACTCTGTGAGGTGAGTGGGGCTGAGAGACTTCAAAGAAGTGTGACTAGCCCAAGGTCACCCAGCAGCTGCATGTGGAGGAGCAGGGAATCGAACCCGGTTCACCAGATTACAAGTCTCCCGCTCTTAACCACTACACCACACTGGCTCTCAAGAGCTAGAAATGCCCTCTGCCTGATACCCAGAAGAGCCTCTGCAAGTCAGTGTCCCCAGTTATAAGCTAGATGGCCCAATGGCAGAGGCGTACTCAGGGTCCCTTGTGCCCTTGGCAAAGAGCTGTACTGGCATCCCTCCCACCCGCTGAAAGAAAGAAGCAGGCAAGGTTGCCTGGATAGGAGGAACATGCTTCCTGCCTAGACGTCATTCCAGTGAGTCCTTTTGTCCCCTCCAGCAGCAGCAGCTTTTCCTGCTGGAGATCCTGGCAGATTCCCTGAGCTGAGGGCGAAGGAGCTCCAGGTGTCTTGGGAGGACTCCCAACACCTGATAGGTGATTGCTGCACCCTGCCTCAGGCCTACACCCCCAGTGGGGGCTGGTTTCGCCAACCTCTAGGTACACCTCTGCCCAATGGTCTAACATGGTATAAAGCAGTTTCTTAGATTCCTGCAGGATCAAAGGTCCAACCTAAGATGCTTCTTAGGAACTTACAAGCAGAACTTGAAGGCAAGCAGCCTTTCCCTGTTGTAGCAATTGGTGTTCAGTGGCATGCTGTCAGAAACAGTTTATCCATCTTATATAAAACAGGGATAGGGAAACCCAACAGCAGCACCCCATGTTGTCATTTATGACTCCCATCAGCACCAGCTAGCATGGGACCAATGGCCAGGGATGATGGGAGCAGTAGTTCAGCGACACCAGAGCAGCCACACATTCCCCATCCCTACTATATGAAATTCATGAGTCCATTCTCCCAGTGCAGATCCTTATGCAGCCAAAATGGCACAATCCATTCACAAGAGGGAGGTACCAGCTGGCTCAGGGAAACCCAGAAGTTTGCAGAAGTAAGCTATAAATAAATCGTTTTTAGGAAGGAAAACAAAGGGGAGATCTTTCAGTGAGGGCTGAACATGCTCAATGGATATTGAATGCTAGTAGATTGCAGAGGGGAGAATGGAATATCCTGAAAAAGGGCAAGGCTGGCTGGCTAGAATTCTGAACAGGACCTCTCCTGATAGCAGGTCCCACTTTTCATTGCGAACAGCCATTTACAGGGCTTTCCCACAGGAGTTTGTATAATTCACTTTCCATACTGAATCCAGCCATTAAGTAGGTTTTTACATTCACACCTCCCCTCAAATGCAGGAAAAGGAAAAGCGCTGTCAGTGTCGTGAGTGAAAAGTAGCCCCAATACACCAGCAGCCTAAGTGGGATGTCTCAAAGACATCACCTACGCACACCAGACTGTAAATAACCCAAGCTATGAAAGAAAAGGTGTGCTGTGCATAAAACAACCTGTGGAGCTCACTGTCAAAAGCAGAAAACTGCACAGCTGGGATACTTTAAAAGTCAATCTCATCTGCTAAATGCTATTATTACAGAGACTTGTCAATTCGGTTAACGTCAAAGCTTGTTATATCATAACACAGCTCGTTAAGGAAAAATATTTTCAAATGCTTGGGATGGGAAATATATTTTGGAGGATTTATATCCTGGGCCTCTCTACATATGGTCTCAATAATATAAAACAATGCAAAAATAAAATGTAGTTATAAACATCTGAACAAATCCAATTCTCATGTAACACGCCCCCCACCCCCGGAACGTTTTCACAGGTTTCACACCTCTGGACAGCTGAACTAAAGTTCATTCACAAAGGCAAAACCAGAACCAACAATGAAAACGGATCAAACTAGTCATTGCTAACGTACAGTTAATAAAGGAATAAAGGAGCTTGGTGGTACTTCAGGGAAATATTATAAAAAAGCAAAACATACAGCAGGTGGACAGAGCCTAGAGATAAGGAGGAAAGGAAGGAAGGAAGGAAGGAAGAAAGAGTTACTGGAAAATTGACTTGCATTGCCAGTGCAGAGGCATTAAAATTGAACTTCCCAAAGTGAGCCTGACTTTGCCCTAGGGAGATGCAAGTGAGATGCTTTTCTAAGCACAAAACCCTCCATTTGACAATAGCACAGGCATGTATTTTAGAGCATACCCAGTCCATCACAGCTTCCAACACTGAACTGTGAAACGCACATGTGCTTTTTACTCGGCCCCCCCCCACCCTTCGTACATTACCGTGTTTTCTGATTTGGAAAAGTGCTCGCAAGTAACCCAAAGCCTGAGAGAGATGCCCCTTCTTGGTGATGGAGGAAGAGAAAAGGAAGAGGCAGGCAGAGAAAAGGCGCGACCGTGCGCTCCCCTCCGCGGCTTTCTCCCGCTTACCTATGGTGGAGACCACGGTGCTCACGAAATAAAAAGCCCCCGGGAAATCCCACCGGGGCAGCGTGTTGTTGATTCGGATGCCAGCCACGTAGGCGCCCTCGTACTCGCGCAGCAGCTCCTGCAGCTCGGCCGGCGTGAGGTTGAACCTGAGCGAGAAGTTCTCCAGCCTCTCCAGCCACTTCTCCTGCGCTCGCAGCTCCGTGGGCCGCTCGAGGGCGGAGAAGACGGCCGCGCCGCACAGCAGGTACGAGACGATCAGGACGGCCAGGAGCGCGAAGCGGGCGTTGTCCTCGTTGAAGGCGTACAGGCCGGGCGCGGGGCAGCAGCACACCCCGCGGCACCCCATCGCCGCCCGACGGCGCGCCCTACCGGTGCGCCCCCCGGCGGCCCATCTCACTCGATCCGCCGCAGGCAACACGTTGGGCGGGCTGGCTGGCCGCCGGTTCCCAGAGCCTGGCGGCGGCGGCGGCAACAACAAACCACGCGATCCTCGACGGCGAGCGGAGCCCCCGAGGCGACTGTTGCAGAGCAGGGCGCCGAAGCGAAAGGCCACGAGGGCATCGCAGGGGTCCCGTCCGTGGAGCCGGCGAGCCTGCCTTGGATGGAGTTCAATGGTCACCCGAGGCAGAGACGGGTGTGTGGGTGGGAGGCTTGCTCCCGAGTAGTACCGCCCGCTCGCAGTCGAGGGCTCTCGCAGTCCCAACCTCCGCTCCTCAGACCTTGGAGAAGTAGTTCTCGTCGCGGTCCGCCCGCCAGTTTCTTTTTCCGCCGGGATCTATGGAGCACGTGGCCCGGCTCGCGATTGAAAAAACACGAACTCCGCCCCGAAGTTCAGCTTTCTTGGGAGCCGGAGCCTGCTTTCTGCAGAGAGCCTCGCCAAACGCGACGTGATTCAAAAGGAACAAGGGAATGTTTCTCTGATCATGTGCAGAGTGCATTTCTCTCTCTCCAGCGAGCCAACACAGCCCGCGCTGCCCTATCCCAAGCGTAGATCAGGGACGGTTTCAGCCCCGGCATCTTTTATTTGGTCTCACCCTGAATCCACGACGGGGTTTTTTTCTCTTCCCCTCCTCCTGTGTTCCTCTCCAGCCCTCTAAGGCAGCTCCCAAGACCTGCGCCGAGGTTTAAGGCAAGGGCAGCTCCGCCCTCCGACGCCGCTCTCGGAGCTCAGCCTTCCCAAGACCTTGAACTTGCGGCCAACTCCTCTAAGGACCTGATCCGGGCGCGGGGCGTTGGCTGGGAAGAGCTTCGCCCCCTTGCGCCTTCCCACCTCTTCCACTTGAAAAGTCGGACGCCGAGCTCGCTGCTCTTCCGAGCGCGCAACGCTAGGGGCAGGCGAGGGGTTGGGGAAGGAAGCGGACCCCTTTCTCGCCCTGTTTGGACTCAGGCAGCGGCAGGGAAAGACTCCGGGGACTGACCGTGGTCCCGCGCGGATGGATGTGCCATTTCACACCTGTCGGAGATGTTCCTAAGGAGATGCCCAGATGAGATGCTCTTCTTGGGAAGACCAGGCAAGCAGGACTGTGCTACTCGCGGCCAGCCAGGCGCGATCTCGTCCCTGCTTTGCAGCCGGTCCTCGCGGGCAAAACAAGCTTAGCAGGATCCTGCCTCCGCCTCCGCGCTGCTAGAGCCCCGAGGGAACCAGCTTGTCTCTGGTTCGGTCCTGATTCGGCCGAGAGAGATTTCTGCGGGGCGCCTCTGTTACGCCCGAGAGGGTTTTTTTGAGTTGAGAGAGGCTGCAGGAGCAGGTGCCTTCAAGCCCATGTTTCTCTCCCCCAGTAAAGTCTCGGGATCCTCCAGCCTCCCAGCAGCTTGGAGACTGCGATTCATTTAACGATGTAACAAATACAGTAGTTAGTCGGGAGATTGCTGTATTCAGCCGCTGACACGCTCCAGTTTTAAAGGTCGCTAGACTCTCTGCCTTCTGCCTGTCTCTGCTTGATGCGTTCTTGCCATTTCTAGCCCAACTTTCCTGCAAGGGTCTCAAGGTGGCCTCCCCACCACGGTTTTGCACTCACAACATGATAAACCTGGAAGCCAACCAATGATGAGGAACCAGTAGCTCTTACAACAACAAACAACAACTTATTACCTATACACAGCTCATCTGACTGAGTTTCCCCAGCCATTCCGGGCAGCTTCCAACAGAATATAAAAACACAGCAAGACATCAGACCATTAAAAGCTTCCCCATACAGGGCTACCTTCAGAAAGTTGTATAATTGTTTATCTCTTTGACATCTGCTGGGAGGGCGTTCCACAGGGTGGGTGCCACTACCAACAAGGCCCTCTGCCTGGTTTCCTGTCACTTCACTTTCCCCAGTGAGGGAACTGCCAGAAGGCCCTCGAAGCTGGACCTCAGTGCCAAGGGAAGTGGAGATGCTCCATCAAGTATGCAGGACCAAGGCTGGATTACATATTCCGTTATCCCTAATTTCGGAATGCAGGATGTAATTTTGAATGCAGCCTTTTACATGCTCGCTCTGTGATGGATCCAAAGCTGCGACTAATGGATAAATAAGATATTTGGTGGTGTTAATGCTGTGAGCTTCCCCTCTCCCCCCCCCCCAACTTGGCAATCTTATACTCATGGTGTATATATGTGCAAATAAAACCATATATCCTAAAGACACCACAGTCTCCACTGGTCTTCATTCCAAGGAAAGCAAACCCTGGAAAAGCGCTGGGACCCCTGGAGTCTCTCACTATTCACAGTATTTATTGTGGCATAAGCTTTTGTGGACTCGAGGCCACTCTTACCAGATGCACAAAATTGGTGGTGCTAGACTTTGAGGTCAAAGTGCAGGAACCCACCAAGTTGTTTTTTTAATTTTCAAAAACTTTTTATAGGAAGAGGGCAATGGGCCAAGCACATGCATGGCTGCGGATGCTCATTTTATTATTTTTACTTTAAATACTTTTTTTCTGCAATGAAGTGTTGCTTATGCCATGCTTATGCTGCCATCAGGGCAGTGAGATGTAAACCCTCATTTGATCACTATAGTTATAATAGTCCTGCGATATTTTTGCAAACTGGTTTGTGGGCTGTTGCTTTTGCTCTATGTATCAGGAAAGTAGAAGCAGTTATAAAGCATAGAATGATAATGGAGAGGTAGGAGGAGAAAAATGTTAGCTGTGGGCTTTACAGCTAAAGAACACATAATGGCCTTATCAAAATCCTTTATGCAGCTAAATCCAGGGAATAAAATTACCTAGTTGTTATCCTCAATTAGTAGCTCTATATGCACATGGGTGTAGAGAACGGACTGTAAATAGTGAAGTTAAATGGGAGTGAAATGTGGAAAATAACAGCTTGGGACAATTACATTAAAGATTAAGTGTATGCAAAATAAGCAGTGACTATTCACAAAAGCAATGAATGGTAATTTAAGAATTATTTAGTAACCACACTTATAATTCTGCTTTTCTATCAGTGCACAAAAGGTGGTTTATAGACAAAAGTAATGCTTTGCATGCCAATACAAATGATATGAAAAGCAGCAGCGACAGGGAGGGAATAAGCAAAATTCTGGTCCAAACTTTGCCATAAGTTATGTAACTATTATTCCAAATCTATCTTCCTCTCTTCTTCACTATCCTGTTTGGAACACAGCATGTGTTATGAGAGACTGTTCACAAATATCAGCTGTCTGCAAAGTTGAATACAAAGCTTTTCAGGATTGCATATACAAACTTCCTGCTCCAGTACTTTGGGTTTTTTTTTTAATAGAAATGGGATCAAAGATAGCTACGTTTAATAATATGAAATTCCTTTGCATACCAGAAGAGGGGACTCATATTGTGAACATGGCCCACTACTGTATTTCCTCACCAGGGGATGGAAGAGTGGCGGATGCATTTCAATAAATAAGAGTTTTAAAACATTGGCCTTAATTTTCTGTCAGCAGAACTCCTGGTTACAATATATTACCACCAGCAAAAGAGGGGGATTTTTGCCAGCTTCCCTCTGCAGCCCCTTGGGTCCCCTAGAAAGCTACTTCAGATGATGGGGTAATTGCTGCCACATCCAGATGAGAGTGGGGGAATACAAAAATTGTCTCCCTCCTGCCAGTAGATCATCTTGGCTGTGAGTCCTGGAAGACCTGATCCCTACCTTGTGGAAATAGTTTAATTTTGTTGTGTACAATTTATTGTTCAGACTACTTTTGTTATGTTTGTAAATATGTGATATTTCTCATGTTGTTAGCGGCTTTGAGCATGGTTTTAGCTATGAAAAGGCAGACATACAAATAAAATCATTTATGTATGTACATCGAAAGCCCTTCCACAAACAGAAGTCCTTTTGCTTTCAGAAGCAGTTATTTGGATCCAAGCTGTAATTTTATTGTAAAAAACAATAGATATTGGGAGAAATATAATTTAGAAGAGGAAGCAAAATGCTTAATATAGTTACTAGGCAACATCTTTAGTACTGGGAGATTGCCTATATACAATGCCACTACTACAGAGAACCTTAATTCTTTATATCTACTCAGTCAAATGGGTCAAATGGGAGGCAGTCTAATTACTGTTCGTGACACTGAAAACAAAAGCAGAATAGCTGACATTATTCCTTGTTTAGTGCAATTTTTGTGAACATTCCTAAATTTTTATATGCATGTAACTGAAGTCAGAGGGTAGACCTATGCATTTTATTTTCAGCTATCAAGCTACATTAAGAAGTCCAAACATTACCATTGTTGGAAATAATGCATGGTTATGAATACCTTTTCATAATATTTTCCTCAACAGAGTTCTTGATTATTGCAAGGCTTTCATAAACTCTATAGTCTTGTTCCTTTGCATATTTGAGGTTTACCTGTTTTCACTTCACACTTGTATTGGTAATGAACCACCAGTATGAAAGTACTTCTTTCATACTGGGCCTTCTCAGTAGTGGCACACACCCTCCCATCAGATGTCAAAACGATAAACAACTACCTGACATTCAGAAGACATCTTAAGGCAGCCCTGTTCAGGGAAGTTTTTAATGTATGATTTTAGTGTATTTTTGGTTTCTGTGGAAGCCGCCCAGAGTGGCTGGGGAAACCCAGCCAGATGGGCGGGGTACAAATAATAAATTATTATTATTATTATTATTATTATTATTATTAGCATTCATTTCAGCTCCTTCAGGTTGAAAAAGTTGAGTGAGGGGCTGTGATAAACAGTGGTACCTCGGGTTAAGTACTTAATTCGTTCCGGAGGTCCGTTCTTAACCTGAAACTGTTCTTAACCTGAAGCACCACTTTAGCTAATGGGGCCTCCAGCTGCCGCCGTGCCGCCAGAGCACAATTTGTCTTCTCATCCTGAAGCAAAGTTCTTAACCCAAGGTACTATTTCTGGGTTAGCGGAGTCTGTAACCTGAAGCAAATGTAACCTGAAGCGTATGTAACCTGAGGTACCATTGTACTAGAAAGGATATCCAGAATGCAATATGCTAGGACCGAAAACCAGTGCCTATCTAGGTAACCCAACCATTGTTCTTTGGAAAGCTTGAGGAGTACCCAAAATTTGACTATGTCCTGCTTCTGGACTTCCCATAAGCATCTGCCTGACTGTTAGGAAAAGACAGTGTTGCACTAGATAGGCCTTTGGCCTGATTCACTACTTTTTATGCTCTTCTGCAGAGACCCGCCTTCACAAAAACTGTTAGGTGTAAACACCATATACTTGAGCTATTAAGAGTAGAACCCTACAATTTTCTCGATGAAGTAAATTTGCACTTTGCCTACACTATTGCCATTCTGTCTCCAATTAACTAGAGCCAGAATGGAGATGGTACCATAATTTGTTTTCATTTCCAACGGCAAATTAGCTCTGAACAATTTTGTGGCTTGTTCCCAGGCATGAACAGCTTCCCAAAAATTGCATGCAACCTCAAGGCTCACTCATAAAACCAAACCACAGCTTAAGACTGAACCAACCTATTGTTTCAATCCTAAAGATGCATGCTTCCAATTAAGCCCTATTGGAATCGATGAGACTTGGGCTACAAAAACCACTCCTATTTCGCTTCCCAATATTTTTAAACCATCAGTTAAACCTGAAGCTCAGGGTCCACTTCAGTATCTCATCTCATGGTGAATGATCGGTTATTGCTTAGAAACCAATGGATTATTATTTCTACAGCATTATATACAACATCTGTCAACACAAGAGCTTGGTTCTGTACATGTTTACACAAAAGTCACTGCCGGTTAGTTCAGTGGGTCTTATTTAGGAGTGGGCGCTGAACAGGAGATGGTGTCATTCTGTAGGCTAGATGTTGCCCATACACAATTAGTTATTGCTCCCTACTTTTAAAGATGAAATAGGAAGCCTAACTATCTTAGACTACCGCCATAGCAACAAACTACTTATCGACAGCATATGCTTTTATCAGGATTTCATCATTATAAAAATATGCAAAAAGAAAAAAGAATATATGCAATGCCTCAGCTGAAAAGCATTGTACAGTGAATAGCATCTGTGGGGGAATAAACTCTATTTGTGAGCACAAGACAGTGTCAGGAGAAAAGGAGAAGCCTAAGCTCATACTTCGATGACTGAAGAAACCAATAACTTTTATTCACTTTATTTCAATTCTGCACAAATTTCTCCTTCATCAGGGCCACTGTTTCCAGGATAAAGAAGGAACAGGGCTAAAAATATTCAGGCTCAGTACAAAGATAGTCTGACCCAACTGCCATGGTCATTTCAAAAAAACAGCAATGATGTTTATAAATTCAATTTTAAAAGCACTGCATTATCATAAGCTCTAGCAATGTTCATCTATATGCCCATTATTTTATTCAAAATGTTTTCAATCTATAAAAAATGTACTTCTTTAAAAAAGAGAAGTTAGTTTACATCCTGTGTAAATGTTCTTAAAACCAGCAAGTCCCACAGGTATATGAATCGGCTCATATTTAACGATGCTGAAGTTTCAGGGTGAACTTAAGGCTATTCATTTAGGGACCCACATATTTCCATGTGTATCAGGCGCTTTGGTGTAGGGAATATTCCAAATCCATGGGCGATCTGCAAGGAAGAAGAAATGGACAGATTTACACCACAGATACAAAACATGATGAGCCAACTGAGAAAATTAAATTAGACCTTCCATTCCCAGATTTTGATAGGAGTTAGATGTTTCACAGCCATTTCATTTTTTCACCAGCTATTAACCTTTAGAAATGAGGTTTTGCTACTCAGAAACTTGTTTGAGGTATGATTAGCTTTGACCTTTATAGCTTCGTTAGTGGGGAGTGCCCAGTGCTGCCCAGTTATTTTTAGAAACCAAAAAATATTGAGTTTTTTAAATGGACAGTCCAATCTGTGGGTTTGAACCTGTCGCACCAAACTCTGGGTGAAGTCAATCCAAGGTCAAGTTTTCATCTGCCATCTTGATTCAAAATGGCACCTGGCATCCAGACAAGACCACTGTTCCCACCTTGCGAACCCTTTTGCCATGTTTGGCGTTGATGTCTCGAGAGGAGACACAATCTATGGCAAAAAACAAAGTCATGTCAAAATGAAGTTTTTGTCCATCATCGTGATTCAGAATGGCACCCATCATCCAAACCGAAATGAAATCTGCCGCCCTTACTTTGAGAAGCCTTGTGTCAAGTTTGGTGATGAAATCTTTGAGGTATGATTAAGCTTTGATCTTTATAACCACACAACAAAACACACAAGAAGTTCTTCCCAAGGAGCATCACCCTCTTATAGCAAAGTTTAATGTTGGGGCGCATAGCCAAGGGCACAAACTGGAGCATTAATCAATATATTGAATATGTATATGCCAATTTGCTTTGTCAGAATCTGCAATATTTCATTTTCAGCTTAGCTTTATCTTAGATGCTAGGAATGGTTAATGGGCTGTAAGACACAATACACCTAAGCAATACTTACCAAATTCATTTACTGTTACAGCACTCAGACAATGGGGGATACTTTTATAGCCCTATTAATACCCTACTTGAAACAAAGCCTACAGCCTTGGGGAGAAATTGGAATGCACTAAGAATACTTCTACACTTCAAAAGGAGCAGCAGGGAAGTTCAGGGGTTGGGATAGTTTTGTAAAACCAGGTACAGAGAACATTATTTCATTTGTAAAGAAAGGTCAGAACTGCATGACACATTACAGCAGAAGGAATACCAGGGTACAATTTGATTGATGTAACAGCAACAAGATTATTACCTGAAATTTCCACAAATGCACAGATTTCTCAACTATGATTTTAAAAAATAAATTTGCACCCAACCCTTCCTCGCAATAATCCTGTAAAGTTGGTTAACTCAGAGGGCTTCACAGAAGGGCAGGGACTTATAACCAACACTATATTAAAAATATGTCTACCGTATATAATTGAGTATAAGCTGACTATTTCAGCACATTTTTTATGCTGAAAAAGGCCCCCTCAGCTTATACTCGAGTGAGGCAGGTGGCGGAAGTGGAGGGACAAGCAGCCCGAAAGGAGCCCTTTCTCGCCGCTGGTCCCGCCGCTGCCACCCGCCTCTCACAAGGGCAGGCACAGGAGCCGTGGCTGGGAGAGGCGCTGCACCTCTCTCAACTGTGGCTCCTATGCCTGCTCTTGTGAGCGGCAGAGGCGGCAGCAGAGGGACGAGCGGCCCAAAAGGAGCCTTTTCGTTTCAGGCTGCTTGTTCTTCCTCCGCTGCTGCTGCCACCACCAGGTTTGTGGTGTGGTGAACCGGATTATACTCAAGTCAATAGGCTTTCCCAGTTTTTGTGCTAAAATTAGGTGCCTCGGCTTATATTTAGGTTGGCTTATACGCGAGTATAGACAGGCTTTTATTGTAGCTCATATAATTGTTTTGCAGTTTTCTCCTCTGGTTTTACTGATTTTGTGTTGTTTTGATTTCAACTGCTATTCATTCCCTTGAATTTTTTTTTATTTTTATTGAATAGGATTTCTACATAAAATTACCAATTTACTCTCAATTTTACATAGGGGATGTCTTTGGAAGTACTGCCAAGACTTTTTGGTTCCATCAGGCTTCCTTAGTGCTCTAAGCTGTCACATATACATAACATTTTTAAAGCTTTCTGACGATAGACGTACTTTTAATTGCTCCATACTATTGTTTTTATTCGTGTTGCACGTTTCCTCGGAAATGTGTTACCTTGAAAGGTAGGAAATAAATCAATAAAGTAAATGGGATAAATAATAAACCCAGGTAAAAAGGGAAGAAAGGGGGACCAAAATGATCAAGGTTGAGGAAAAGTTGCAGCATTTGGGACTTCCTAGTTTAGCGAAAAGGTGACATGATATGAGTTTATGAAATTATGTATGGCAGGGAGGAAGTGGGCAGAGAAATGCTTTTCTCCCTCTCCTGTAATGCTACAACTCGTGGACATTCAATGAAGCTGAACGCTAAAAGAATCAGGACTGACAAAAGAGACTACGTCTTTACACAGTTGCATAGTTGGACTATGGAACTCTCTCCCACAGGAGGCAATGGTTGACACCAACTTGGGTGGCTTTAAAATGGGATTAAACAAATTCATGGAGGATAAACCTATCTACGGCTACATTATGGCTATGCTCTGCCTCCACAGTTGGAGACAGCAAATGGTTCTGACTACCAGTTGTCCTCTTGTGCCCGGGTCCTGCTTGCAGGTTTCCCACGGGCATCCAGTTGGCCACTGTGAGAACAGGATGCTGGACTAGACTGGCCATTGGCTTGATCCAGCAGGTTTTTCTTAGGTGGCTGAGCTAGAAGGAAACAGGTCTCTACAGTGTATTTGCAGCTATGGCACTTTCCCTTCTATTCCGGTGCAATTTTGCAGTTCCCATTCTCTCAGCAGTCTGCATGTCATTTTGGTAGCTGGCACAATACGCAGACTGGAGAAACCCAAAATAAAACGCCCAATAATGCAGAATCTTTATAGAATCTATTTAAGTGTGTGCAGCTTTGCTAACCAAGGATTCCTGCCGTATTTCTACTTGTCTTCTACAGAGCCACTACGAGGCAGGGAGAGAGACAAATCGGTGAAATCAAACAGAGGCCCAATGTTTAAAAAACAAAGATGACCAAGCAAAAGCCGAAGGAGTGTGTCATCTAAATAACCATCAAGGTCCCCATTGCAGGCCTTCCTCAAAGCCTATGTACTGTGCAGGGTGTTGGAGTTTGTTTGCAACAAAGATTCTTCCTCTGGCGAAGCTTCAGAGGTTGATTACAGACTATCAAAAGGGCTGTCCAATACAAGCCGTTACAGTTTCTGAGTGATGCCAAGGTCATTGCTAACAATTAATACATTGGATACACTGTGTAACAATAGGCAATGTGTGCTGCAAAAAATAATAACGACAAAGCAATTTGGAAACCTCACACAGTAGTACATACAGCAGCAGTACATTATGTTCAGCAGAACAGCGCTAGAAAACTGCATTCATTCTAGTTACGGTACAAACTATAGCCTTCTATGGTCTTCTCATTTGCTAATGAAAAATGGCCTTATTTTAACATATAGTGGTACCTCGGGTTACATACGCTTCAGATTACATATGCTTCAGGTTACAGACTCCGCTAACCCAGAAATAGTACCTCGGGTTAAGAACTTTGCTTCAGGATGAGAACAGAAATCGTGCTTCGGCGGCGCAGCAGCAGCAGGAGGCCCCATTAGCTAAAGTGGTGCTTCAGGTTAAGAACAGTTTCAGGTTAAAAACGGACCTCCAGAATGAATTAAGACTTAACCCGAGGTACTACTGTACAATAAAATAAGACCAATACAACTTTCTCTGAAGATTTAGACAAAGTTACTGAATTGAAGAATGTTAAAACAATCCATCAACATTTATTTATACTGCCTTAACAACAAGTGTGAGATGGCACCTTATAAAAATTAGTGTTTAGCTAGGCCTGTTTAACAGGTCTATAGCAGGGCTTTATTTCTGTCTACTTTTCCTCAAAGTTGTGTTGCTGTTTTTAACACTTTTAGACTTCCCACTAGTTATTCATAGAGTTTTACAAAGCAGTGTCACACTTCAAGCCCTATGCTTTCACAGGAAAGGAAGCAAAAGGGTGTAGCAGATATGCAGGGAAAAGACACAGAGGAAGAAGCAAAGTATGCAGACATATATTTAACCATTCCAAAGGGAGACCCCACATACTGGTATATCTCCTGCTTGCTTTTTTCATGGTAGTCCTGAGTTGTACAGCTCTGGTCCACAACAAGAAAACAATGAAGATTTTGCAGAGCTGAGTTTACAGCTTAAAGTCCCGTCCGATTTCTTTCAATAATACTTCTCCACAGGATGTAGACTGATAGAGTTGCAGAACTGCGTTGTCAGCTTAACGTAGGCAGCATTCCTTAGGTACCTTTCGCAACGTCTCCTAAAGGGCTGTCAACAGGAACACCTTACATTGAAAACATTGTGCTCTGCTAGGACTTAGCACTTCAGGTTTCCTGGGATACTTCACTGGATAAAATCTTGCAGCCCTTTGGCAGCTGTGCAAGATTTTGCTTACTGGAAACCAGAGGAGGGTGGAGAAGAAGGGAAAAGACAATTTCAAAGCCTTTCCTTGAAAAGAATCCTCTCAGAGACCCTCAGGGGTTTTGCAATTCTATGTACCAACCTTTGAAAAGCTACCCCACTGGCAGAATTCTAATGCACACAAAGACATGCTAAAAACCCAGCTTCAAAATGAAGGGAAAGCAACAATGCTTCACATTTTCTTGCTCCTTCTGCGCAAAGTGATGATACCCATTTGTAAAACAGACATAGCATTTCATCTTAAGTATATTAATCTACTGCACAATGAACAAAGCAACCTTTGATTGTATCAGCCAGAATAAAACACTCCTCTCAAACTGCACATAATAGAAAGCCATGAAATTATGTCTCCTGCAAGTGCAGCAATTTGCAATGATTTAAAGAGAGACAATGTCATATAGCAGGTCAATTTCTGAACCTGTGGATTTACGACATTTTTCACTGCCAAGAAGAAAACGGAGGCTAGTCAGCTCCTCTCAAAGTCAGTAAATGAAGAATCTAGAGTTCTCCATAAGCAAGACTGTTCAATAAATGGGACCAAAGTTGGCAGCCTGCATCAGTGGACCAAAGAGGTAAACTGCCTGACAACAGCGAATGAAACTTTCAGTACATTCCTTTCCTCGACTTGCACACATTTTCTCCCTTTGTGCTGGTGGAGCACAAAGTTATACTTGCCAAAAAAACCACCAACATTCCAACACAGCAGCATATCAGGATCGCATATCAGGAGGTATAGAAGTCTTATTTGTCTCTGTACAGCAGGATTTGCTAGAAAAAGGGCAGAAGCTAGGCAGAACTGAGCAAGAAGCAGGAAGAGGTTGAAATGCTATGCTCACTTGGGACTAGTCCCAGCAAAATGTTACACCCGAATAAGAGGAGGCATAAATGAAAGCACTCTAGAGCCAGTGAAGATCCCAGCCACACCACATCATGATGGGAGGAAAAGAACCCTATCGATGCTGCAGCTAATCATATCACCATCAGGAAAATAGAAGTCCAAACAAGGAAATACAGCTTGCTAACAGCACTCTCTCCCTTCACAATTCCAGAGACCTCGGGTGACACACGTGGGATTTTTTGATAAGATAACATGATGGAAGGGCACGTAGTGGAAAGGTAACATTTTGTACAAACAGAAAGCCAAGGCAAACAAATACAGAAAGGACGAAAGTATTATGCTTTCTTAAGACTCCTTAAGGACACGGGTGGCGCTGTGGTCTAAACCACAGAGCCTAGGGCTTGCTGATCAGAAGGTCGGTGGTTCGAATCCCTGTAACGGGGTGAGCTCCCATTGCTCGGTCCCTGCTCCTGCCAACCCAGCAGTTCGAAAGCATGTCAAAGTACAAGTAGATAAATAGGTGCTACTCCGGCGGGAAGGTAAACGGTGTTTCTGTGTGTTGCTCTGGTTCGCCCGAAGTGGCTCAGTCATGCTGGCCCAGAAGCTGTACACCGGCTCCCTCAGCCAATCAAGTGAGATGAGCGCTCGCAATCCCAGAGTCGTTTGCGACTGGACCTAACGGTCAGGGGTCCCTTTACCTTTAAGACCCCTCATAGATACATCAGAGACAAACACCCACCTGGAAGCCCAATGTCACATTCTTGTAAATGAATTTGTAAGGCACCCACACAGGTATGCAAGGGAGGGGAAGGGCATACATTTTTGAAAGCCAGATTTTGGCCCTTAAGCTACCTTGCACAAACGGAATCATAGGACCAGCCTATCAAAGATTGGCTACTTGTGTCCCATTCTTCTTCCAAGCTCAGCCCATCATTGTAACAACACTTGGGCAGATCCATAATGACCTACCTGAGGGTTTTTGAGCCAAGCAGGATTTCCAAAGTTTGGCTGTTAAAGTCTCATCCCCCGACCTGAAGCACTAGTTGCCACAGCTAGTCTTATGTGGAGGATCTAGTCCTTTTGATGAGTGGAGTTAAAGAGCAAGACAATTCCGGTACTTTAAAAATTACTTCCATTGGTCTCTTTTGGGTTAGTCTCACTTTCTAGATATCATCTCCCTTAGCTCCCATCAATGATTATAGTTTTTTCCCCGCCAAGTGCCAAAGAATAAAAAGATATTTTGCTCAAGTGTGGTACTTGTCCTTTTTTCCTACATTTGATGAGGACACCTTACCTTTGCTTTCATACTTCTCTGGGGGCAGATCATAAGGTACAGGAAACGATAACACTGGCTCATCAGAAAACATGTTTTCCTTCACTTGGAAGTAGCCTGAATCCAAGCCCTGTGAAAAGTGCACACACAGAGAGAAGTGATGTTACATTCAATCCATCACTTCACTTCCTTTCATTAGAAAATATCCATGAGGCTTGCAAACATATATTCTGCTTACATTTCCTTCTTCCCTGGTTAGCAGCTACAACATATAGTCCTGTATCCAGCGTTAGTCATACTGGGAGTAGACAAACTGAAATTAAATGGCCTGCGTAACTTAGGTCCATTCATTTAGAACTTGGCTAGATGTTAAATAGCTCACCCAAACTACAGAAACAGACATTTTATTAGCTTTGCAAATGTCTTGTTCCAAACTGTGCAAGACCTCAAAAGGGCAGTTTCACAACTTTTTGGAACTGTGATACAGATGCACATTGCCTTATGGACTGATGTCATAATGGTCTTTATGTATTTATGAATACATAAAAAGACTTGATTGCATTCACTAAATGAACCATTATATGGAATTAGATAAACTCACAAATTCTGATGGCAGGAAGAGGACTCCTAGCTCATATGATCGGATCATCATCTGCGTGCCATTTTTCTCAAACACTCCCCAGGCAGCCTTAGAAAGATTGGCACTAGAGAGAGAAAAACTCAATGAAAGAGGGACCGCCCATTTCTGAGACTCACAAGAAAGAAAGAAAAACACCAAAATTGCTACCTGTTTTACTTAAAAGAGGACAGAGGGGCCAAATGATAATCAAAGCAGCTGTTCCGGAGGAAATACAAAAGAAGTCAGAAGACTTGCCTTGTAACTAGAAACCATGCAATCTTCTGGAAGTCTGGAGATGATCTCATGTAAGTCTTAATGTGCGGCATTGCGTGGCTACGACCTGACGTCTCTGCTGACCACTTGCTCAAGTTTTAAAAAATGAAAAAGGAAGTTTTAGGTTAAACCTTAATTAAGATGTTTCCAAATTCACATCATTCCCAAGCGTTTCTGCCAAGCTTCAAATAAAGGCCAATCCCCATGTACAAAGTTTGAAGTGGCTATCCACATCTATTTTCAGTATACACAGGAAAAGTCTTCAAACATGGTTTATGCCCTTATTATTTGTATTGTGCAAAGCAGCATTCTGCAACCATTCCTAGAGCATATGACCGGATAATGATCAACTGTGCAGGTTTAGCCTCATTGCTAAGCACCCCACCAGCACTCTCACATGCAAGAATTGTCAATGGGCACAATGCGTTTAGATTCCAGTCACAATTAACTAAACCTTTTACCCTTCAATGTACAGATTCACGGGATTCAAATTACACTTGACTTAAACCAAGGAATGTATGTTTACAAAAAATTAAAAGAAAGAAGAGCACATTGTTGCTGCTCATCACTGTCTACTGATGTTCTTCTTTTTTTGCAATCCAGACATAAAATAACATTGGTTGGATCAGGCCACCTCAGTTTCTGAGAAAGCTTAAAGATTATATAGGAATGTACATCACAATCCAATGAGTTTTAAAAATGAACTTTCCAAGGGTTCTCTGATTTGCTAGTTTGTATGCCTATTTCTCCTGCAAATGTAACGGAGCTTTTAAAAAACAAACAAACCCAAAATGTCATTAAATCACAAGGAGATAATTTTACTTACTGGAAGTAAGAGTGCAGCCAAAGCTGTTTCTGTGCTGTTTGTATACTGTATGGAAGAGAACCACCAGCTTAGAGAGAAAGAAAAGACCCATTACTCATAGTTAAGTGTGGCATTGAAATGGTTTCTCACAATAGAATAATGAATTATTCACAAATTTTCCATATACATGCACAAAAAAACAGATTTAGTAGGATTTTTAAAAGCAAATTACACCCCAGCCTCTTTAAAGAATACTCTATATGCAGATTTTCAATTATGTGATATGGAACCTGCAGTACATAAAATAAACATCAAGGTGGAAGAGTCAATTGGAAGTGACACGGAAAATGCCAGCAATAACTTGCTAGTTCACATTAGTAGAGCATAAATTAACTATGCAATATGTCTTTCATGTTTGATAAATGTATTTAGTTATGAAAATATCAAGGCCGACGGTTTTATTCTGATGGGCGTTTGGTCTGTGTTGATTCTCACCTCCCACTCAGTCTTTTTCATAATGTGTTGATCCTATATTCTTATATTCTTAGGCTCTTTATATTTTATTACATAATTAACTTTCGAGGGTCATCTGCCTCAGGAGCCATTATGAGGGTTGAAAGAATGAATAGAGAAAAATGTTTTTTAAAAGAAGTTTTAAAATACCATGAAACTTCTAGAAACTCCTTCTGTTGTTTCCCCCAACTTTATAATACCACCTTTCTACACTGCACCCAAAGGCATATGTTTTTACCTGGATAACCTTCTAAACTCTGTCTCACGTTGTCCACTGATGGGTAAACCTAGAGTAACAAATTGTAATAACTAGTTAGCTATAATAAATTGTAGCTCAGTTGACAGCTATACTCTACTGAAGCACAATTAAGCTCAAGCCATTCGTGCCAAGTGACATGGTAGCAAACAGCTTAAGCCACAGCCCTACTTGGAAAAAGATCTGCAGAAATAAGTAAGACTCAGAATTCAGAATCTTTTTTTTTTTTAAAGTGAGTAGTGAGTTTTTGCATACAAGACGAGTACGGTGTTATACATTAACTCAGGAGAATTATTAAATGCACAAAGTCTATCGAGTTCAATGAGGCTTAAACATTTGTCTTTTGCTGCATTCAACTCTAAGAACTTCAAAAGGATTTGGAAGATTACCCGCTAGGTGAAGTTTTGAAGGAAAATGCGTGGGTTTATTTATTTATTTAGTTTAAAAAAGCAGTAAGTAATAAGCAAGCAATACCAGGTGAACAGGAACATCATGATTTGTCAGTGTCTTTGTGTTGTTTCCTAGAGAGATCAAACTGTCTCTAAATTCTGAACACAGCCATTTGGACTGATCAGCTCCCAAAGATCCAATGCTCGAGAACTGTCCTATTACAGGCCAAGAATGCTGATCAGGTAGCTGGGTTGCATGCTCTTTCAAAAGCTGTTGGGGAGAAATTGAATACAAGAACAAAACATCACTACCTTTGGCAATTCAAGTTGTACTGAACAAAGTCACTTGATTACCTGAAGTATGACAAAGGGATTGCTTATTATGAAGGACGTCATTAATCTGATTAGCTACTCAGCCAGCATCTCATCCAACCCTCCTTTACCACCAATGGATTCATAATAGGTATCTGTGCTGAATGCTTAGTTTCTCCCTAAAAAATACCATGACAGAGTTCCCTCATTGTTTAAAAACAGTAGGAAAGTCATGTCATTATGTTAACAGCAAAAATGGCCAAATCCTTGGGTACCTTACGGAATCACAGAATCAAAGTTGGAAGGGACTGCAAGGGTCATCTAGTCCAACCCTCTGCAATGCAGGAATCTTTTGCCCAATGTGGGGCTCAAACCCACGACCCTGAGATTAAGAGCCTCCTGGCATAAGCCTCCATGAATTAGTCTCACAATTGCATGGACTGGTAAGCTGGTAGGTACAAAGAACCATAGAACTGCAGAGTTGGAAAGGACCTCAAGGATCATCTAGTTCAACCCCTTGCAATGCAGAAATCTCAACTAAACCATCCATCCTCTGCTTTAAAACCTCCAATGAAGGAGCATCTACAACCTCCTGAGGGAGACCACTGCTGAACATATCTTACTGTCAGAAAGTTCTTCCTGATGTTTAGTCGGAATCTCCTTTCTTGTAACTTTAAACCACTAGTTTGAGTCCTCCCTTCTGGAGCAGGAGAAAACAAACTTTCTCCATCTTCCACGTGACAGGCCTTCAGATATTTGAAGATGGCTATCGTATCTCCTCTCAGTCTCCTCCTACATATACTTGGGGACAAACTGGGATAAGCGGGGAAAAGACACCTAGTTTTATGAACCCACAGGATCTAGTTAAGAGTGTAATCTGCTCCCAATTTCTCCAATATGATTTGTGCCACCACCTACCAACAGTGCCCTCTTCTGCCATTTTACACAGACCCAAAATATTTTTTTTTTGGGGGGGGGTGATATAAGAACACCAATGACAATTCAGAAACCAATGGAACATAGGACCAAGAACATTCCAACTCACAAAAGCTTATGCCTCAATACCTCACTATGGTCAATGTCTCTATTGTACCCAGAAAGCTAAAGATTCTCATCTCTATGCTATATCAGGAGGTATGGTCTTCTCTGGCCACACACTTCTCTGGTCTTCTCTGCAATTCTTTTTGCTAAATGTAACCTGTCACTACCTTATATTATGCGTACCACCAAATAGCCCAGTTATCAAGATAGTTTCTCAAACTGCACAATTCCCTCAGTGTTCAGCACAGAAGGCGGCTTCCTGTTGCTGTGCTCTAACTCTCCGCAATGGAAGAGTAACACTAACACACAGTATTTTATCAATATTCCATTTACATTTGTGTAGCAAGCTAGAGACATGCTACTACCCTGAGTCACCAACTGAAGATGCACCTTTCTCTCCTTGTCAGTTTCCGCTGCCAACAAAGAACTACTGGAGGCAAGCCTTGAAAAAGAAGAGCTTCAACAATACATCCTTAGAGGGATAGGAATAAAAATCCAGTACCTTTCTAAGTCTGAGATGACCCCATTTCTCTTTTTCACTGCCTTGGTATCGACCTGGAGTTGACCCAAGAAGATATACTCTACACAAAAGATGTAGACACAAATGAAAGCATGCCGAATTATGGTAACGGTTACAGTGCTTTTCCAAATTGCACTATTATCAGGCATTAAGTCTTCTCAAAGATGCTACTGCCTAGTTAAATTGTTCCAACATGCAAAGAGAAAATGATTTTTTAAAAATGCAACCAGCTTTCAGTTAGAACCTTAATTTTATCACTGCTCCATTCTCATTGCACCCCTTCCCTCTATCCTTCTCAACATGCTAAAAAAAAGAAAAGCAAGCCAGGAATAAGAATTCAGTGCAATTCGTTGTAAAAGTAACCCCTCTCAGATTATGCACCTTGTCTCTGAAAGATCATGCTGCTTGATTATTTCAACCCATTCATTGAGAGTAGGAGAACCATAAGACCTCAAATAGCTTATTAGGTCACACTTAAAATTGGTACGAGATTCACCAGCAGACTCAGCAGCTCCAAGTGGCAGTTTTGGATACAGAGGGCTTAGCCATATTCTGGAAGACAGAAGTAAAAGAATGGCTGATGTATCACCAAATGATTATATTGCATTTAGAACAACAAACAGTTTTGTTAAAGACTCAGTGTGATGGCCAACTAATGCTGGATCTTGCCCTAACGTGTTATAGAAAATGCTTTCATGGAGCAGAGTTAATTTCTATCAAATTCAAAGAATAAAGGTTTCCATTCTTTTCTTTCTTTTTTACAATTGTGGTGCGTCATCTTTCAAAAGTAAAGCTCACGGAACAGGTTTATTCTGCCCTTATTTAAAGGAAATATCCAAGCTTAATTATCTGGAAAATGTTTCAAATCTTGAAGCGAGATTCAGCTAAGTTGTTGCATGCACGGAATGCTGTTCATTCGTGCAACCAGACTTCCTACTCCTCTCTTTCCCAATGCTCCCTAAATCTCCTCCGGACAGCTGAGCAATTTAGCCAGCTTTGAAAACTGCCTAAATATGTCCTTTGTTTGAATATCCTAGAAGCAGATACAAAAAGGCAAGTAGCAATAGGCGAAACATTATGTGGTAGATTTTTGCAATATGCTACTTTTACCTCCAATAACAATAGTTATTATATTATAGTTCAACTGAGGAGACAGGACCTTCCCTAGCTATGTAGACAATTTTTCAATATGAGCTGCATTGTCTATTGCCAACAAACAAACAAAAGAGCTCTTGTATCACTTAAGTCTATCCACAATGTCACTGACACATTTTCTTTGTTTCTCACAATAATATCGGTATAATTTCTGTATCAGGAAAGAAACTAGAAATTTGACTTAGAATCAAATCTCACTTTACTACCCACCTGCTAAAAATACAGTAGGGGGGAAAAGTATGTTTTGTAAATATTAAACTTACCTGGATCATATTCTCCGTAAAAAGTAAAGACTGCATTTTATGACTTCTGAGCAGCCTGACCCAAGCAACTATCGTCTCAAGGTGAACTTAAGTTATTAGAGCAATAAACTAACTAGGAGTCCTCTATTTATATTTATAAATATGAAACAGTCCAAGACTGACAATTCCCTGTAATAGTTGAAATCTTAAAATTCACTGTAGATAGAATTCATTAGAACAATCTTCTTGAGGCATACCAAAGAACAGAGTGAAGTGGTACCCAGTGACTACTGACATTATTCAGTGGTGGAATACATTCCTGGAATTTTGCTGGTAGGGTTATGGAAGAAGACCTCTACTTTAAAAATCATGCAGTAATCAATCATACTTATTGTTTTGGACATCATACCATCTACGGCCAAAATGCAGATAAGGTAATAATAAATCTACAATTCATTATTTTGAAATACTTCATCCTGTGTAACTTTATTGTCTTATTTTATATTCTACATTGGATAAGGAATGGGGCTTATTAGCTGTACCACTGTCTGGACTGGAAGTTTGCTACTGGGTTTTATAACGGAAGGCATTTGAGGCAAGCCAACAATGGATCCTCTGGGAAATAAGGCAGCCCAGAGACCATTAAAGAGGAAATAACATATGTCATGTAGCCATAAACCACAATATTAAATGCCTTTCTAAACAGTGAGTGGTTGTGCATAACCTCTGAGAATCCTGGTCGTATATACATTAAACACATGCAATATACAAGGTTTTCAAAAACCCAACGATACAAATGACAGTCATACAACATGCTGTTTTATTCTGTGAGCTGCCATGAGATCTCACAATGAAGGGTGGTAGATAAAGCTAATAAATAATAATATATTCTAACATTTGCTATGGAAGTCAAGAGTCCTTTAGGGAAGTTTTTAAGGACTGATGTTTTAATGTATTTTTAATCTCTGTTGGAAGCGGCCCAGAGTGGCTGGGGAAACCCAGCCAGTTGGGTGGGGGACAAATAATAAATTATTATTATATTATAATAACTTTCTTACCCTTGTGTTTTCTGGTACCAATCATCATCAATAAGGTTGGATGTATGTATCACCACGCGAAGCCCTTCTTCGTAATGTAACAACATCATTTTCCTATACAAAAGTGTTATAAGTATTACGGGAAGGGAGCACCAAATACAGCAAAAATGAAAGAGGGCTCAAACGCGCAAATGCAACTTCAGCGCATTCAGGGTGTCTAATTCTTTCCATTAGAGTCTGGCAAAGAGGAGGGAGTTCTGAACAGGCATTTAGAGAGTGAGCACTGAATTAGACAAGATCAAACAATAAAAGCAAGGCACAGCTAGTGGGTGGGTTATCTGTCTAGGAAGGGGATATACATCATGTTTTGGGTGAAACTGCACGGTATCCTAAGGTGCACATTCATAACATGTGGTTACTAACAAATACAGTTTTTATTGTAGGTGCCAAGGCCACATCGCTAGGATGAAGTCAGGGGCGGACTTTCATAATATGGTGCCTAAGAGAGGACAAAATTTACCCTCCCCCCTTTTATTTTTTACACAACGATTCCTTTTGGAACAGAGTTTGTTAAAAGTGCCCTTGCCTTCCATTCTGCGTATGCTCTTAAGTGCACTATTTAGTGATCCCTCAGCTCGGCTCCCTGTGCTGGGGAACCACCTGCACCACCCTAAATCCGACAATGAAGTAATTTATACCAGCAGCTGTTCATGTATCAGCTGTAACATCTCTTGAACAGACAGACAGACAGCTATCCATTCCCTGAAAACAAATAGACTAGATGACCGGAATAGTAGAAGTGGTGTAGCGATCACACAGGGTCCCCGGACGTTTGACAGTCTATTGATCCCTGTGCCACCACTGTGCTCGCTTCCCCGCTGCCACCAACCCGTTACTCTCGGGTACACACTGAGTCCAGACAGCTGTTAAAATTAAACCAAATAAACAAGTTTATTTTATAAGCATTAACAAGTTTATAGTTTCTCAGATAATTTTCTTGTCAGTTTCTTAACCTTAGTTTCTTTACCGGCCTATACCTTCCTAATACCTTCTGACTGATTATCTCACCTGTTTCACTGACTCCTCTTAACAGATTCTCTCACTCTCTCACATCAGACTAGCCCAACCCACACTTATCCTCCCTCTCTCTTCTCTGACTCCAGACTGACTTCTTAACAACTCTAACTCTAATTCCTCCCCTTGGGTTCCATAGGTTAGTCACTTTACAATTAGTTAACCCTTTCCTTATGAACCCAGTATGATGTCACACACCTAGGAGGGCAAACGTCACACATGTATTTTATTTTTGAAACTTTTCTGGCCCTTGTGACTGCTGAGGAGACAACAGCACCCAGCACTTCCACGTTAAAGAATAAAAATGCCAAACTAGGAAGGCACTCTGTATTCCAATGACCAACCAGATACCAGCAAGGTGTCTACAAGCAGGACAACAGTTCTCTCCCATTGATGTCCCCGCCCAACAACTAGCATTCAGAAGCATGCTGTGCCTTAACCTGGAGTCATCATGACTACTAGCCAATGATAACCTGATTAACCGCCATGAAAGAGTGTTTGGTTGCAGCAGGCTTTTAATAGAGGGATATATTCTTGGCAGCCACCCTTACTAAAAAGCACTGACTATCTTTTTTTGCTCAGTAGGACAATAGTCACAAGGCCTTCCCAACCCAAATTTTATATTAAAAAGCCAATTACCTATCCTTCTCAAAAAATCTACTCACATTGTCTTTTATTATTTAAAAAGGAAATATTGTTAATTAGGTTCCTGTTGGTGTAACTAGCATATTTTCTGTGTCCTTTGTTTCAAAAACTTCATTAAGTAAATTATAGTAGAATGCTAAACAGAAAGCATGCCATGTGTTGCCTTGGCTTATTCCTCTCAAAGAGCCAGGTTGCCTTAGAAACTGGTACTTGGGAAGGAAAATGGCAAAAAAATATGCCTAGCTCATAATGCTGACTCATTCCAAGACCACACATAATAGCATTGCTAATGATATGAACACATGAAGTTGAAAAACAACAAGCTTACTCATAAATTGAACAAACTGTGTGCTATAGTGCACAGCAAACAATTAAGGTCTGAAAGACTATTGAAATACTACTTCTGAACAAAGTGAGGATGCTATTAAAGGCACTCATGGGTGGGTTGCCTCTTTCTGGTGGGTGCTACTTTGGTGTGCATTTTATTGGGGGTTTTTTGGGTGCTGGTGTTTTACCTGGTTTGAAAGGATGGGTGGGTTGAATAACACAATTTTTTATTTTATGAAATTGATATGCTGTGGTAAAACTGTTTTAGTTTTCCAATTGTGCAGCAATGCAAGTATATACAGTGGTACCTCAGGTTAAGTACTTAATTCGTTCCAGAGGTCCGTTTTTAACCTGAAACTGTTCTTAACCTGAAACTGTTCTTAACCTGAAGCACCACTTTAGCTAATGGGGCCTCCTGCTGCCACCGTAACGCCGTAGCACGATTTCTGTTCTCATCCTGAAGCAAAGTTCTTAACTAGAGGTACCATTTCTGGGTTAGCGGAGTCTGTAACCTGAAGCGTATGTAACCTGAAGCATATGTAACCCGAGGTACCACTGTAATCATGTTGTGAGTCCCCCCCTCTCAGGGAACAGCCAATAATGTAGCCTAAGGGTAGGGAAAGTCATGTATTCATGTTACTGCCTCACGGGGCAAGTGTTCCTAGATGTCATGGCAAGGAAGGGGGGGAGAATTTGCAACCAGAATTTGTGGCAACATCCACACGGCAACACGTAGGCCGCTTCTTAGCAGCATATCCGTGTTAGAAGGATCAGGACCACTCTTTGTGCTATTATTCTGCTGCACGCAGAAAACACAATTTAACACAAAAGGCTATATAGACAATGCACAGGCTTTTAAATAAGCCACTTAATTGTAACAGGCAGCCAGAGGAGTTGTTAGGCAGTGACAGCTGTGGGCTAGCAATATGGTTAATGGTCCCCTCCCTTACCTCACTGATATGCAGAAATGAAGCAGGTGAATATTTCCCCAACCCTTTATCCCGCCCCCCATATAGAAAGCTTCACCTGCTACAGTGGTGCCCCGCAAGACGAATGCCTCGCAAGACGAAAGGGTTTTCCATTTTTTGAGCTGCTTCGCAAGACGAATTTCCCTATGGGCTTGCTTCGCAAGACGAAAACATCTTGCAAGTTTGTTTCCTTTTTCTTAACACGTTAATACAGTTGCGACTTGACTTCGAGGAGCAACTCACAGAACGCAGTGTACATAGTAGCCTTTTTTGAGGTTTTTAAAGACTTTGGTGATTTTTGAAGCTTTTCCAAAACTTCTTTTGCAGCCATTTGGTAAGTTAAGCTTTTAAATCTTTTTTGGGGGGGTTTGGATTTTGGGTTGGGGTGTTTGGAATTCAAGGACTTGGTGTTGGGGAGGGGTTTGCATGAATCTGGAAGCTTGTGTGTTTTTTTCTGCATTTTTATGATTTTCTGTGACCATTGGGCCACGCTGCTGTTTTTTTTTAAAAAAATCTGGATTTGAATTTCTGTGTGCTGGGTGGCTGGGGGAACAGTTGGGGAGGGGTTTGCAAGAATCTGGAAGCTTGTGTGTTTTTTTCTGCATTTTTATGATTTTCTGTGACCATTGGGCCACTCTGCTGTTTTTTTGAAAAAAATCTGGATTTGAATTTCTGTGTGCTGGGTGGCTGGGGGAACAGTTGGGGAGGGTTTGCAAGAATCTGGAAGCTTGTGTGTTTTTTTCTGCATTTTTATGATTTTCTGTGACCATTGGGCCACTCTGCTGTTTTTTAAAAAAATTCTGGGTTTGAATTTTGAAATGCTCTTTACAGTATGTGTGACTTTAAAGAGCACTTAATAAACTCTTGTTGTACCAAATTTGGCTTTGTTTGGACTTTTTTTGACCATAGGAACGCATTAATTGATTTTCAATGCATTCCTATGGGATTTCGTGCTTCGCAAGACGAAAAATTCGCTAGACGAAAAAATTTGCGGAACGAATTAATTTCGTCTTGCTAGGCACCACTGTAGTAAGGTTCTGTGTGTTAAAGGCACAAGATCAGGAAAAGACTATAAAGCTGAAAACCCTAGCTAGTAACTTCTGTGCACCTATTTGCAAGGCTGATTTAAGGTACATAACAGAATCAAGGTGCAATTGCAATGGGGCACTTCCTTTTCAAGACTTTTGCTTACCTTCTTTCATTACCTGAACAAATCTAAAGGCCACACATTGTGTGCTGTGAATACACATGGGCTTTTCAGTTCTTCCCTTCCAGCTGGAGGCAATTTCCCCAAGGGTGGGGGCCCTCTGGAGCAGCACTCCATGAGGCATGAGAGACTGCCACTAGAATAAGTTGAGTCAATCATCCTCTTGCTTTGAGCACAAATACATCCCAAGTTGTAAACAGTCAGAACTTTTCCTATTATGCTGAGATTTAATTATTATTGTTTATCTATTTAAAATCATTTGTCCTCCCTCTTCCTCTCTAAGGAAATAGTTCCTTAGTTAGGACCATAACTGGCTTTCCCCAGTATAATACAGATTACTTACGTGTGGTGTGTTCCAAAGGCAATATCCAACTTTGCCTGAAATAAAAATGCAATTTTTAAAAAGTCTTTTCCAGTGCAGAAACTCTTAACATTATACAGTACTGCTTATAATGATTTAGGACCAGTTTTCTATTTTGCTTTGGCTTACTGCTCCCTGGTGGACTCAACACATATTACACTATAGCCGTCTCACCCAATACTATACATGCCATCTTCAAATTCTAAAAGTCAATCTACAGATTTTGCATGCTGTTCTCTATTGCCAATTGTTCTATTATAGCTTCAAGTATCTTAGGCTGCATATAGAAGACTCAAGAGAGGTATACGAGAGACCACAGGGAAATGGAGAACTCTGATCAAATAAAAATATTTCCCGATCGGTTAGTAAGATTGCCATAAATATAGTCCTTCTTACAGAAAACTATTAATGGACTGAGGATCAACAGCCACCCCCAACCAGGTGCCCTCCAGATGTTTAGGACAGCAGCTCCCATCATCTCAGACCTTTGGTCATGCTGACTAGGACTGAAAGAAGCTGTAGTTCAAAACACCTTGAGGGCACCAGGTGAGGTAAGGCTACGGAAGAGAATACTTTATCTTTTGTCAATATGCAAGCAAGATAAAAACAATTACCTGGCATAAGCGAACATTTTTATAAGGATGTGCCTCTTCATGTAGTGCAGCCTTGGATTCTCGCTTCTCCCCATGGATTATTAATAAAGGTTTGTCCCTTAGAGCAAAGGAAACTTCATTAGACAACTCACTGGTGATAAGGACCACACAAACCTCCAGCTGAACTACTGGCTATAAGCTGCTTAATTATGCTGGAAGTATGTGTTGTCAACTCCGACTGGAAATGCCTCTCAAGATTTTCAAAAAAGTGTTTTCTGACAAGGGACATTCCCCGCCCAACAAGGGGTGTCAGGGATTGAATCTGGGACCATCTGCATGTAAAGCAAATACTCTAGCATGGAGCTACATCCCTTTCCCATGTCAGTCAATGTGATTGAATGATTGGGAGTGTAATGTGGACCCCCTCACCCTCCTTCCTGCAGGTTCCTTCATGAATCTTCCTCCACTCACTTTCACCGTCTTCTTTGAGGTTTTCTTTGAATCAAGTGGTACATAAATTTTATGAAATAAATACTTTAACCAGGGGAACACATTGTGTCCCTGTAAACCATGGTTAGAACCAGGATGGCCCTCACAACAAGTTTGAAACAGATATGCAAACCATGGTTGCAAGACAGCCCAGTTTGCACTGTTACAGACATAAAACAATGCTGCAGTTAAGAATGTTAAAGGCCTGCAGATTCAGTCCAAAAAAGTTGAAGACAATACCCCACTATTCTTCCCCAGCAACTTATATTCAGTGGTATATTGCCTCTGAACATGGAGATTCCATTACTCATCACTGATAAATTTATGGAGATGAAATCTCTAAAAACCAACATCACATCATTACAACAAATTTAATCTCGCAAGAAATATGTAACCTAGACCATTTTTATGTCGATTCAATTGAACTTTAAGAAAAGTTCATCATCTTGTGCTGGTGCTGGTTTTAACCTTTAAAGCCCTATACGGCCTAGGACCCTCGTACCTACGGGACCGCCTCTCCTGGTATGCCCCACAGAGGAACCTACGGTCTGCAAATAAAAACATCCTGAAGGTCCCAGGCCTCAGAGAGGTTAGGCTGGCCTCAACTAGAGCCAGGGCTTTCTCGGCTGCGGCTCCAATCTGGTGGAACGCTCTGTCACAAGAGACTAGGGCCCTGCGGGACCTGACATCTTTCCGCAGGGCCTGCAAGACAGAGTTGTTCCACCAGGCCTTTGGTCAGGGCCCAGCCTGACCCCACCTCCGGCAACCTGCACAGAACTTTGCTTAACGGTTGCCATTAATTTGATTTTAATTAATTTTATAATGAAATGTTTTAGAATGTTGATTATTTGATTGTTTGATTATTTGTTTGTTGTTAGCCGCCCTGAGCCTGGCTTTGGCTGGGGAGGGCGGGATATAAATAAAATTTATTATTATTATTTATTATTGTCAACTGCCCTGAGACCTTTGAATGAAGGGCGGTATGTAAATTTAATTAATAAATACAGTAATGTGAAGAAGAAGAAAAGCACTACAAGAGGGAGCTCCTCTCAAAGCAGCATACCTGAATTCCTTTGGATACTGTTTGACAAGCCACTCCACATCTATACAATAGTTAAACTTTGTCATGAAGAGAAAAAGAAGGAATAGTTAGAACCTGTGTGCTACCTTTCCCCATAGTAACACTTACTGAAAGTTTAGAGCAGCCTCGTCTGACCTTGGATTCCCCAGATGTTGTAGCTCAACTTGTGGAGACTCAAGTTTGGGGGACAGTTGGTTTAGAGAGATTTTTATTTCCTAATTATAGGAGTCATTATACACACTAAGCAAGAAAATGCTTACCCATGTAACTAGCACCTTTAAAATGCAGGACATGCTTAAGTAAGGTTTTTACTGCTGCACATTAATTAGGTTTCATCTGCCACACAATGTATGAATATAGGCTGTCTCATTTATGTTCAAGGCATATGCAGCATTAGCAAAATTATCAATCCAACACAGCAAAAAATTATCTAACTAAATGCATAAAAAGGTGCAAAGAGGAAAATAAAAATTGAAACCTGTTCCCAAATATTAAGACAAATCATGTTCAGCAGAAAGCTATGATGGGGCGAAACCTTTATTAGGACCAGTTAAAATGTCACAAAAGTCAGCAAGCTTTAAAGTTCACTATACCCTTTCCTCTGAAAAACTTGCTTGATGCTTTTTGACATTTTAGTTGGACATAATAATGGTATTTCCTGAGACGGGGTTTGATTTTTTCCCCAAATGGGCAAACAAGCTGACCAAAAAGTTATGTGCATCTTCAGAAAATTCCTTTAAATGCCACTGCAAATCCTATGGGTAAGGGAACAAGTAATACTGCATTGTGTTTTAAAATAGCAACATGAATGTATAAAGTTACCTGAGCAGAAGATACAAGAGTCCCAAAGAGGGGAGACAAAATATCTGTCATAAAAATTTAAAGTTTTGTAAATAAGCATTTCTACTGAAATAAACATGAGCAAATTTGTTTTAACAACATTAACCATAAGTCAAATTCAGGGTTGAGACATGTAACTGAAAACAAGCCTACCTCACAAAAGTGTAAACTACTATTTGTTCTTTAACAAGCTGCACACTGTGTCAACATATTCATCAAATTATCTACCACTATCCCATGCGTTCAGGCCCTAAGTGTTTATGCGGAGTTAGGATTTTTTGTCCCACTTACAATCGGACACTTAGATTTGCCATTTTACACCCCACTTACATTTGTCATTTAGACCCTACTGGGTGTTAAGTGTCATTTTGATCTCTGGGCACATATTTTGAAGAGATTCTTTTCAGAGCTTTTCACCATACCTTTTTATTCTTACCATTCTGAACCATTTGGTGTTGTGTTGTCAGAAAACCAGGCAACCTCTGGACCACCCCCAGCTACAGGGCATCCATCAACAAAGTTAAAAGCAGAGATTCCAATACTAATACTCAAGTGATCCTATTTCACAGATCCCTCCATTACGAGAACTGTCAATTTATTATCTCCATCCTCTTCTATAACCAGTTAGTGATTCCTAAGAGGACATGTCCTCTTATCCCCAAATTACTAAGCGTATTCAGGAGTCTTTGGTCAGAGACTTTATTGAATTAAAACACCTGCTAGAGCTTTAAAGGTAAAGGGACCCCTGACCATTAGGGTCCAGTCGCCGAAGACTCTGGGGTTGCGGCGCTCATCTCGCTTTATTGGCCGAGGGAGCCGGTGTACAGCTTCCAGGTTCAGCCACTTTTGGCGAACCAGAGCAGCGCACGGAAACGCCGTGTACCTTCCTGCCACAGCGGTACCTATTTATCTACTTGCACTTTGATGTGCTTTCGAACTGCTAGGTTGGCAGGAGCAGGGACCGAGCAACAGGAGCTCACCCCATCGCGGGGATTCGAACCGCCGACCTTCTGATCAGCTTTCCCTAGGCTCAGTGGTTTAGACCACAGCGCCACCCGCTGTTTAGTATCACCTAAAATGCTATGATTTTCAATTGAAACCACTGCTAGTCAGCAAAGATAAATAAATCAAGTGGTGTACATGTGTGTGAACCCAAGCTAGTTTTCTGACCACTGCAATATTTGTTTCACACATTACACTGCAATGCCTCGATATACCAGCTGCAGTAACATTTATACCATCTCTTAGAAAAAGCTAACACCCAAAATGTGTATGCATTTATCCCCATTCCAGCATGCCATTACTTACCTTTTATGTGTAGGGATCCAGAATTGTACTTTGGCTTAATTCCTTTGACTTTAGTCAGGAAGAATCTGAAAGGGTTTCGTCCATTTAATAGATCCCAAGCATCTTGTACTCTGTCAGACGGCTCTGTCGTTTTGTGGCTTGGTGGAAGTTTATGGTTTGATAGGGTCCCCTTAGGAGCACAACTCTCTTCCTGCCCGACTCCAGCTGCTGCACCTCCTTTCCCCCTTCGCTCTTTCAGATCGTCTTCATCATCATCATCACTACTAGAAAGGCACCAACCTAAACCTTCTTGAGAGGGCTTCTGTTTCTGAGCCGGGGCTACTTCCTGCGGAAAGCTTCCATCGCTATGTTCCAGGGGAGATGCTTTTCTTTTGTGAGCAGCTTTCCTGGCCTCTGAGCAAGGGTAACCGGGACCCTTCTCTTGCCCAGTTTGCTGCAGCAAAGAGGTGGACGGCATCTCGCGTTTCGTTTGTTCCCCTGCACTCTCATCATCGCTACTAGACACTGTCCATTTCCCATGCTCACTTTCCTGAGACATGATATTCTGCCAGGAGGATCAGGGTGGGTGGGGTGGGGAGCAGAGGTGATACCTAGGAGGAGCTCAGGGGTTACTATGCCCACCTCCTCATCACAACCCCTTTCACTTTTTCCGTTGTTTCGGCTTTTTCACACGTTCTCCTCCACAGCCCAGTCCACACTTTCTTCCCTTCAGACCAGTGAACCTCCAGGTCGGAACCTGCTTTTTCTTCCTATACCTTAAAGGGCCAGTTAGCCACGAGTGACCTTTCAAAAATGTCTTTTTTTAAAGGGCTAACCCGGGTGAAGCTGGCGCGTTCACCTACTGGGCAGCTAAAAAAAGCGCTAAACTCAAGCGCCTATTTTTTATTTTATTTCAGAGCGGCTGACATAAGAAACGCGGCAGAGGAAGAGTTTGGGTCGCTTCTTGAAACCGAAAGCGGACGGTGTCCTGGCAGGAGCCCTGCAGAGCTATCCCTTTGCGGAGGCCGCTATTCCCTCAGGAAAGAAAGAAACAGGGAAAGAAGCTCCTCAAAAGCAACCGGGACTTTTGAGCCAAGCGCGTTCAGGGCAGCGAGGAGGAACCAGAAGCAGCAGGGGCAGCCCTATTATAGAAGAGCTTCCGGTTCCGGGAGAGTAGCCGCCCGCTTCGAAACCATATGACAGACGCGTCACCCAATCAGACGATTCCTTCGGCCCAGGAGGGAGAGAGAGTGGGTGGGGACAATAGCGGCTTTCCTGCCTCGCGCTTCCAGCCAATGAGGGGCGGCGTTGGGGTTGCTAAGGAGAGCGGTTGGGTTGCCATGGGAAGCTTGGCGCCGGTTTGAGGCGGCGTCTGCGATGTGCGCTCGGCGTGAAGAGGCAGAGAGCGGATTAAGTGGCGAGGAGAGTCGCAGGAAGCGGTGGGTTAAAGTAGGTAACGAGGTGTGGTGTGTGTGTTTGTGTTGGGTGTTCTTTAGATGCATTTGTGTTCCACTTTTCCTCCGCTCTCTCGTCCTCACAACAGCCCTGTGAGGTTGGCCAGGGAGTGACTGGCCCGAGACCATCCCAGGCAGCTTAGTGGTGATTTGGACCTGGGTCTCCCCAATACGTACTCCTAAACATTTCATCATAGATGCTCGAAATCCTCGGTATTCGGGTGTCTAGTCTTTGCTTGAAGGTCCGTAGCGACCCCCCCCAAAAAACCCCCAACATTTACAACGACAACAAAACAATTTATTTATACCCTGCCCCTCTGGCTGGGTTTCCACAACCACTCTGGCCAGCTCCGAACAGAATATTAAAAACACATCAAACATTATAAACGTCCCTAAACAGGGCTGCATTTAAGTTCCTCTAATGTTCAATCAAAATACACCCTCTTGCATCGTAAACACATTACCGTAGGTATAGCCCTCCCATCTAAGGCAGAAAAGATAAAGGCTTTGCCCTCTTCTAAAGTGACAGCCCTTCATTAGAAGATATTTGAGGAGTGCTATAATCCCACCTCAACGGATGCAGGTGGCTCTGTGGTCTAAACCACTGAGCCTAGGGCTTGCCGAGCACGTCAAAGTGCAAGTAGATAAATAGGTATTGCTCCTGCAGGAAGGTAAATGGCGTTTCCAAACGCCGGCTCCCTCGGCCAGTACAGTGAGATGAGTGCCGCAACCCCAGAGTCGTTCGCAACTGGACTTAACTGTCAGGGGTCCTTTACCTTTACCTTTTTATAATCTGACATCAGTCTTTTTTCTTCTTCAGGGTATGCATGTTCAACTTTTCCTCATAAGGACTTTGTTTCCTATACTTCTGTCCCCTTCTAGTTGGGCCACATCCTTCTTAAAGTGAGAAGTCCCAGACCTGGACACGTTACTCCAGATGAATCTAATGAGGAATTGTTACTTCTCATGACTTGGAAACTATCAAGAGGCTTGGGTGCTTGTAGGCTGCACTCTGGGCTAGACCAAAGACGAAACAAGGCTTCATTCCACCCAGGTCAAAGACACAGTTTGGCACACACAGAAACCCCACACATTGGGAACCTCATTTGTGTCCCTCTGGAGGCTTCACCTGGCTAGTTCCTCCATAGCTAGCCAAATAATTAGACACTAGCCAAATTATCTGCAGTGTGTTGGTGAAAGGTAACTGCATTTCCAAAAGTATTAATTCCACAGTTCACATCACACGAACAATTGCCCTGATATATCAGAATTAATTGTAAATACTTAAGGTAAACATGCACATGTTTGCAGACCTAAATATCTTGAAGGAGAAGCCCTATTCTATTCAAAGGGAGTACAAGTGGTTGTCCTACAATTACAGACCTTCCCTTCAATTGATTTATTCACCTGTTTAATGTGTGCTTCACCTAAGGATAGAGACAGACCTGGATAACAGCTGTGTTTTGTATTTTGTACTTCCAGAGACTTGGAATCAGCCATATTCCTCCTTACCTGTTGTCCGCTGTAGCACTTATTTGAATATCTACTCCCCCACCAATACTCCATCTTTGTACTCTTACCAGATGCAAAATCATGAGATCACCATCAGCCAGTTCCACCCCACCCCATCCCCTCACACTTTGTTTACCATCTGTAGGCTGATGAAGAATTATTGAAGTTTGCACACTATTGTTATAAGTCTTGGGTTTGTGGGTGCAAGTTGCCCATAATTCTTAGAATTATTAAAAGTTAGAATGAATCAAGGTTTGATTAAACTGTGCTGGAAAACCCTGGATTTAGCTTATGCTAACAAGCCAGGCTGTGTGAGTGAGAAAGTTGATTAGAGTGTACTGCTGATAATGCCAAGGCTGTAGATTTGGTCCCTGTTAGGGACAGCTGCATATTCCTGCGTTGCAGAGGATTGGACAAGATGATTCTCAGGGTCCCTTCCAACTCTGTGATTCTATAATCAGTATGGTGATGGCCTTTTAATGGCAAACTCCCGTAGGGAATTTCACAAAACAAAAAAGAATAAGCAGAGCCCCTTGGAGGATTAGTAGAGCATTGGATCCTGTATATTCAAAGCCACTGGTGCCCCACCAGCAGAACAACAGTTTGAGGGCTTTTTGTTTGTTAGCACCAGCAGAACTACTGGTAATACCTTACTGCTCACCTGGACACAGCTGCTACCTATAATAATGAGAGATCTATGGCTGCCACCATCAACATTGGGATTAAGAATAGAATTGCATTCCTATTATGATTTTTTTTTACCTGTGGAGTAATCCTATGCACGTTTACTCAGAGATAACACTTACTGTGTTCAGTTGGGCTTTACTCCTAATAAGTATGCTTAGGATTACAGAATTGAACACACGTTATAATACTCTGGGAAGATATATTTGTCCCTCCACCTTAAAAAAAATGCTGTTCCAAGAAATATGGCAGTTTTCCTGAGCAGTTTATCCTTTGTTTAACTATTACTACAGTTAGAAAGTTTATTTTTTGTTTTGCACATTCACCTCATACCAGTGCTAGAATTTCTGTGAACATTTAGAACTAGTTGTCTTTCTGCTGTGTGGGTGTCCAGGATGTGAGAATTGCTTCTTGCTCACCTGCTGTTTGAGAGTTTCTCATCTCTGCTGTATTAAAAGATTGTATCTAGGTGTTAAAATTTCGAAAGCTATTAGTTGCTCCTTTGTGTGTTTATCCAAAAAGTCTACAGTAGTCCTGGTGTGTTTTCAGGACCTGATAATTTGCTCATGCATTTCATTAACAGTTTTCTCCACCAAGTGCTTCTATTGATAATCAGTAGGCAATCTGCCATTTTTCATTTCTGTTTGGGTTACTTCATAAGCATGTTCCTGCATGAGGCAGTAACAAATAATAAAGTCAACAAGCAGAGATTTCTATTCACTGGTCCAAGTGTTTAATGAGAAATCTGGTTAGTTGATTCATTCTTAGTCTCTCTCAGCATTTTATCTTTCACAAGCATTCAGAGTACATTAGAATATTTCTCAACTGCTGGTATCTCTGCAGTCTTGCTGTTATCTAACTCAAGATTGCTTTTGACAGCATTTTTGTTATTCTTTGATGGACATTTTAGTGGTTGTTAAAAAGTAAAGTCAGCAGTTGTTGTGACGGGGGGAACTGAGATGCTGTAAAACTGGATCTTTGTTGTAGGTTCCCCACCACCACCCTTTGGCAATCTTTTGTAGATCCTAAATTCATTATATTTAACTATCGGGAGCCTGTAAGGTGTTTGGCAAAAATAGTAAGAAGGTGCCACTGCTGAGCAACAGCTGGCGGGGGGGGGGGAGCAACAAAACCTATTTGTTGACTTGGGCCTTTTTTGATGTTTAGGACAGTTAACCTGTTCAGCTGCTTATTTTGTTGCTTTTACCTGATGAATTTTTATAACTTGTTTTGTTATTTTCTGATTTTTATTTAATTTTATTTCAACTTGTTAACTACTTAGAGAGTTTTTTTTCTTCTAAAAAGTGAAGCAGATTATCTTAGAATCACTGAATTGGAAGAGACTCTGAGGATCATCTAGTCTAACTTCCTTCAATGCAGGGTATATGCTGCTGTTGTTCCACATGGAGATCAAACCTGCAACCTTGGTGTTATCAGCACTACACTATAATCAACTGAGCTACCCAGTATGTAAATTATCTAAATAATATCAGTGATTTTAAGGGCAAAATATAATAATCTCTGGGTCCGTAGAACAGTGTTGTACCTTGATCCCCTTTTACTGTTTTATTGTGGTGGCATAAGAAGCTTGGGGTTTTTTTTTTAATTGAAGAGATATATATAAATGTTTTTAATAAAAACATCACATCTAGAAATAATAAAAGCTTTCAAATCCACATTTAAAATAAAATATGCAATTTTTGCTGGCATTGTTACCTTCAGCATGAGTCATTAAAATGAATGATTCTAAATCAAACTTTAAGGATCACAGACTTTTAAAACACACCAAACTAGAGCTGGGCAGCGAATTCTAATCCAAGATTAGACAGAAATGTGATCAAACTTGATTACTCATTTTCTTTTTGCCAAACATACTTCAAGAAATTCTTGTTTTAAAATCATTAATTACCTTGTTGTCTTTAGGCATTTGAGGCATGTGATGAAGACCACAAAGGATATTTAAACAGAGAGGACTACAAGGTTGCTGTAGTGATGCTGTTTGGCTATAAGCCCTCAAAGGTAAAGTTTATTTTCTTCCACCCTGTCTTGAGGATTGGTATACTCATTAAGCACCCTAAAATAAAATAATATATATAACATAAAATAATCAGATAAATATTCTGTAGTTTATGTTTCTTGAATTACGAAAAGTCTTCAAAGGACTGGGGTGTTTTTTCTCTTTCAAATTGCAGGAAATGGCAGTGAATGTTGGCCTTACCCCATTGTGAGTTCTTGTATTTAAGTACCTGTAATTGACACAAGTGTCTCTCATTTTAAGGTGTAATGTTTCATTATGTTTTTATGTGTTGGAAGCCACCCAGTGTGGCTGGGGCAACCCAGTCAGATGGGTGGGGTACAAATAATAAAATTATTATAATATTATTAAAGGAGAGTCCCTTAAAACACAGCACCCCAGCCCAATAGAAGTCAGTGGGTGCATCCTACAGAATCATCATAGATATCGCTTGTTTCTAGCTTCATAAAGTATCCCTGAGATTTTGCAAATGTAATGTCCATCATTATGATGGACAGAGCAGATCAGCCACAAAATGCTGCAGTGTGGAGTGCTCCTGTTCACAATTCCAGTCTGCTATACTGTTTTATTCTGGTCCAAACCTTCAGTTTAAAATAAAACTTCCTGGATTTTTTTTTACAAAATACATAGTTGTATGGATTCCTTATAACGGAAACTGAGCCACCCAGTGTAGGGATGCTAACTTGGCTGTGTCTCCATTTGAGCTAAAATAAAAGCTAACCTTGGTTATTCCAGTTTCTGAGATGGGGCAGTTCTGCCTCAGCTAACTTGCCAACAGAAGCTGCTTTTCTTTGTTCTTTGGAAATCAGTGTTGCATGGTGTAATTCACTCATGTTTCTTTATCTACTGCTTCTACATCAAAGCAGATATTTCTCAATAGCATGTGTAGCCGGCTTGACCTTCTAAACTTCAAAGTTACTTAAACAAACAAATGTTGCCCCACAGCCCAGTCAATTATGCAAAATAGCTAAATAGAATCATACCATATCTCAAAAATATATGCACAAGTAGATTGGGAATTAAAATTAGAAACTGCTATTGAAAGGTTAAATAAGTAAATGAAAAGAAGAATTTCAGATGAATATTGCATTCACAACTGGTATGTTGCACAAGTGACAACAGGAGCTTCTGAGCACTGTTTAAGTCAAGACACACTTGTTTTTAAAAGTTAGATCTTCCTAACTACTGTGTCAGTTGAGACATAATGCCAAACCATAGCTTGGTGCTAAGTGAAGAAGCCTTATGCTTGCACCTTCCCTCCTTCTCCCCTTGTTCTACTCTGATTTCTCCTCCAACATTTGGTTTAGCAGCAAACAAGGATTGCAAACCTAGTTCAGCTGCTGTTCATGATCTTAGACTCTGTAAGCCATGGTTTGTCCAGTTAGGGTGTAACGCTAAAATATGGCTTGCCACAAAACCAGGGAAATTCAGCCTATTTCTTCAGTCCTGAGGACATTTAACATCACAATGCTGTACAAGTCTGCTCAGAAGTAAGTCTCATTAAGTTGAAAAGGAATACACAGGGTTTCAGCCTTAACTGAGAAATAAGTGCTGTTGAACTCATTGGGGTTTACTTCTGAGTAGACATGCTTAGGATGACATTGCTTATTGATTTCCAGCCTTGAAAAGATTTGCCTAATGAAGTTTTAACAGATTTTTGTTTCATATTACCATGTATAAAGATGTGAATCAAAGTAATACCTTTTGTGACCATGAGATGTCGCTGTTAATGCTTTCCATAGTGATTTGGAAAGTAGCTGATCTATATTTTTCAGTGACTTTATTAGAAATTCCGAGGCTGCACTTACCTGTTCTCTAATCTGTGAGAAAGCTTTACTGAGCACAGTTGGATTTGCTTCTGAGTAAATATGTTTAGGATTGTACTTTATGTCTGTAGTCTACAGTCCATTTGCTCCATATTTGTTCTGCTAATTCTAATAGAGTAAATGGCTTCTAGATTACAGTTCAGCTATTGGTTCAAAATAAGACCATTAATGAAATTATTTTTCACTTTCACATAGTCATATTGCTTTTCTTTCTATGGAGAAAGATGCTAGATATGTTGCCATCGTTAAAGCCTGTAATAAATAGCCTGATTTGTATGGAAAGCAAATAATGGTAGGAGAAACTGATCTTTAATTTTACATACATTTTTGGTATTTATTTCCCTTTCAAAAGTATAATGTTATAGACTTGTTCAGTTCAAAATTATATAGAAGTTATTTCTTTTGTAAATGAAGACCCATCTGTACATCAGTTTCTCTCAGAGCATCCATATTTTGGAATGACCTAATTGCAACGCAGGTTGACAATGAATGATGTGGAATTTATTTGATAATTGATATGCTATGCAACCCTAGCTTCCCTTTTCATTTACATCTATCATTCTCTTCATTCTTAACCTGGTTAAACTATAAGGTTTATCAATCAAAACATAACGAGTGGCATCCAATGATGTCTGCCTACTTGCACACTTGAAATCCACTTGCACAGCAAAATTTCCCACTTGTTTTCTCCTCCCCAACCCCAGCTCTGCAGGTCCAATTCTAAAAAATATTTTTATTTGTTCTGGCGTGGGCATAGCTTGACCTTCCTGCAAGCTAAAATGCACATATCCACAAAATAAATTCTGTTGTTTTATTAAGTTGTGCATCCGTTGGGAGCAATCTTGCCTTCAATGCAGTTGGCATACACATTTGGAATGGCATTGTATTTAGCATGGGCCAATGAGGGAAGGGAATCATTAGACTCAGACAATGTGGGCCTAAGAGTATGCTTCCTATAAAAACCAATTCCACTCACCTTCTCCCATGGTTCTTTAAGCTGTAATTGGGCAGTCCCCTCACAGTTGAAAGGATTGACTGCTGGGACTCATCATTAATATGCTGTCATGAATCTTATGGAGACGTCGTGGACAGCGTGGTCAGATGAGGCGGAATAGAAGGAGCTTGGAGAGTTGGAAGCGGCTGACCCAGAGGAAGGCCCTAGTGACAAGGGAAATGAGAATTTGGGACACCAAAAGGAGTTATATCCAGAGGAAGGTCCCAGCTGAGCAAGAAGTCTGGGTTCTAGGGACAGGTCTACTAGTCTGTTAGGAATGGCCCATCTCTGTGATAGTGGACACCTCAAGTGCTATGTTACGAGCTACCAAGATAGCTCCAGTGCCCTCCCTTGTCAGCGAAGAGCCCTCTCCTTCAATGGAGTCCTCTAAGAATAAGTCCAGTGGCAAGTTGTCTTCACTAATTCATTCTCCAAGGATGTGGAAGTGGTAGTGTAAGCAAACCATGACTGTCTAGCCCAGGCATAGGCAAACTCGGTCCTCCAGATGTTTTTGGGACTACAACTCCCATCATCCCTAGCTAATAGGACCAGTGGTCAGGGATGATGGGAGTTGTAGTCCCAAAACATCTGAAGGGCCGAGTTTGCCTATGCCTGGTCTAGCCTCTGTGGTGGAGTTCCCATTTGCTTGTGCATTCCAGAGATTGGGACACAACCTGCACAAATAGTCCTGCCCACACTGCTCTTGAAAAGGAGAGCAGAGGGGCATGCCAACTGTTGAATCAATATATTAGCTAAGCTTATCCACGTCTTGTAGTTACCTGCCAGCTTGTAACTTGTAACCCCATGTTGGAACACATTTTTGATTTCACAATTAAAGCATTAAAAACCCCATGCTCCTCTCCATGTGCACTGCCTGTTTGGTTTAGCATCTCAGCTTAATGGGAGTTCAGAGAAATGGATCATGCCTTTCATTTTCTGACATCTGAAGTAAACAGCTGAACTGAAGGTAATTGTGGGTAAGACTGTGAAAGTGGTTTTGCAGAACTGGCTTATGTAGAGGTAGCAAATGAAACAATGAATTGAAAGAAATGTACCAAGTCATTTCTTGATGGTGTCACTTTTGTCTATTCTAGGTGGAAGTAGATTCAGTCATGGCTTCTGTGAAGCAAAATCAATCTGGTATGTACAAGCATCATATTTTGATCTTCACTCTCTTTTTAACTAGCGACAAGAGCTCAAACATGACAGAGTTAGAAAATAAGTATGGAATAGCTTTAATTACTAAATTGGTGAGAAATAATATATTGAAAAATATGCATTCAGGTTCACTTTTGGTGTACAATATTGAGCTAAACACTACAGATTGAATGCTGCCCAGCTCAATGGAACTGGAGAAGTGATCTTCTCTACAGCACTCCCCACCCCCCACCCCTTATTGTGGTGTAGAGGTGAAAGTAAGGAGCTCCAGTTTCAAGTCACAAGGGAATGGGAAACTGGATCATAGTCACACTTATATTTCATAGTACGTATTATTTATTTAAGAAATTTCTATCCTATTTAAGCAAAACCTCTCAGAGCTGCTAACATAATAAATATGAAAACAACAATAAATTCTTGAAACAATAGTGACAGAAAGACAGCTAAGTCTGATTAAAACAGAATATAAAAACTCACCATCTAGAAGGAAGGGAAGGGAAGGTGAGATCTAGGCTGATATCAAGGAAAATAGAGAGGAAGCAAGAGGAAAGGGACAGGGCAAAATGTTCCAGGTTCAGTCTTCAGGTAGGACTGGTGTCTGAAACCTTGAAGGTTTGCTGCCAATCAATTTAATCCTGAGCTAGATGGACCAATGACCTGACTAGGTATAAGGCACTTTCACATGCTCCGGAAAGGGTTCGCTTACTCAGACAAAGAAAAGGCAAGAATTATAAAAGAATGTATATTACACTTTGTACTTATCACAGCAGAAATAGTGTTTAAAAGTGCCTTTTATGAGAGGGGTTATAAAGAAGATTTAATCCATTTTCCCTCCGGTTGCCTTGGAGCAAGGTTGTTTTTTTTAAATAAAACAAAAGCAGTCCTTCAGTTACGGAAATATATGTTTATATTTGTAAGGGACTTTAATCTGACATTCTTCCTTCACTGCCGTGATGTACCTGAGTGGCATTCCTTACTCCAGCTTCCATTTCACACCTTCCGTTTCTGCTTGGAAGTCAGTCATCTTATTCCTAACAACATCTTTGATGAAAGATGAGAAACTGAATCTGAACTTGAATGGAAACTTCAGTTCAAATGAACACACATTGGTGTAAGATACTTTTACTAAACCGAACAAAATCTTTCATGAAAAATGAATGAAAACCATATGCTGCTTAAGGTTCCTCTGCGACTCGGCATTTTTGAGATGAGAAGTTATGTGTGATCTCACCTCCAGACCTAAGTGTTTGTTGGAAGATTTTGCAAGGGGGCTTGTTGCTTGCAAGACAGAATGCCTTGCATTGATCATAGTGACAGCCTAGCTCAGGATTATCTTATGATGTGCCAATGCAGTTTCTCTTCAGTAGGCATGGATAATCTTGTGTTCTGATTTCTGTGAGCCTTCTAGATGTATTGTGAAATTACACGCACATTATTTTGAATTGTCCTGTGTTTCCTATATCCCCAAATCAGTTCTGAAAGCCCCTGTGTAGATGTGACTTCAGAATTACGTGAATCCTTTAAGCTGCTAAACTGACGATGTAAGAAGAGCCCTAACTGGAGCAGACCACAGACCAGTCTAGTCCAGCTCCCTGTTTACCACTCAAGCCAACCAAACACCTATGGGAAACTCGCAGGCAAGAGATGAACACAGTAGCCTAACAGTGTGTGTGCGTTTGTGTGCACAAACATTTATAAATAGTCAGATGAACAAGGGAAGATACAACATAAGAAACCTAGAATGAAAGGAAATAGAGTAGAATTTCACACTTCTCATCTGCTAAGTGTGTAACCAGCACAGAAGGCCTATGTGCATAGCATTTTAAGCCCTATATTACATTCATAAGACTAAAACGCAAGCTGGTGGCCTGGAGAATTTAACTTTATCTAATGCTCCAATGAATACATATTGGGAGATGAGTGTCTGTTAAGCATGGGTCACTTCATAATGTAAGCCAGCGTGCATTAATGAAATTGGATATTCAGGCAGGCAAATGCAGTATGTTTAGGCATTCCCTGCTATTAAAAAATTGCACATCATAAACAGAACCTGATAGTTGAAGACAGTGTGGTCTTACAATCCTTGAAATAGACAACATCCCCAACCCTCTGAAACAGATTTTGGAGGGTGCATGGTAGTCTGCAGGGATGAGGATAGGAAAAGATAAGTCCCATTTGTGCAAGTGAATTGCACAAAAAGAATGCCACAATTGAATATTACCCATAATGTTTCCATAAGTGAACTGTGAAAACAACATTCAGATAAGCAGTTCATAGGGTAGCAGGTAAGGGTGGTGCTCCTACCTGTGTAAATGATATGATGTGGGAATGAATCCTGTAGTTCTTACATTATTTAATATTGAGATTCTGTTTCGTTGAGCTGTAGATGTTGGAGTAGCGGGTGGTGCTGTGGTCTAAACCACTGATCATCTTGGGCTTCCTGATCAGAAGGTTGGCGGTTTGAATCCCCGCAATGGGGTGAGCTTCTGTTGCTCTGTCCCAGCTCCTGCCAACCTAGCAGTTCAAAAGCACACCAGTACAAGTAGATAAATAGGCACCGCTTCAGTGGGAAGGTAAACGGCGTTTCCATGCGCTCTGGTTTCCGTCATGGTGTTCCATTGCGTCAGAAGCGGTTTAGTCATGCTGGCTATGGACAAACACCGGCTCCCTCGGCCTGAAAAGCAAGATGAGCGCCGCAACCCCATAGTCGCCTTTGACTGGACTTAACCATCCGGGGGTTCCTTTACCTTACACAAGTGCTCCATGTTATCTGAATAAATCATGACGGGAGTGAGGAGCAATAAGGTTTGGGCTTGTATGCTCCCTTTTTTTCCCTCCAGCATGGCTGCAAAGATGAGTTCAGAAGCTTTCACTTTTAAAAATAAATGTCTGAACCCAACAAACCTATTCATTTTATATACAGTTTATTTGAAATAAGTTGACTTCAAATCATGAGTTATAAAACTAGTTTCGTTTAACAAACTATAGTTAACTAACTGCCCTGTTCCTCATAGGAAAGGTGGTATGTAAATTTAATATAAATAAATAAATAAGTAAATTAATTAAATTTAACCACAATTGAGGGGTTGGACATAACACTAAATTGTGTTTAATAAAAAATGGAAACAAAAAATGTTGAATCTCCTCACAGAGGGAGATGTGCATGAGCCCAGGGCTCGCTGCAACTTATCTCTCTCACAGTGACCCATGATTTATTGTGACATTTGAACTGCCCCTATTATCTGTCTGTGCTCATTAACTGTGTTCTTGATTTTGACAAGACCACAGCTGTACCTGTTCTCCCTGTCTAGAGGAAAAAACACAGGGTTAAAAAGAAAATACACAATCAGATTTTTCTGTTGACTTAAAAAAAATACGAAAGAAAATAGAGAATTCTGACTTTGCATTTTAAATTGTATCATTGGCAGAATAACTTCAAATCAATTCCAAGTTGTTTAGTTCAGTGCCCATTTTTACACATCAACAGAGCAGAACACAGAATCAGTTGTAATGGAGTATCACAGGAGGTACTAAAAAAAATAAGATCCTTTCTATTTATGTCACACATAGTTCAGTATAGCAGCTTAAAATCATAACTTCTGTATACTAACAGCCACCTGTTATAGCCCACTGGTTTCTCTCTTTCTGCTTATACCCAACTAGTTTCCCACCAGGGGATTAGATTCTTATAAGCAGTAGCATTATAACCCTGTTTTAGGCTGCAATCCTATAGCTACATATATGCCTGTAAGTCCCATTGAAATCAACAAAATATACTGTGTAAATATGTTTAAGCCCCATTATTTGTGCAGTAGAAGAGAAGTGAACTGCAGTAATATAAAAACCCTATTTCATGAATTGTTCTTTTACTTAACATAGTAAGATTGCAGTCCTCCCACTTACTGGAGAGTTTGCCACATGGTACTTACTTTTGAGTAGACATGTATAGGATTGCAGGGTAAGACTGCAATCCTGTGCACACTGATTGGGGAGTAAATAGTGATCCCTCCTTCTGAATAAGCCAAAAGTGCTATGCTGCTTGGAATAATGATAAGCATTTGACATATCCCAAATTTCTTATTTTTCTAGGTGTATCACTTGAAGAATTTCTAAATCTTATGAGTACAAAGAAGGCTGCACATTTTTACCAAAGTGAAGTAAGGCAGCTATTCACTGCTTTTGACAGGCAATGTAAGTTTTGCTTTCATATTAATTTTGCAAGTCTGATTGTTTTCCATCACTGTTATCCTCACAACAAGCCTGTGAAGCAAGTACAGTCATACCTTGGAGGTTGAGCAGAATCTGTTCTGGAAGTCCGTTTGACTTCTAAAACGTTCGGAAACCAATGTGCGGCTTCTGATTGGCTGCAGGAAGCAGGAACAGTCACTTCTGGGTTTGCAGCATTCGAGAGCCAAAACGTTTGAGAACTAAGCTGTTTGAAAATCCAAGTATGACTGTATGGCAGATACTGGCAGGCCCAACATCATCCAAGAGCTTCATAACCAAGAGGTGGTTTGAGTTAGGTTATCCTCAATCTTTGTCTGACCCTTTAAAGTGCAATACCACACTAGCTATTTATGAACAAAAAGAGCTCAAGAAAATACAGGTTCTTGTATTTCCTGGTATTATTTAGTTATTAAACCCAAACACAATAACCAGGTCTGGAACTAAATTGCCTCTAAACTTACGTGCACTTGAGACGTCACGTCCTTTTAAAAAATAATAAGAGGGATTCACACTCTTAGGGAGCCCTTGGTTCCAGGCTTTAAATGTGTCTTAATCCTGATTTATAGATTCACTTCTCTTCTAAATATTTAAATGTCTTTCCTCATATACTTTCTCCTCCTCTTTATCAAGGTAGAGGATATTTGTCTTTAGAAGATTTCAGAAAAGCTTTCAGTGTTGTGGCCCCAAAGCTGCCAGAGAGGACTGTAGTTGAAGCATTCAGGTAAGATGAACAGAATCATTTGGTTGTGTTTCTAAACTGCAGACATGGTTCAGTCCAAACCACTGCAGGCCTTGTGTCTACAAGCAAAAGGATCTACTTAGTGGAAAGCAGAGCCATGTTTCCTCTTCTCTCCGCACAGCACAGTCACACAGAATGGGAGACCTGCACACAGCTCCTATAGCCCGTCCTTTGTCAAAGAGCTCAGGGCAGCTAGTAATATTTGAAAACAATAAAACAAAGGAGAAAAATTACCATGTAAAGCAAATGCCGTTAATAGTAAAACAATCTCGGCAACAAATAGTAAAATCAGCAGAATCAGATTGCATAAAATGCCAAAGAGAATTAAAAGGTCAGCAAGGCTGAGCAGCTGCTTAGCTGAGAATGGATACGGAGTTCCAAAGACAAGGCACCATGACTGAGAAAGCCCTTCTCTGCTTCAGACAGTACAGGTATTCTGAGCACAGTGCATCTTAATGGTCAGCCAGGATCATATGGTAGCAGGAGAACTCTCTCCATTAGCAGCTGTTCTACCTGGCTGCATCTAAGGGACAAGTGGCATTTATTTATAAAAAATATTTTTTCGACTGCCCTTCAAACAAAATCTTAGGATAGTGTACAAAAATATTTACAAATGAGATAAAATGCTATTAAAAACAATACAGTCTGATCATTAAAATGCCTGGTTTCTCTTAAAAGCTTAAACCACTGAATAGGTCTGTTGATACAGAAAAGTCTCCAAAGACATCTGAACATTAGGAATGACAAAGCCTGCTGAATCTCTCCTGGAAGAGCATTCCACAGTCTTGGCATTCAGTATATGCACCTTGAGTGCATTGGCAGAAAAGCAATATAGCGTGATGTAAACAAACAAATAATAGATACTATGCACCTCAGAGCACCTTGCCTTCTATTCACACTGCATTGCTATCAGTTGGAGGTGCACTGGCATGCACATCTCAGGCAGTACTTGTGACATGTGTTGTTATTACTTGTTGAGAGCTCTGAATCCTAACCACTAGACCACCAGGGAAGCGGCTATGTTATTATTACTTGTTAATACCTTTTCTAAAAATCGCAACCACTGTTTGATGAGAATGAATGTATATTCAGGAGTTTGTATAGTATTTAAAATTGCAGGCGTTGAGTCAAGGGTTTAAAAGGAAATTAGTAATTTTTAGGGCTCGTACAGTATATGGTGCTGCTACCCTTTACCTTACACTAGATGAGCTACTTTTACATTTGCAAAAATTGTAAGTTTTTTTCGCTTAGAGATTGTGATAAATGTGTGTTGTCCCTTCTGTGCTCTGGATAAAAGGTGTCCAAGTAATTCCATAATTCAGAAGATTTATATAAAATGAAGTAATCTTATATATTTTGCATCAAACTACTCATGGTGGGACAAACAAAAACGTATTGCAAAGAGCTCCAAAAAGATCTCTCCTAACTGGGTGAATGGGCATTAAAACAGCAATGCAGTTAATTATAAGCAACTAGAAAGTGGCTCACATTTGAGGCAAACTTTGCATATATGCTTAAAGGGTGTAAATTGGCAGTGATTGCCCAGGAAACAGATACAGTGGTACCTCAGTTTAAGTACTTAATTCATTCCGGAGGTCTGTTCTTAACCTGAAACTGTTCTTAACCTGAAGCACCACTTTAGCTAATGGGGGCCTCCTGCTACTGCCGCGCTGCCGGAGCACTATTTCTGTTCTCATCCTGAAGCAAAGTTCTTAACCTGAGGTAATATTTCTGGGTTAGCGGAGTCTGTAACCTGAAGCGTATGTAACCTGAAGCGTATGTAACCCGAGGTACCACTGTATTGGGGTCATAGTGATATAGCTCAGTGAAAATGTCCCAGTGGCCTTGCTTGGACAACACAGTAAACCAAATTGTGTTTTAGCAGCGCTACGTGAGCGTGTGGGTTCTCAGAGAGGAGCTTCCAGCTCCTTTGCTCCTCTGTGGTCCTAAAGGAAGCCAAGGTTTATCTCTGATTGTCTGAACCCAGGCTCAAGGTGCAGCTCTCTCCAGATTGCCGTAACCAATCAACAGTGCCAGATGCAGTTGGTTGGTGACTCTGCAAAAAGGACTCCCAAATTCCCCAGCATTTCAGATTAAAAAAGGATCAACCTGGAGGCCAACTAGATGAGATGAGAACCTAAGAAGTGCCTGAAAATGGCATCCGTGTGAAATGGGGGCAGGGATCAGGACATAGTGCGATGCATACAATTTATTTTATTTTATCTGTTATCCATATGACAGATAAGATAGCAAAATACATGTAGGTGATATAAGCCTGAGTTCATCATATGAGGAACTTGTGGATATAGTGAGTACATAATAGTACATGGACTGTGTTATGCCTATCGGTGTGGTTGCTTGAGAGCAATCAGGCAAGATCCCTCACTGGTCTTTTCAAAGGCTTTATTATTGGTGCAAAAACATTTACAATGCAGAATGCCTCTATTCCATGTCTTGCTCACTCACTAGCAGAATCTGAGAGTGGGTGGTCCTTAAACTTTCCCCAGCAGAGTAGTCTCTTGACCCCCAGCCGACGCCTCCCCTCTCTGCACGAAAGCCTACTGCGCAGGGAAGGCTTGGGTAAAGGGGGACCTCCCTCCTTCCCGCTTTGCTCAGGCACGGTGTCCTGGCTCTTTCTTGCATCCTCCGAGCCCTGCAGCTCTTCCCCACTAGAGGCGGGGCTTCCTTCCTCTGCTGAGGAAGTGCTGCTTCCCACGATTTTTGGAGGCTCTCTGTAATCCATCTGCCCTTCCACCTCTCAGCTCTCAGCTGATGGCAGTTCCCTGACAGACTGGCACCTCTTTTTAAAAGTAAGGTTTTATATGGCAGATTTAGAACAGATTAAATAAAAATCATACAAAATAATCCAGCAATGTGCATCTCGTGAGTCAAGTGACTTGAGAGGGGAGAAGATAAACTGTGCTCAGCTAAATGCTGCTGCTTTCTATTCTTGCTAAGCATTTCCAGTTGTTGCAAAGTTTTGACATGCAGGAAAAACTCTCAGGGGTATCATTAGTTAGAAAATATTCCCTACTAAAGTGCAGAGCACAGGCCATTAAGAGATAGTATATTACATGCCAAGCACTTAAGAATATACAACACACTTATACAAACAAATCCAATAGTTGTCTGCTGGGGTCAAGACACAGGTGGTTGTATGAGCCAGTGAGAGTGTTTATGTATGTGCTCATGCGACTTACACGCACACATGCATATATATAATGAAAATAGTATTTTTATGGAACTGTACACATTAATTTATATGTTACTTGAAATAGCAGTGTTTATGTAGACATATTGTTTTAAATGTCTCCTTTGCTTTGGGGAGTGCAGTCCCATTATGTGTTTTACAAGCTGGTCTCTGACCGTAATAATAAATTATTATTACTATTATTTAGATTTCTTTTCTTCCCCTTGATTAAAAGTCTTCTAATTTGTTATAAACAGAATATTCTGAATACGACACATGCCATCAAAGTTTTACCAGTTTGTACACAAAATCTTTATCATGTGGAACACCAAAATAAACATGCATTAATAGATCAGCTGAACCATTTGGTGGTGCTAAATAGCCTTTTCTAGGCAAGTAATAAAAAAGGACAAACTAATACATGCATTTGATATTGTTTAATGGAAATCAGAATTGTCTTCCATCTTGCACAGTATGGTTTTTCAATGTAGCTTTTCAAGATGTTCATATTAACCAATGCTGTTGAAATCTGTGTAATATATTCAATTTATTATGGTCAACATACTAGAAATAATAACAAACATAAAACTGTACAGTGCATCATTATTTTAAGTACAGAGTAATACATAAAACAAGATATAAAAAATGACTTTGGCTCAGGGATGCGTATATAGAAGATAACATATGAGTTAAGTAGCTCTCCCTCCCCAGTGATCATTCCGACTTGAGATAGGTAAAATCTGTTATACACATGTAACCGTTTGTCTTAGGTGAGTTTGAGGTTACTGTTAAGCTCATTATTTGATCTAGTGTCTAGACTGTAGAAGATACATTATTATTATAGCAGTGAATACATATCAGTTTCCTTTTAAGCTGTCTGTTATCTTAAGTCTGAAATGCACATCAGGCACTTCATGTGGGCTAAATCTGGAAAAGTGTTACGTTGAACTGATATTAATTTCCCTCCCTCTTGTTCCTGAATTCCAACAGTCAACCAAGCCTAGCAAACAGCAGGCATACAAGGGCTGGATCTAGGCACATCAAAGAAGCGATTCAGTTAAATGAGTTGTAAACTTCATATAGGGGAATCCCAGTGGCGAAAAACGAGACTCCACAGCGCCATCTGGTGTCACAGTTCTATAACACACGTATTTATCTTTACGCTGCATAGTATTGGAGCTATACAATTACTGGTAGTGCTGCTCTTGTCCTGCCTGGAGCCTCTTTGCCTAGGGTATCGCTAGTGTAGGTACATGGCTACCTTGTCAATATTAAGTGTTCCTGGTGTTTGCTGGCTACTTCAGCTTTCTGGGATGGTGGACAGAAGGGGAAGGTAAAGCAATTTGTTGATTGCTAATGTATAGACTAACTTGATGTCTTACTAGCATGGAACAAGTGGCAGTTTTTGTCTGGTAGCATAGACTTCAACACTTTTCTTTTGTTAGCTCAGGTTTAAATTGATGTAGCAGGTCAGAAAAAATGATATGGCAATAAATCACTGTATTTCAGCAAAATGTATTGTCTTTATGCTATAATTCAAAATGGGCATCTCCTGTACAAGTTGTCATTCAGAGACCAGTTAACAGAAAGGCTTGCATATTTTGTTGTGAAGTGCTCGTTTTATAAGTGTGAACCCATAAAAATAATAATGGAAAGGATGAGAAGAAGCACAGGCCAAAAAGGGAGGAAAGTTTCACACCTTCTATTACCCTATCAACCTGGGAAGGGAGACCATCTAGGACAGTGGTGGCGAACCTATGGCATGTGTGCCAGAGGCAGCACTAAGAGCCCTCTCTGTGGGCACGTGCGCAGCCGGCAAAGCAGAGCCGTTGCTGGGTTTTGGCAAAGTGGGCGGCCGCTCCCCCCCCCAACGCTGCTGCAGGTGGGCAACGCTCCATAGTGTGCGTGCCTCCCACAGCAGCATGGGGGGGGGAGTTGCGCGCCCGCCAACCAGCTGGCACGGAAGGGAGGGAGGGGAGCGGGAAAACAACAGGTCTTCGGGTGAAAGAGAGCGAGAGCATGCACAGGAAGGGACATGTGTACAACTTGCTCACCATACTTCCTGTTCCGGGCTGGGAGGGAGGAGTGGCGCCCTTGGTCTAGGTGGACGCCGCTCTCCGCCTCCTTGAGGCTCCTGAAAGACACGGGCAGGAGATTCTCTGTAGTGATAGTGCGTGTGATTGGTGGCTGTGACAAGGGCTGTTTTCGATTTGCTGCCATTGCGGTGGAGACAATTGGTGTAAGTCTGTGATGCTGGTGAGCGGTTTTCTGCAATCCCTCCACAAAAACCTCAACAAATCTTGATAATACCCCCCCAAAAAGCTGAACATCTCTGGACAATCCCGCCCCTGCCCCCAGCTCTTAGTGGCTGTTAATACAACCCTCCAGTGAACCTTCTGGAAAATGTGTATTTCCAAGATTTGATAGCTCATAACTACTTTTTTTTGAGTAATACCAGTGCTTTTTTTCTGGGGGGACGCAGGGGGGTGGGAGATGAAAATTCACTGTATTTATTTTCCCCAATTAGAACAGTATTTATTTCCCCCGATGGTGATTTTCTTGAGTCAGAATGAGAGTATCCCTAAACATTTTTTTTAGAAAAAAAAATACTGAATTTTAACATAAAATTATGTATCAATGGAAAGGGTTACATTAACCCTAACATATGAGGTTTTTCCCCTAAACTGAAACCTTAGTATTCAGGTTAAATTGCCATGTTGGCACTTTGTGATAAATAAGTGGGTTTTGGGTTGCAGTTTGGGCACTCATTCTCTAAAAGGTTTGCCCCCACTGATCTAGGAGAGGTAAAATTCTGGTCCTAAATATTGGCTGCCTTGCAGCATACCGGGTATCTTCAGAAAAAGAAGAGGCTGATGAGTAAAGCCTACACAAATCCGAAGTGGAGACCTTAAGGCTGTTGGATGGAGTCTTGTATGCCTCCTTCCGGCAACTCATGCATCTGAGCTGGTGACAAACATATTGCTCTGCCTTTCTTTGGACCACATCAGCAAGACCAAGAGAGGGGTCTGTCCTATTTTCTGGGCAGCCCAGGACTGCCATACACATTGCCCAGGTTTGCACCCCGGGGAAGTCACTTTGGTGCTGCTAAGGCAGCAGTTTGACTTCGCACCCCCCCCCCCGAGGTGCATCGCATTGTCTCTTGAGACAGACAGATGCCAACAACAAGTCCTGGACTGTCGTTTTCCCATTTCCTTCTCCATTGAATATGCATGCATCCACTTTTCTAACAAGAGAATAAAGTTTGCCTATTGCTGTCAAAAAAATACCACCCACAAGCAGTCTTTAATTAAAGAAGTTATTCAAACATAAAGTTGTTAATCAGGAATATTTTTTTAAAAAATCCTTAGTTTTGCCAGTTCACATCTATAAAGAGTGATGTGATGACAAAAATGTAGAAAGGAATAGATGCTATTCTGCAAGTCTTGGTTGTATCAGTTGAGCAAAAAGAATTGTGGAAACAGGGTTCTGCAAACAGATTTCTTCTAATGAGTGTATAGAGACCTATCTGTATATTAGCTGAAAAAGCGTTCTTATACATTGAGATAACTCATGGATCCTATACTTTACCCCATAAGAATCCCTACGTGGCTCAGTCTTCTGCACTACACCTGATTATTATTTCTGCTTCCATGGTTCTTTGGATCAGGGTATGTGAGATGACATTAACCAGAAGCAGATAGTACATTCTATTGTGTTCTGCATTTTATGCTAGTTTACACTTGGATGAATAGGATCACACACTAGAGGCATACTAATGCCTGGCATATTTTTGTCTCCTCTGCTCCAAAATGACCTCATTGTTTCTGGCCTATAATTATTCAGTAATATGAAAATAACCTGGTTTTGTGTAGATAATCTTCAGTCAAGATCTTGTGCTCTTTATGAAATTTTGATTTAGACATGTACTGCAGAGCAGAGTGAATATGAAACATTCATCTTCCCATGGCTAGTTGCCATGGGAACATAGTATACAGTGCAATGTCATTCCAGTTCTAGAGATGTCTGCAGTAGTTTTTCTTTGTTGCTGTCCTTTCTTAGGCCATTGTGTTGCAGGCTGCATATTTAAAGGTGCATGCAGCTGTATGTACATGTAGCATCATCTTTGCAGAATAGTCTCTAGTGGCTGACACATCTGCTGGCATGCTTTTCTCCTAAGTCATAACTCTCATTTGGGTCTGGAATAATAGTAAAAAGTTCACAGTTCTTCACATTTTGGTTCTATAGAATGAGATGCAAAATGTATCTTTGTTAGCCCAAACAGACCATGTAGACATGTTCTGAAAACAGGGCACTAGCTTACATTAGATAAAGATGCAGAGAAAATAATTCCTTTATTTTCCCCTACAGCCTTCTATATCCCTCCCTGAAGTAGATTGTCCATCTGCTACAGCGGTATTCATTAAGAAATTACTAAAAACCGATCCAGAGATAGAAAATATTTGACAGGGTCATTGGAGGGAAATGTACCTGAGACAAGTATTTTATTTCAACATGCTAAATGTAAATTGCTTTATATTTTTATTTGAAGACTGTTTTTGAATTTCAGGCCACAGTTGACTGCAACAGGAATTAATTTCCTCCTGCCTATTACTTTATTCACCCCATATTCACCCCTCCATTAAAAAAAACCCTTTCATGCCTCATTATTCAGCTTTTGTTTACTTTCATATATTCTCTAAAGATTTTATATTCAAATAGCTCAGATTTTGTCAGTATCTTAAAAAACTGTTTAGCTAATTTCAAATATAGATTTGGTTTAGTATGTTCCTTAAATATTTTTGCTTTTAGAAATCCCCAAAGCGTGCTCCTGTTCTTCTCTGTGTGACCCAAACACCCGTCTCTTAAGAAGCCCACTGTGGCTCCCTCCTACTTCCTTTTGTTGTCATTGTGAGTAGCTTCTAAATTAAACTCACTTAATGGTAAGGAATCTGTGTGTGTTCCTTGACCCAGGCTTGTCCAGTTGAAGACAAAAGCTAAGCTTACAGTTACAAATGGGAAACTAATGATTTGAGTACTACAGATGCAGATACGATGCAATATTAATTGCACTTTTATGGAAGCATGTTACATCAAAATCAGTGGGACTCTTCAACCTAAATGTGATTAGGAATGACGTTAGAAATCTTATTTTTCCAACATCATTGTCCTTTTTCTCCCTTTAAGCATTTATGCAAACTGAATGTTGTTCATTTTGCAACCCTAGGATTTATGGCCTGCCTCTGCTTATAAAATCAATTATATCCTTATGCATATATTCTTAACTGATACAGTCATTAATTTAGTGAATTTTGCTGTAGGTTTTGGTAAACTTTTTGCTATGCTAGTATTTGTGCTTATATAATTTTCTTACCTCTGATCTTTCTATTCGTATATTTTAAGGTTTGGATAATTGTTAATTTCAGAGTCAGGAGTTTAAGCCCCATGTTGGGCAAAAAATTTCTACATTGCAGGGGTTTGGACTAGATGACCCTCAGGGTCCCTTCAAACTCTACAGTTCTATGATTCTATGTACATGTATACGTGTGTTAATCATTATTGGTAGATAGAAATTATTTAGGGAGGAAAATGTGGAGAGGGCAAGTGTAAATATTGCAGAGGAAGGAACAAGAAATTGAAGGCATAGTAAATTCAATTGTGATAGCAGTTTGAAGTAGAATAGTACATATGGGAAAAAGAACATGTTCCAAGATAACCGTACATCTTAATGTTATGCATGTTGCTTAGCAACAAACAATAAAAATGTGGACTAATGTGTTAAAAGTAATTCAAGAGGGGAAACCATGTATGTCTTGTAATCAAGTATTGTAAGGGGTTAAAAGCAAGAGCTGGAGAATAAAGAGCAGGTGTCCAAAAAGCTGCAGAAAAATATGAAAACAGATTCTTGTCTCTCATCATTTTACTTCAAAGTAGCTGGCACAGGGGGAGTCATTGGTTTTCAAACAGCGGCGCACCATTCACTTTTGTTTGTTTGTAACATTTTATATTCTGTCTTTCCTCCAAAGAGCTCAAAGCAGTGTTCTGACTTCCCCTTCAACAGAACAACTCTTAGACTAGGCTAAGAGATAATGACTGGTCCATGGTCACCCAGTGAGCGCCATGGTTGAATGCAGATTTAAACTCAAGATATCCTGGTATCGGTGCAGCATCCTTAACTGCTGTACTGGCTCCTTTTTGCAAATCTCATATTAGGAACATAGGATGTTGCCTTATACTGCATCAGATGGTTGGTCCATCTAACTCAGTATTGCCTCCTCCAAGGTTTCAGACAAGGAGACATTTTCAGCCTTACCTGGAACTTAAAGCTGAGACCTTTCGCATGCAAGGCAGATGCTGTACCACTGAGCTACGGCCCTTCACATTACAGCATTTCCAATATATAAATCACTTACAATGTATAATAAAAATATTTTAAGCTCATTTCAAACTTTTCCTTTTTTATAGTAATTTTTTACTCAATTTTCAGAAGTTAAACATGTATACTTCAATACATAATAGGTTTGTCTTTTCCTGACTTCCCACCCAATTTCCCATGGTGTTTTAATTTCCTCCCCTCTGCTGTACAGTGCCTTCTATTTCTTATACCAAATGCATCAATACTGTATTCTCCAATTCCTTCTACTGCTCATATTTCAAATCCTGCTTGCGAGTTCATCAAACTGTAATATTTCCTTAAATAGTCCAAAAAGGGCTTCTATTCTTCCACAAAGCAATCATCGTTAACTTCTCTTATTTTGGTTGTTGGTTTCAAACATTTCCATGGTTCAAGGTAGGAACAGATCTTTGGAGCACTATTGTAGCACTTTTCTGTAGTGAAACATCAAAATAACAACATTGTTTGGATTGTGATCTTACGGTTTTATACTATGCTTTTATGCTGATGGCCCATGGTTAATCCAGTTACAGTAAGATAGGAAATAAAAGTGTGAGCAAAATCTTGAGTATATCTCCAAATCTGGGAGAGCTGTGTACAGCTATTAACCAAATGAAAAACAACAAAGCCAGTGGACCTGATGGGATACCTGCCGAAATCATCAAAGTGGGCGGAATTGAACTTACACAACAACTTCACAAGCTCATTGAAAAAATCTGGGAAAGAGAAGAAATCCTAGCAGACTTTAGAGATGCCAAAATTATCAGTCTCTTAAAAAATGGTGACAGAACTGATTGTGGAAACTATCGAGGCATCTCTCTATTAGCTGCGGCTGGCAAAATTCTTGCAAGGAGCTTAGCAAACCGTCTCGTAACAATATCCGAGGTGACCCTTCCTGAATCCCAAAATGGTTTTTGGCCTTCTAGGGGGACAGTGGACATGATTTTCACCGCTCAACAGCTTCAAGAAAAATGCAGAGAGCAAAACCAAACCCTGTATATGGCGTTTATTGACCTAAGGCTTTCAACACTGTAAATCGTAATGCCCTGTAGACTGTCCTTCTGAAAATTGGCTGCCCATATAAATTTGTAAACATCATTCTGCTCCTCCATGATAATATGACAGCAACAATCGCAAATAACAATGGCTCTCAAGCTTTATTCAAAACTTTATTATTGCCTCAACTTTATTCATTATTTTCATTCCAATGATCCTACACTTTGTTGAAGGGAAACTCCCCACCGGAGTAGAAATCATATATCGAACAGATGGAAGGCTCTTCAGTCTGAGCAGGCTAAAAGCAAAGAGTAAGGTTACCGTAACTTCCGTCATAGAGCTTCAGTATGCTGATGACAACGTAGTGTGTGCACGCTCAGAGGATGACCTCCAAACCATCCTAAATATCTTTGCAGAAGCTTACGAAGCTTGGCCTATCACTCAACAGCCAAAAAACCAAAGTGCTACACCAACAAGTACAAAATAACCCCTCTGCAGCACCACAAATCCAACTCAATGGTGTAACATTGGTTAATGTTGATCACTTCTCCTACCTAGGCAGTTATCGTTCCACAAGAGCCAACATTGATGCCGAAATGCAGCATCGCCTGAGCTCTGCGAGTGCTGCTTTCTCCCAACTGAAGTGCAGAGTGTTTGAGGACCGGGACATTTGCAGGGAAACCAAAATGCTTGTTTACAAAGCTATTGTACTACCAACCTTACTATATGCTTGTGAAACATCGACCACTTATAAACGCCATCTCCAACTACTCGAAAGATTCCATCAACGGTGCCTCCAAAAATTTTTACACATCACTTGGGAAGACAGGCGAACTAATATCAGTGTACTGGAAGAAGCAAAGATCACCAGTGTCGAAGCAATGATTCTTCAACATCAACTTCGTTGGACTGGTCATGTTGTGCGGATGCCTGATGATTGTCTTCCAAAGCAACTACTCTATTCCAAACTTAAAAATGGACAGCGTAATGCTGGTGGTCAACAAAAGGGGTTTAAAGACTGTCTCAAGGCAAATCTTAAAAAATGTAGTATAAACACTGACAACTGGGAAACACTGGCCTGTGAGCACTCCAGTTGGAGAACAGCCTTTACCAAAGGTGTCGTGGGCTTTGAAGACACTCGAACTCAGGACGCAAGGGAGAAACGTGCTAGGAGGAAGGCACGCTTGGCAAAACCACACCGTGATCAACTCCCACCCAGAAACCTATGTCCCCACTGTGGAAGGATGTGTTGATCCAGAATTGGTCTCCACAGTCACTTACGGACTCATTGTTAAAACTGTGTTTATGGACAGTTATTCCTCAGATATGAGGAAGTAAAAGTGTGTGCTGCGGGGAGAGGAATGTTTCATTTAGCAGGCATGAGAGAACAGGTGACTTTTAAGCAGGATTTGGGTTTTCGTTTTCATTTATAAAAGAGGAAATAGATGGATTTGTGTGGGCATTGGTGACAAGGGAATTCCAGAATAACTGTGTTTATCTTACTCGCCTACGAGTGATCGCCAAAGAAGAAGATATTCCCTTTACGCAGAAATTTAAACATACTTGGACAAAGAATTCATTGCTTTTCTACAGATTTAAAATGTATGCTTAAGATCTCACCATTTTCTTGATTCCTTATTTTTCATACTTATTGCAATTATGCATACATGATGGTTGACTTGGCTCAGGAGAAGGCACAGCTGACCTGATTTCTGTACGTAGTGGTAGTAGACTTTGCAGGCCTCCAAGGAAGCCATTTAACTGTTATGTGTGCCTTCATTTCTCTTTTCTTAATATTGGCATGCTTGGCAATTTCACATCTGTAGTCTGGAATCCTTCTGTGCCACATCCACAGGGACCTTTTATAACAAAATCTAATGTTAATGCAACGGAGCTGTTAAAATGAGTCAACCAAGAATAATTTTCTCATTTTAACAGAAGTGAGCAATGAAGAATCTGCTATTCCAAAACATATAATTAAGCATGAAGAAAATAATGTATTGAAGCCTTTTCTGGTGTTCATTTCTTTTTCAGTTTCATTATCCAGATATTGTAAGGTGACAACTCAGTGTTGAATATAAGCCAGCACTGTGGTACAACTGGAGGCTGAGGCTAGTGGATTGCTTGAGCTCAAGAGTTTGGGGCTGCTGTGAGCTACGCCAAGGTTACTAGAGCATCAACAACAGAAGTTAGGCTATCCCTGTCCAGATAGGGGCTCAGCTGGGCCACCAGCTGAAACTGATGGAAAGCTGATAATATGCCCCAAAGCTGATGATACGGCTCTTTACTTTCTTCATTTTTTTACTGGCTATATTTATTAAACTGTAAACAGAACAAGTAACATGATGCGGTCCCAAGTCACAAGCAGAGTAAGGGAGAGACAGTGAGGAAAACCAGAATTAGCAGATATGAGGAAGTAAAAGTGTGTGCTGCGGGGAGAGGAATGTTTCATTTAGCAGGCATGAGAGAACAGGTGACTTTTAAGCAGGATTTGGGTTTTCGTTTTCATTTATAAAAGAGGAAATAGATGGATTTGTGTGGGCATTGGTGACAAGGGAATTCCAGAATAATGTGACATGATGGAAAATGGTGTTAGAAAGAAGGAAGGGAACATGGGTTTGAATGAAAATACTGGAACCAGCAGAACAAAAATAAAATGAAGAGTATAGAAAAGAAGAAGAGATGGGCATAAGAGATGTAAGCAAGAGAGTTTATAGATTGATAAAATTCTGCTTTCATTTTTTTTATTCTTGTAATTTAATTAAATTTCTATTCCACCCTTTCTCCCAAGGGAGCCCAGGGTGGCAACAAAGCAGCAAAGCAATCTTTAAGAAATAAAATAAATAAAAACATTCAAAACAGTCTGATATCCTCACAGCTAATAATTTCAAGGTTGCCCAGAACAATATCTTTCAGATACTGCCTGTACAGTCATGTTTCAAAATTCATACTGAATGAGGAAGACAGATGGACTACACCTGTCTCACCAGAGACGGCGTTCCATAAATGGGGAACCACTATTGAGAAAGCCTTATCATGGAAAATGACGCCCTGGGCAGGATTTCTTCTTTTAAATTACTACTACTGCCCTTTGGAGCAATACTTGAGACCTTCTAATTGCAAAGCAATATTTGCTTAATATTTTGGCCCACCTCAAAAGCCCAGCCAACCTTGGTATCTCAGTGGGGTCCAATAACAACAAGATGGGGAAATGTTCCCCCCTTACATTTCCTCTGTTTATCCTCTATACCATAGACGTTTTAGTATCTTCCAGACTTGTATTAGGATATATGACTTCCCTTATGGCAAGTTAATTTTAGCTTTTTGCTGCCATTTCACATCTTTACAGCCACAGTCATGTGAGATCCACGGCAACTCTAATGATCTATTTTTTCTTCCTTTTAAGAAGGACTGGATTCATTTTGCTTTGCACAGCAGTTTGAAAGTTCACACAGGGAGAAATATTTCATACTATTTATTACCAGTTATGAATAGTGCCTGGATAACAGCACTTCTAGAAATTCTGCAGAATTGCCATCTAGCACCATGGCATGCTGGGAAAGGAAAATTTGCCATGGCTGGCAAGCATTTTTTTCCTCTTGGAAAGTAACCCTAATGAACTACGGCATTGCCACCTAAGGTCCTATTTCAATCCCCAAAAGTGACTGTAGTTCTTTGCCCCATTTATCTCCTTGCAGAGAGATACCTGTTTCTCGAGTTGATTGATGACAGTTACGTATGGGGTTTCCTTTGCCTTTTGGAACCGCTAGCCAGGATTCAGAGTGCTATAAAATGAATTCTACACACAGAGCAGGGTGGTATTCTGAGGTTTAATTCTGCAGCCCTCTTCCAGTGCTCCAAACCTCTGGAATCTGCAAATGCTGCACAGAAAAATCCTGAAATAAAAATCTCAGAATGCATGTGTGCAACAAGTGGAGAAGATGATTTGAAGGTGTTCCACTGAAATTGTAAAGGATACGTCACAAGTTTGCTGGCCTGAAGTATTCAGGATATGATGTAATGCTATTTGTTCTCTGCAAGTGATAGGACAAATAAAAGTAATGTTCTAGGACTTGCAAGTATCTAAGAAGATGACTTGAAAAGTGAACTGAACTATTCTTGGATGTGATTAAGAGATAAAATGCATGGGATTAAATGGATGAAAGGTTCAAGAAAATGTAAATGGGCTCCACTGTGGATCCCGCTTAAAGTTTTCCAGTTCTTGTATTATGTTCTCTTCTGAGTATGGACAGACAACTAGTGTTACTGAAGGGATTGTGATGTTTTAAAAATAACAGTTTAAACCAGTAAGACATGGACTCCAATATAGTTGGTTTTAAGCAGCTCCCTATTAGTGGATCTTTGCCAATTTGCTGTTTCTAAACAACCCAAAATTTAAAAAAACAAAAAACTTGTGGGTTGTAAAAGTTGCTGATAGGGAAACTGCCTTTGATACCAACTTTTTTCTGTTGCTTTTTAATGAGTTTTCCTTCTTGCACTAAACCTCCAAACTTCTACAAGATTCAGGGGAATTGGGGCATCAGTGTGGGGATTTACAACAGGGAGATTGTTTCTTAGGAAGGAAAATTCTTAAGCTACATTTGTTTCAAAATCATTCATAAGTACATAATTACAGTAGGTCCTTCTCTTTGGAATATTTTTTTCTGAATTTGTAAATCTCTGTTCTCTGCTTTCATATGCCTTGTTCATGTCAGAGTTTTAGCCCATGTGGCTTCAGGATTGTGTCCAATGCTGTATAAGTGGGTTTCTGCTTGTGCAGCAGAATGTCCTTTCCTCTCCCCTCCCCAAAATAAAACCGCTCTGGATGGTCCCCCAATACTCAGGAAGATTTTGAATACACACAGGGGGCTGTAGGTAGCAGGAGAGTAAGGGGAATTTCTGTTGTACACATGGAAGCGTGTTGCTCGGACGGCACTGCAGCATGGGATACAATCCTCAGTTCTTTTTAATCAAGTAGTAACTTATCCATCAACAATTTCATTTCAATTAATGCTGCATGAATGAAATGTCCATTGTGTGCAATCATACCCCTTTATTACCAAGTTATTAAAGTAACAGCCCTTATGCATTTTGCTCGGAACTTGAGAAGTTAATGGGCTTAAAGAAGGTTGCAGAATATGAGATAGAAACAGTTACGTTCTTGAGTAGTATGGAAAGCTGGAGCAATAAGAGAAAAGTCTTCATTCAGTGCTTTTGTCTGCAAGGTACGATAATAACCTTGAGCTCAAAATTTATTTATAGTATTAATAGAAAGAAATGTCTTGGGGACAATACTGTGAATAACTTTGCAGACGCGCCACTCCTAGAGTGAGAGAACATTAAATTGATATCCAGGTCTACTCATTTCTTCACAAAAGATTTTTGTATTTTATGGAAGAAATATTATGTGCATTGTTTTGTGGGATGGGGTAGAAAGAAACAAAATCTGTAGAGTTGGTGAATGTTCAGTGAGAGCTCCACTACCCAATATAATATTACGTTCAGGTGGTGCAAGCCACCTTCTTCCTTTCTCCCACCTTCTGTGTCTTGTCTCCTGCTCTAGACAATCCCACAAAAGCATTTATAACCCAGTGCTTTGTCCCAGTCCCATTGGGGCTTTGCCCACATATAAAAGCACATAGAATTGAATGTGGGTGAAAGGAAGAGAAGCCCACTGGGGAACACACACACACATGCGTTCCTTAGCAGATACGGCTATCTTTGCAATGAATTTGATTTATCATGCACCTACCACCTCTGTGTCAGGACCAGCCCAGAATTTCATGAAACCTGCTCAGAAGACTGCACCATATTGCCAGCCCTTGCATATGTGGTTTTTCTCATGTGGTGTATCTGCTGTTTATCCCATGCCATGGCATGGGAACTTGAGAAGTGGCAGTCATACCAATCCCTTAACGGAAATGTTGAGTCCAAACCCGCTTTTCCCAATCTCATGCCCCCAGATGTTTTTTGAGTTCAGCTCCCATCATTGGCTGTGCTTGCTGGTAGTTCAAAACTTCTGGAAGGGTACCACATTGGTCTAAACTTGTAGCGCATTTGGTGATTGGAGGTTTGTTTCCACTCATTTTCTCCCATGTTTCAGAAGCTGTTATTGGAAATAATTTGAGACAGGAATCGGCCTTGCAAACTTATGTGCTGCAGTTCTCAGCCTAAAGTCATAGCATTCTGTTGATTCTGTTTTCTTCATATGGGACCACTCCCAAGTTCAGACTGAGACATTTAACCTTTTACTAGTGTGGCACTCTAGAACTTCAGTTAAATTATAATTAAATTTACACTCCAGTTCTTTAACTGAGGAGGACATCCTCTGTTAATTTTATTTCAGTTCTACAGTATTAATGTTTTTAAATGATTGCTCCCCCCCCCCCCGTTTTTAGCTGTTTCCATTTTAGTTGTAAGATGCCCTGAGTCCCTGTCAGAAAAAGGTGAGATATAGATAAGTATAAAAAAATAAAAATTGTTTGATGGCACTCTTGAAGAAGAAGAAGAAGAAGAAGAGGAGGAGGAGTTTGGATTTGATATCCCGCCTTTCACTCCCTTTAAGGAGTCTCGAAGCGGCTAACATTCTCCTTTCCCTTCCTCCCGCACAACAAACACTCTGTGAGGTGAGTGGGGCTGAGAGACTTCAAAGAAGTGTGACTGGCCCAAGGTCACCCAGCAGCTGCAGGTGGAGGAGCGGAGACGCGAACCCGGTTCCCCAGATTACGTGACTACCGCTCTTAACCACTACACCACACTGGTGTAGTGAGTAACATATTGCAGTAAGAATCCTCAGCAAAAACAAAAAAGCACTTTATTTTTTAAGTATCCACACATTTTCATTCTAAAGAATGCAGTCTCTGCATAGGAAATATTACTTCCTGGGCTGTCTTCTTTTATTTATCTTTGTATTTTGCTTTTATCATTGTCGACAGATTTGCTTAAAGTACTTCGGTCTGAAATAGAATATGGGTATGGTCTTGGAGTTTAAAATATTTTCAATCATTGGGGAAAATATAATTCTAAGAAGAGAATTTATAAATAATGGGATAATAAAATCTTGAGATAGAAAAGTTATATTAGGTCAAGTAGTCAATTTCCCTTTGCCACATGAAGATAGTTTGCTTTCTATTAGGTATGTTGTTCACATTGATGTATGCCAAGCAGAGCTCTACTTTTTCTCCTGGGATATCATTCTGTGGGAATGTAAGATATTATTGAGGAGTTGGGGAGAAAATCAAGGTCAACTTCAAGCTATTCCGGAGCCTAGCAAGTTCTTTTAGTAAAGGTAATATTCAACATCAGCATGTTTCTATCTAATGTTTAAATATGGAACTATGCCATGGCAACCTAAAACAGCAAAATGATTGGACATTATAATGGGAGAAGAAATTTATAAAAAAAAAAGTTACTGGCAAGCTATATACAGCCCCCAGCATTTAAGATTATTGTCAATACAGAACACAACAGTACCATTTTGTAAATCTGAGTAGTCTTCAGAATTGGAAAAGGGATAAAATTAGGATGGAAAGAGAAGGGAAAGAGATCCTTTTAGGTTTTCCTATGTGGTCTGTGTCCACCCTCTTGAAAACTCAACAACAATGCTGCAGCAGACAGTAAGAGACTTATACTAAGGAGAACTGAAAATATTGGACATATTTACTTAGAAAAGAAGGAGGGGAGTGTAATGAAGAAAGAAGTCAGTCAATATAAATTTAATCTTTTTAATTTTAATTTTTGATACCTAAGGTGAAGAAATTTTTACAGATTGCACAACTTATTTCTTGGCAAGAAATTAATATCTGCAGATCCAAAATGTTAGTTGGAACAGAGAAATATTTGGAAATAAAAAGCTTGAAAGAATATAAATGTATTTTTACGTACATATCAACCTCTAACTGATGACAGCTAGGAATAAACTTCTATTAGAAACAGCCTATTCTATAATGGGTCTTTCCTGTGACATATTTGCTTATTGAATACTGCTGGAGAGGAGATACTTAGACCTGAGAGATCACTGATTTGGCCATTATGACAATCCCTTTGTTTCTTTATTTTGCTTTCCATAGATTATTGTTGACTTAGAAGGATAAAGGAAAAGGAAAAGCTATTTCAGCTCAGAGGATGGATTAGGCTCTGTATCCAATCCAGTTCTAATTTTGCAGGGCTTACTTATACCACAGCAATAGCAGACCCTTCTGTGTGATCAAAAATCTTTGTCTTCTATGACTTGTTAAAAGATCATATACTGCCTTACATACTGTTAAGTAAGAATATAATCGATATTCAAAATCTATTATGAAGTGTAGCATTTTACATTGTTTTTGTTTGTTTTTCCTTTTAAACAGCTTCTTAATAGCACAGACAACAAATTATGTTTGTCAATGAGTGTGTGATTCAAATGTGTCAGTTGGACTGATATTCATAAACTGGTACATAACTCTGGTTCTAAACAAGCCTGAAATTGGGTTAATAACAAACATTTTCATAACATTTCTAATCATATATTGAATTGCAGCATACACTTTTCACCAAAATGTATTCTTTGATTTATCAGTTTCCTATAATGGTAAATGAACACTTCTTCAACAAGTGCTACAAAACTTGCATTTCTTTATTTAGACTCTAAGTAAAAAAATGCAAGTTTTATATCACTTGCAGGAATTCCCCCTAAATTTTTGGGATTACCGTCAAAGCAGATAGCCACCAGTTTTCATGAAGAAAATTTGACATTCCACTGCAACAGGCAAAAATGAACTAGTTCATTCACAAATAACTAATTTATACAGGAATAGTACACTGTCAAATTGGTTCTGCAGCCAGTTGTTTAGACTGGTATAAACAGGTCTACTACTTGCATTTGGGAGCGGGTGGCGGTGTGGGTTAAACCTTGCCGATCAGAAGGTCGGCGGTTCAAACCCCCGCTCCCATTGTTTGGTCCCTGCTCCTGCCAACCTAACAGTTCGAAAGCACGTCAAAGTGCAAGTTGATAAATAGGTACCGCTCCGGCAGGAAGGTAAACGGCGTTTCCGTGTGCTGCTCTGGTTTGCCAGAAGCGGCTTAGTCATGCTGGCCACATGACCTGGAAGCTGTACGCCAGCTCCCTCGCCCAATAAAGCGAGATGAGCGCCGCAACCCCAGAGTCGGTCACGACTGGACCTAATGGTCAGGGGTCCCTTTACCTTTAAACAGGTCTACTGCTTGCATTTGGGAGCTTCTAAACTCCACCTTTAAGCAGAATTCTTATGGTGGTTTCAAATAGCCTCCTGGGCTTTTGGATCAGAACTCCATTGGGTATGTGAAGCTCTTGTCCCCTTTCTCTCATCCATGAGCAGAAGTGCTTTCCACTCACATACTGAGAACGATCGTATGTTACAGAAATTCATTTTTTATTAAAAAAAAAAAATCTGAATATTTCAGTGAGCCCAACTAAAACCCCAGTTCAGGCAAAGCAAACTCTTTTAAGTTCATTGATTCCAGTAGTAGAGAAAGGAGCCCACCCAAAACATTTCATTGAAGTTAAGGAATTTAAAAGTGCTTGAATGGTAGTGCCAATTTTTCTATCGAGAAAACATACCTACATTTGAGTTGTTGCAATATGGAATAAACTGAGATTTTAATCAATAGTTCAGGCAGATGTTGGAAGTGTAGATCAATGCAGAGCAATTTCTATCAATTTTCTGGTTTGTAGCTGCCTGGCACAATTTTCCTTTAATAAACATTAGAGCATGCCACTGTTTATAAAAGCTGCAAATTTTGTGGAACTGCATATGCTAAATATAATGTTCTGTTGCTCCATCTGTTCTTACTAAGACAGCTATGGTAGCAATCTATATTATCTAGCCTGATGAAATCCTAATGTGTTATTTTATACTTAAACAGATGGGTGAATCTAATCGATAAGGAGTTAGGAAATAATGTTCACTAGGAAAGCATAAGCATAGATTTTTAAAACAATCCATTATGGGTCTAACACTATTTTGACCTAAATGTTTTTAGAAGATGCATATACAGCTTGAACCTAAGAACTGCTACATCAGTGAAGTATTGAATGGGATGTATCATTCAGGTGCGGGTGCTTGATAGGGGTCGTACTTTTGATGCAAGGTTGAGGAATGTATCTCTATTAGGAGCAGCTACCACTTCTTGTGAGTAGTAACAACTATGAATTACTGAAATTGGATGAGACCAGAAGTAGGATACAAGGAGAAGCAGTGCATACCATGCTACAGGCATTCCAGCCACGTAGCAACCCCTACCAATCACCCAAAGCTGATGAGGTTTTTTTAGGAGATCACAAAATTGTAGAGCTTTTTTTGTGGGGGGGGGATCAGCCAAAGTTGTTGCACACCATATTCTTAGGCACAAATCTGCCATGGACCACCATAAGCATTTGACACTCTGGCCAACCAATATAATACAACCACCATGCAGAGAAGCCTCCTTAGAATTTCAGAAGAGTTGCGTTTTTTGTGTCTGGAATTCATTTGTTGTAAAAATGCAAAGTGTTTCAATTTTAAAACCCAGCATTTATATTCTTTCTTAAATGTTTCTGGAATTTAGATTAACAAGTCCAATAGTAGATGGCAACGTCTGCCTAATGATATGCATTTTACTGTTACTGTTTAACTGCATTCATATAGCTGCTTTGTAACAGAAGTTCTCTGGACAGCTCACAAAAGAAAAAATCATAATAATTTTACCATCTTTAATACTAAGGCCATAGCCATCTTTCCCATTGGTCTTAGTGGTTTGTTGTGCCAGGGCGCCGGCCTCTCAGGGGCCCTAGCGAGTGGGGGAGCTGTGTGGCTTTGCTGGCAGCCTCCCCTTTCCCTGCATGCCCACCAGCTGCGCCCCGCCAGCTACCGTATTTTTTGCCCTATAGGACGCACTTTTCCCCCTCCAAAAATGAAGGGGAAATGTGTGTGCGTCCTATGGGGCAAATTCAGGCTTTCGCTGAAGCCTGGAGAGCGAGAGGGGTTGGTGTGCACCGACCCCTCTCGCTCTCCTGGCTTCAGGAAGCTATCCGCAAGCCTTGGGAACCCGCGGGAGTTCCCGCCGGGCTCCCTAGGCTTGCGGATAGCAGCCTACAGCCCGAAACCAGGGGAGCGCAGCGGAGCGCGCCCCAGGCTTCGGACAGATATCCGCAAGCCTGGAGAGCCTGGCAGGAGTTCCCGCCAGGCTCCCAAGACTTGCGGATAGCAGCCTGTTCTGAGGGCTGGGGTCGGAAATAAAATTGTTTTCCTTTATCCCCCCCCAAACTAGGTGCGCCCTATGGGCCAGTGCGCCCTATAGAGCGAAAAATACGGTATATGGCTGGCGGGCGTGCAGCTTCCTTCCCAAGTCTCAGCTGGAGGAGAGCAGTTTCTGCAGAGGCTTAGGAAGGAAGCTGTGCACAGCTTCCCTCCCAAGCCTCTGCATCTGCTAAAGATGGCCCTGCTCCCAGTCGTTGTCCTCTTCCTGCTTCCTGGAAGCACGCAGCCTTCCCGAGCTGCCTTCTCTCTCTCTCTTTTTTTTCAAAATGATATTTATTAACATTTCAAAAAATACAAGAATTACACAAAAACAAAAAGTAAAAATACAAAAAAATAGGAAATTCAAAATACAGAAAAAGAGTAAAAGACACTTAAAAAGAAAAAAAAGGAAAATGGATCAATCTTTCCATAACTTACATTCATATCCTTGTTTCCCTGACCTCCTCATACCTCCCTTTTTTGTATTCCAGTTCAAGTTCATTAGTTAAGTCAGCAATTTCTTTCCCTCTTTGTTTTCTCATAATTCTTTAACTTAATATACTATAACTTTAAATTTTCATCTGTTATCAGTCCTTTTTTACCTACACCTTTATAACATTACTGCTTAAACCACCTAGCTTCATTCTAACATCATTCTAACATTCATTAATTTTACAATATTTCTGTAAATAGTCTTTAAATTTCTTCCAATCTTCTTCCACCGACTCTTCTCCCTGGTCTCGGATTCTGCCAGTCATTTCTGCCAATTCCATGTAGTCCATCACCTTCATCTGCCATTCTTCCAGAGTGGGTAAGTCTTGTGTCTTCCAATACTTTGCAATAAGTATTCTTGCTGCTGTTGTGGCTGCCTTCTCAGGCGCCCCAGTGCCGGAGAGCATGTCAGCCAGCACATTTTCCTGCTTGATCGCCGCCACCACGCCAGGAATCGGGGTGGTGGGGGAGGCAGAGGACATTTCCCACCGCCCCCTCCCTTGTTTTGGAGTTGCGGGGGGGGGGCGGAGGGATCTTTGCACCACGGCGCCAGATATGCTTAAGTCAGCCCTGACTCAGGCTTATATCTGCATGTATTAATCAGCATATGGTGACTTAATAAGCAAGCAACCAAATTGTGGCAAGTTCAGCCTTTCTTACACATTATATTTTTTTATACAGTTTGCTGTCCAAATCGTCTTGTACATCCTTAGAATGTTTTCTGCGTTGCTACCAGAAACATAATGGTTCAGCCAAGAGGCAAAGACCTTACGCATTGATCTCCTTGGTCTGTCTCCCTCTCCCGTCCCTACCTGTTAAAATGAGCATGGTGATTATATATTTGGTTTCTTTTTTTGGAAGGCCTTGCTATGGTAATAGTCCATGTGGCTGGAAGCATAATTTCCCTCCTTGATATGCATTTGTTCTAGCTAGATTGTAATATGCCAGAACACTGCTGAATGAAGTGAAAAGCTCTTCAGTAGCTGATGTTAGAGGATTAAATGATGACCATTCCTGTCCCATTTCTCTTATCTCATAATCAAGCTTAAGATGGCACTAGATGGCTCTGTTAGAGTGATTATATATTTGAAATAGAAATTATTTGATCTCAACTTAGGTATCGCAGCATTTAGAGAAGACTCGTTTCTTTCTCTTTAATGCTGAATATATTTGTAGTGCTTTATAGCTTTCTACTTAGATATATTTGTGCTTAAAGGGTACTTCAGTCTAATAGGGACATGTGCTGCAGGGGAAATTTCAAGCTTTTTTATTTACACTGCTGCTAATAGTATCTTTCAGAATAATTGAAGTGCACTCACAATATGTAGGCATAAAGTAAGGAAATTGGTTCACTCAGGAATTGAATAATAGGAATTTCACTTCAAACACTAGCTGGCTAGCTCTGTAGGATGCAAATTGTACTTAAGTTAGTTTTTTCTAATAATGACATGAACTGTCAGGAGATAATATCATTTACAGAATTCTCTGCCTGTACGTGTAACACACATACACTTGCTCCATCCACTGTTTTGTAGCAAGATCACATGCTTTAAACTGCTTTACAACACAAATCATTTAGCTAATCTCAGAACTGAAATGTCATTTGCTTGATAGCCATAACAATCCTCTCCTAAGTCGTGTCTTTTGGCTAAAAGTCTCCACGAGTTTTCAGCACCTGTTCGGGTACCATTTGCAGTATGCTAATATGTTCTATGCTGCTTAATTTACCCTGATATTGCCCATAGATTACAGTCAGAATCAAAAGGTTTTCTCACATTCCCAGAACCAATCAATTTGCATGCGGCTCTCTCTGACATCAGAATGTTTGGGTCAATAACAAGCAGCTTGTACCACTAACGCATACTAGTACTAAGTGGCTGACTCACCCTCAAATGCAACAGATGCCCTCCACTGTTCTGCTCAGATACCACAGTAAGCCAGAAGGTTTATAGTTCATGGTGGAAGGCATACTTTGCAGGTTCAACCCTTGCATTTCCAGGACAGGATGAGAAATACCCTTGCCTGAAACCCTGGAAAATCGCTGCCAGACAGTGGAGGCAATACTGAAGTTAATGGACTAGTGGCTTGGCTCAGATTCCTATGTTCTAAAAGTTAGTTGAAGACTACCAGGAACTGATTCACATTAGCAGGTGTGCCCCCCCCCCGTATTATCACTTCTTGCTTCCTTGTGATTCACATGATGCTCATTCCCACTTGAGTTGGTACCACTAACTTTTGACCCTTCTGGGATTTCTCAGAGAAGTTTAATGCTGACTATTGTGTTTTGCTGCTGGTCTTCGTCTCATGTGCACCAGCTGCATGATATTTCCACTGATACTGGTGAGAGTGGCTTCGTTCCTACAGAACCAGTTCACCATCATTTCCTTACCTTCCTCCTGCGCTCCATATTTGACCTTGGACTGCATCTGTCTGAAGAAAAAGAACTCCCTATTGAATGCAATCCCTTGAGTCAGGGCTTTTTTCCAACCAAAACTCACCAGAACTCAATTCTGGCACCTCTCAAATGGGCAACATTGCTCTTCTAAGAGAACAAGGGAGATGTTGGTGAGTTCCGGCACCTCTTTTTCTAAAAAAAATAGCACTCCTTTTAATCATGACAAGTGACTGAAAACATATTCTGTGTGCCATGTTTTGCATTTACTTGTGTGATGATAAATGGGTATACTTTTAAAAGAATGCTTGCATTTTCTCTTAAGTTCAGGTTTCATTGGGAGTGAACTCTGTATTTTTTTGTTCCCACCTTGTTTTATTAGTTGCCCAAAATAATTCAGACATTGAGTTTCCTTAAATATATTGTTGGAATACTGCTGTCACAATAGAAAGAAAGCAGCATCAGGTTTAAAAAAGAAGTCATTCCTGTTCAGTTTTTGAATCCTTCAATTTTCTTACCACAATGTATTGCCTTTTATATTTAATCCCATCATTTTAAACTAGTTTGTGATTTAATCCCATCATCTAAAAAACCGGAGAGCACTCCACACTATTTCAGGGGGTAAGTACCTACAGATCTTGATGATATTATGACAACTTAAATGGTTCCTTAAGGGCTCCATCACTCAAAATAGGGATTTTGACTGCAAGTAATCCTATCAGATCTGTACTATTTTAGTTGACAAAACTACAGTAATCCTCTTTACAATTCTTCTATATTTATTAAGTATTTAGCTAGGTTTTCTTAACGTCTGTGTCTTCTAAGAAGTGAAATTAATACACATGTTGCTACCTAAACTGCAGCACGCTGCAGGAAGCTGATCAACAAAGTAACAAGCATTAGAAGAAGAAAGGACTGACTGATTTATTAAAGGAAAAGGCAGTTTCCTGCAGAAGCTGTCATCCTCGAATCTTCAATTGGTGGGTCATTTCATCCTCAGCAGGGACTCAATGCATGAAGTCTCATCTTTACTCTATGCTCAATCAGTACGGCACTTCTGCCTGTACTGCAGTAGCAGTTTGGATTCCTATTGAAACGCATGATGACATGATTTTTTTCATAACTTTCCAATATCTGACTGTACAACTGCTATTATAAAAAAGCTTTTTGGGCCAGTTCGATTTCCCATATCCATGAAAGTAGAGCAAGTGAAGGTATTTGTTTCTGTCTAGGGTTGCCCTAAGACAGTTGTTCATACATTTCAACTTTGAAAAGGGGTGCCACCATTCACAGCCTCTTCCAAAAATAGCAAGATGCATTCTAAAAGCAATGTTGACATTTGGAAAGCTTGTCAGCAACTTGTCCATTATTTGTGCAAAAACAATTTCAGCCAGAGATTACCTGCTTGCCTGCATACATAGAGAAAAGTAATAAAAATGCATCTGTGAATGCGTGTTCGAGATCTGATGGCTGGGTGTCTATTAATGCCCTTGTTCTACAGGCCACTTCACCACTAGACCTATCCACACAAAAACTAAGCTTTTCCTTTAGTGTGGCGTATGTTGCGCTCTCTCTCTCTCTCTCTCTCTCTCTCTCTCTCTCTCTTCTCAATGATAAGCTTGTCCATTACAGAATAGAAGGGCTGTGTGCAGAAATTGTCACTGGCACTCAAATGTGTGTCATTAATATCCATGCCAACTTTTTATTTAAAAAAAGGATTCTCAGTTGTTTACATTGTGTAGTCTCTTGGTAGTTGGATGGTAGGAGTCCTTTTGCCATTATTTTGTTCATGTTTGTTTTTACTATACAAAAGTATTCACAATGTCATGGGATGGACTCAGTTACTAGCCATTTAGAACAGCTGGAGGAGAAGCAACCATTGTTTAGATTTCCAAAGGGCCATGCACTGGGCTAAGACGGGGATAAGGTTTCCAAGCACCAATATTTGGGGTGGGGGCAAGACCTGGATTGATACTTTGGTGGGAAGAGGAAGCCAAATGCAGAACATGAGAAAGAGAAATAGGAGTGGGGGTCTAGTATGCCAAAGAAAAATTGGGCAGGGCAGGGAGCTAGGCTTGAATGATTTTAAGGGAGATGCCTAGATAGAGATTTGGAGGGAAGAAGGATACAGAATGAAAGAGAGAGTTAAGGAGACCTACCCTGATGGGGGATATCTGTCTATCTGTAGATATACCGTATTTTTCTCTCTATAACACGCAGATTTTTTCTCCTGAAAAGGAAGGGGAAATGTCTGTGCGTGTTATTGAGCGAATGTGTGGTCCCTGGAGCCGAATGGCGCGAGTGGAGGCAAAAATCAGGCAAAAATCAAATCGTGTCTCGGAGAAGGGAAACCTGAAAAGAGGAAGCGGCTGCTTTCCTGCATTCTGCCTCAGGGTCTTACTGCCCACCCACTCTGTTTCGTTGCTGTGTTTGCTCAAACGGAACAAAGAGCAGGGAAAACCCCTCCCCTCCAGGCAAGCAGAGGGGAAAGCAGAGCGTCCTTCCTTCTAATTCCTCTCCATGCTCCGGAGGGAACAATGTTTGTGAAGGGAAGAGAGATTACAGGTTCAGCTTAAAATTCTGATTTGACTTCTTGCTTTTGTTTTTGAGGACACACAGCATTCAAATATGCTTTCTTCCATTTAAAAGGATGAAATCCTTAAACAGTGTTTTGCCTGTAAATTCATGCGATCTGGAAGATTACAGTGTCTGTACCTCTTAAGGGATGGCAAAGCTTAGGTTTCGCTGCTAAATAGTTCTTAATGCAGTCAAAATGCTTTCTTCTGTCGAGGCAATTAAAACATGTATATATCAGGCAGCCGGAAAACATGCAGGTGGGAGAGAGAGAGCGCGAGCTGGCTGGCTTGGGTGGGTGGGTGGGGGGAAACTTTTGCCTTCCTTTCCTCCCTCCCGTTATACCCCTCTCCTGCATTCTTAGCCAGCTGCTTCTCTGCACACCCCTCTCGTGCTCCTTGTCCCTTCTGTGTTTTTCCTTCCCTCCCCACTTAAAATGTGGTTACAAAGCATGGATCCACATGGATCCTCAGGATCTTTGCATTGGGTCACCCCAAATTCACCATCAGAGCACATAGCATGTCCATGGCTACAGCCTGCCCCCCAAAAATCACGCACCCACTGTTGCCTGGGGCTGCAATGGTGCAAAAACGTGGTTACAAAGCATGGATCCACATGGATCCTCAGGATCTTTGCATTGGGTCACCCCAAATTCACCATCAGATCACATAGCATTTCCATGGCTACAGCCTGCCCCCCCAAAATCACGCACCCACTGTTGCCTGGGACTGCAATGGTGCAAAAACGTGGTTAGAAAGCATGGGTCCACATGGATCCTCAGGATCTTTGCATTGGGTCAGCCCAAATTCATCATCAGAGCACATAGCATGTCCATGGCTACAGCCTGCCCCCCCAAAAACCACGCACCCACTGTTGCCTGGGGCTGCAATGGTGCAAAAACTTGGTTACAAAGCATGGATCCACAGGGATTCTCAGGATTTTTGCATTGGGTCACCCCAAATTCACCATCAGATCACATGTCTGTGGCCACAGCATGAAGCACAAAAATGATACATCCACTGTTTCATTCAGAATGTTTTTTCCCTTGTTTTCCTCCTCTAAAAACAATGTGCGTGTTATGGTCAGGTGCGTGTTATAGAGCGAAAAATACGGTACATCTACAGAGGCCTGCACATTGGCATGGTTGCATGGCTGGCATTAGGACAGTAAGCACACTCAGCTGTCATTGATTTCTGTCTTCATGAAACAAGCACCTCATGAAAAAAAAAATTATCAAAAAGCTCTGCCTTTTCATCTTAGGGCTGGACAAATCTGTCATGGTTGGTTTCTTATTTTTCCAATCTTATGTTCAGTTCTCTATATTTCCACATCAGTTTGCAGTTTTTAGAAAACCCTCGTGAGAATTCACCATCATTTTAGTGCCTGCAGTGACACATGTTATATGCACCTTTGCCTAATATACCCATTTTAGCAAAGCAATTTTCCCTAATACAATGCATTTTTGTATGTGACCCTCACTAATGCAATATATGATTTTTTTTATAAGCGTACTTTACCCAAGTATATGTGTTTTTGTACATATTACTTGGCTGGAGAACTGCATTGCAAAAGTTAGAGAACTGTGAATTTTGGAAGAGGACTGTGTTTTGGTTCATGTATTGATTTGAGGAGTTTGATTTATGTAAGTTTTAAAATGTGGACTGAATTTAATTTCTCTTACATTTGTACCTCATCTCATATTATACACAGACAGCCTGAGATTTATTCATTTTGTCTTTTTATCTCTAAGCCCCACAAAGTATCTCCTTGTCTTCTAACTTGTTCACAGAGGTAAACAATCACATGTCTCTTCTCTCACAGACTATGCTGGAAACTGTAACTAGGCACTGAATAGCAGTCTCGTGTATAGATCTTTGATTATGGGAAATATGCGATGTAAATATTTATAGATCTGTCGGGGAGGGGCTGTGATTATGAGATGCCGAGTGCCTACTAAGACTTTAACCTGACCCTGATCATATATGATGGTTATCTTACCAACATGGCTACAGGAATGAGCTATTGATGAATAAAAGTGAAAGGGAACTGAAAGAAAAAGAGGAAGGGAGAACTGGGTAAGTGCAAAAGAGGAAGTGGTACAGTCAAGAATTCAGAGAGGGAGAAGCAGCATGGGGAAGACAAGTTAAGTGGTGCAGAGCCTTCTGGGAGGAGATTTTGGGGTTAGCACCCTTCCATCTACTCATGGAGCTTCTTTAACTACTAACCTCATAATTTGGGATCCCTTCCAAACCAGTACCAAAGTTTTGCAGGGTTTTGCAGTGGAAACCCAATGTTTGACAGTGCTCCCAAGCTGTGTAATTGTTACTCAAACTGGGGGCAGGGGGCCATAACTATGACCCCCAAACCCAACATTGTCCAATTCACTCCAAACATGGGGTTTTTGGAACTGGTTTGGAGTGAATCAGACAGTGTTGGGTGCTAACTATGAACCCTGGCTTAATGTATCCATTTCTCAGGGGAGAGGGCACTGCAAAACACAGGGTTTTCACTGCAAAACAACTGCAAAACTTTGACACTGATTTGGAGCGGATGCCAAATTTCAGGGTTTGTAGTTAATAAAGCTCACTCAGGGTACAGCCTTGGCAGGAGTTATTTCCATATGCATTCCCAGCATGCCTTGCTCATCTCAGTTGCTAAGCACAAGAATTGAGCCATCTAAATGTTTCTACTCTGGAATTATATGTCATTAGCTTTTTAAATTCTAATGCCAGCCAAACATTATTCATAGTTTGGAGCTTCCAGGCAGCTCATATTGCTTGCCCAACAGATTAGTGAAAATGATTAGAAATCTTGAGTGTTTAGATAATCATGTGGATGGTCTTTTGTTGTGGTCATTTGCTTAACAGCAGTCCCAAACCGTTTCTTTCAGCAGAGAATAATGGTGTTGTAATGGATGCCGAACAAGCATTAGACAAAGGAAAGCCTTTGCTCCAAAGAGTCTTTTCTCTTTCCAGATTAAAAATGTGGAAGATAACGTAAAGGGAAGCAGAAACGGGAGTGGGGGGAGTGAGGCTGAATGTAAAACTTGAAGCATATTAACTGGGTAGAAAGAATTTGAAGGTGTAGCTCTAGGTAGGATATGTTGAAAGCCGGGACCTTCAAAGTGGCTTTCTCTGAAATGTTCCACATGCAGATAGGCAGAGCTTTATAGTCTCAATATGTGAATGAGATGGTGGGGAGTTGGATATGTTAGGCACTGGGGATGTTTTCGAACAAGCCAGGCCAGTACAAAAGGTTTGGGTTCTACTTAAACCAAGATGGAACCAGATTGTTGGTGGTTAAAACCAAAAATATGACAGAGCACCTTTTAAACTGATTGCCGGGGTAAGGCTGAGAGCAGGTGAGAAGCATCTAGTTTGGAAGAATTCCCCCAGGGATTGTCAGGTGTGTGTACAGGAGCTAGGCCCTGTGACCATTAGGACTCTGCAGGATTGGGGCCTTCCTAAGTTTGTTCTGAAGAGGCAAGGCATGGCCACACAGGTGAGGCCCATGGGTAACTCACAGCACCTGGTGGCAAGAGCCGGGAAGGGATATAAGGTCAGCATTTTCCCTTCAGCTCTTTGCCACAGCAACACGTTCCCTGCCTTGCTGTGTTTGACTCCTTGCTTCTTGATCCTCGGACCCCTGACTTCATGACTTTTTGCTTCCTGATCCTTGGCTTCTTGACTCCCGGCTCTCTGACCCTCGGACTCTTGGCTCCTGGCTTCTGGACTCCCGCTCCTGCTCCCACCCCGCCATCTTGCCCCCGGTCCCGACGTCCCCACCCAGGACTTTGATCGCCTGTGAACCGGACCGTGACAGGGATGACAGAGGAGTTGTCTATGGTTATTTAAAGAGGGGAGGGCTAGAACTAGATAAATGGCAAGTAAAAGGTGACATGATGGAGATATATACAAGTATACATGGTGTACAGAAAGTGCACAGGGAGATGGAATAATTCTAGAACTTGGGGCCATTTGAGGAAGCTGAAAGTTGTATGAGCCAGCACACATGGAAGTATTTCTTCATACAGTGCATGATTACACTATGGAATTCGCCCCCACAAGATGTAGTGATGCCAGGCAATTTGGATGGTTTTAAAAGAGGGTTCAACAAAGTAATGGAAGGTAAAGCTGTCTGTGGCTTCTAGCCATGATGGTCCTGTTCTACCTGCTGTCAGAGAGAGTATTCTGTTGGATATCAGGCATCACACATGGGGAGAGCACTTTTACTCCTGAGGGTCCTGCTTTCAGGCTTCCCACAGTCATTTGGTTAGCCACTGTGAGGAAAGGATGCTGATCTAGATAGACCTTTGACCTGCTCAGAAGTGCCCTTCTTAGATTCTTAGAATTTTTTTTGCCTTGCGAGACTTCTGACTTAATATGGCAATTATATGGATGTTAAGATTTGAAGAGAACAATGCAACTGATTTTTCCTTTGTGTTCTTTGAAAGATATGGTTTCTAATCCTTAAAGATAGTGGAATTTTTGAAGAGTGTGGCTATATCAGTAGACATTATTCATGAGACTGTTGTTTCGGTACTCTAACTTACCAGATAGGAAGCGTGTAAGCAAGCCAATATTGTTTGGTTTACCAGCCCATAGGATGGGTTAATATGACCTAATGCCAGTCATAGTCTGAGCAGTTCCACTGAAATCAATGGACTTCTTCTACTAAGATCCATTAATCTTAATGTGTCTACTTAGACTATGTCTAGCATTGGATATCGCCAGTAGAGAGGACAAGAGAGGAAAAGGACACATTCCTGTGCACACAAAAGTCCATTTTATCAGTGCAGCATTGGATACAGCCCAATTGTTTAGAAAGAGACCTCCCTAACTGCTTGAAAACATTATCTGAACTTGAAAGTCCGTTTTATTTGATGTTTTTCTATTGCTGTTATATTGCTCTGTACCTTTAAATTCAATTACCGCAATTCAGTCTCCCTGTAATGAGTGCCACCTGGGAATGGTTACTTATGCTTCAGGTTTCATGCAACTAGTAGCGGTGGTTACATATCCTCATGACCACTGCTCCTTGTGCATTTTTCTAATCTATGGGGTATGTACCTTTGTCCTTCTTATTGTAGTTATAGCATATGGATTGTAATGTGTGAAGTTTATATAGCTTTCGTGTACACAGGTCATTGTTTCATATTTGAATTATTTTGTAGTTGTGCTGAAGAAGATTTCAGTGAAAGTCATTTTATCCGGGATCACTGTCCTACGTCCTACGTTGTTATTCACTTACTACTTCGGCCCCATGAATGCCTAAAAAGTTTTACCGCTCAGCCCACAGGATAGCATCTATTACTTGGTTTCAACCATAGACTTACTATACTTTTACGGACTTTCAAAGATTGACAGACGTGTGTTCATAGAATCATAGAGTTGGAAGAGACCACAAGGGCCATCAAGTCCAACCCCCTGCCAAGCAGGAAACACCATCAGAGCACTCCTGACATATGGTTGTCAAGCCTCTGCTTAAAGACCTCCAAAGAAGGAGACTCTACCACACTCCTTGGCAGCAAATGTTCATTTGTTTTCAAATATATTCGAGAATTTACAAGTGTACACATTTTGTTTTAGTTGTACAAAATAATGTATATTATGCAATAAGAACTACAGTGCTATCTAGTATACTGGTCTTCGTGTTGCTTGTGTTGTTGTGTTAAGTTTGCAACACGAGTTGTTTGTTCTGTATTGGTGAAAATATTATCTGAACTGGATGGTGGCCCCAGGATAACTTTTTTTTAAAAAAGAAACCTGTCTTGCATCTTTGTACAATAAGGGTCAGTGTTGGGAGACAAAGAATTTATGAGACCCATCGACTGTAGGTAATCATTGATCCAAAGTTATATTCTTAATTCTGCTTTCATGTGCACCATTATAAATGGCAGCATGAAGTCTGGAATAACTGTCAATACAAAGACGCTGGAGAAACATTCTCGATTTCCCAGGAGAAACATTCACCTGTTTTAAGACCACACGGGCAAGTGAAAGTCATTATTAATCCCAGAGTGTGACAAGCCATCAGCTGAGTGTCTGTAATTAAACATATGACATTGCTGTGTTCCTTACAGGGGGCACTTCATTGTCTGCAGAGAGTCCAAAAGGGATATCAGTATGTTTCTGGAGAAATAGTAATAGCGGCCAGTATAAATATATCCCCACCACATAAGGACAAAAGGATTGCACATTTGTCAACCTACTCTTCCAATTGGAAAAGGGCAGTAGAAATAGATTAGATGACCTTTTAAAATTCACTTCCATTCCTAACATTCTGGGAAATAGTGTGTGCTGTAATACCAAAATAGGCACAGTATAACTTTCCAACAGTAGTATGTCTAGTGTGAGGAGTCTGACAATCAAATATACAATTTCTACACTTTAGTAACAAAAGGAATCTTCCCATGTAATTTAGAAACATGGAATCAAACATTAGATGATTGGAAGCCCAAAGGAGGTTCACAATCTGGAACAAAGTGGTGCTACCTATCCTGGTTTGTTCGCCTATTTTATCATAGAAACCTTGAGCACACTGGATACAGAGATAGAACTTTGTCATGAGTACTAATAATCGACCGACTGTCCTTGCATTTAGCTAGTACATAAATTATATTAGAATGATGTATGTTGACTGCATTTGTGTGTAACACTAAATTGTGATTTGGTACCATGTGAATAAGCCTTGGGCCACATAGCCTTCTCAGATGTTGCTCTGAGAAGTTGCTTCTGTTTTCCACTAGCCCATGGCTTCTTGTTATGTCCAAACAGCGACAGACTCTGGTTAGTTTTTGTATATTTTGTCCAAACATATGAACTTTAGACTGTGGTTTATGATCCTGGCTTGTTCAAATAAACCATAGTGAAGACATATCATAGTTTCCACTTCAGGCTTTGGATCTCTTCCTTGCAGCTGTACAAGAGAGAGGAGGGAGGGGAGAAGCCAGATAGCACACATAAAAGTTTAGCATTACGTGAAGCAGGGCAACATATCTAATTCAAGGAATATTTTGCTCATGCAATCTAGGATCATAGTATCATAGAATTGTAGAGTTGGAAGAGACCACAGGGGTCATCTTGTTCAACCCCCACCAATGCAGGAATCTCTTGCCCATGTGGGCGTTGAACCCACAATCCTGAGATTAAGAACGGATCTACACTGGTTGTCTATAATGTTTAAAATGTGTTATTAAAATGTGACACTACAGGGCGCTATAGAGCAGCGAGCCTTCAGTAATGGAAAATTGCACTGAGAGTTATATAGCGTTATATTTAATGACGTTTTTACAGATCAATGTCGATCCAGCCTAAGAGTCTCATGCTCTACTGACTGAGCTACGTCCTATATAGTATATCTGCAGCTAGGTATCTTTAATCTAGCAGTCCCTACCCTTCTAAACAGTATACCAAGTGTAAAGCTCCTCTAATTAAAATCAGGGCTGAGCTAACACAGAGAGAGCAGGGTTATTTTGCAAACATTTTGGTTGATCCTTGTGTCAAACCCCATCTTCTGATGTAGCTCAACAGTGCCTCCTAGCATGTTTTGGGAGTTAATAGACATCCAATGAAGCTGAACATTGGAAGATTCAGGAGAGATAAAAGAAAGTACTTCCTCATGCAGCGCATAGTTACATTATGGGACCAGTTCCCATAGGGGGACAGTCATGGCTACCAACTTGGATGACTTAAAGGTGAAAATTCATGGAGGGGAAGGTGCTAACCATGGTGGCTGTCCTCAGTTGGAGGCAGCAATGCTTCTGAATACCAGTTACTGGAAACCAGAAGAGGGGAGAGGGCTTTAGTGCTCAAAACCTGCTTGCTGGTTTCCCACAGACATTTGGTTGGCCATTGGCCTGATCCAGCAGCCTCTTTTTATGTTCTTACACTAACCTCTTCAGTTGACCCTGAATGGATAGCTTTCTACTGTATTGTCCTTAAATGCACATTCTCCAGTTAAGCTCTTTTCTATAATAGCTCGGTAGTCTGAATTGGCCACACCTTTTGTAATGTAAATTCATAGTCATTAGGGAGGTGGAACTAGTGTATTGGTAAATTTCTGGTTGGCTACATGGACCTCTGACATGGAATTTATTTTGCCATTGGACAACACATTGGTAGGACATCACAGGTATGCAGAGCTTCCTTTTTGAGCAGTCTCCCACTGCTCTTGGCTCCGCATTCATCTCAGGGCATACTGGGCATGCTGCATGGTGAGCAGGCCTTTCATTCTGTGGTCTCAAGGTGAACAAGTCACTTGAGTGCTACTTTGAGAGGTATAGAAGCATCTCCCTTTGGAATGAATGGTCTAACCATGATGCTGCAGTGTGACAAAGCAGCATCCTGATGAGAGATGCTATCATGGCTCTGCATCTCAGTAGGTTTAAACTGTTCATGGGAGGCATATTTGGAGTGTGCAGAACTTCTTTTTTAAGAGCAACACTGCAGGCAACACACTGAATATCTTCCTTTTTCAAGTATCTACTTGTATGGTACATTGAGATTTAAAATATTCCAGCTGGAGAGGTTCCTTACCACAGATGTGGGAGGGAACTTAACCAGCTTTAGGAGACCTTAATTATCTAATTTAATAAGAGGGTAATTTATATTCTACAGTGAGTTAAGTTGTGATACTAATTACTTCTACAGTTCCAGTAAAAGATCAGCCTTAGGTACCAAATGCAACAAAATCTACACTTAGGTTTTTCCAGTGTAGAAAGTTAATGAATAATGTACTCTAAAATGTAGTTACTCTAGACTACAAATTTGTATATTTTGTTTATTGAATCAAAAAGGTAGGTATTTCATAAGCTACAAGTGTGAGTTAAGATGGAGGTGTTGCCTTCATTATGACTCTTCACTTTTATGATGCATCCAGGAATATTACAAGGCAAAAGCACTGCGTTTGGCCAGCAGGGGCGATGGTTGGTAGGGTGTTTACCTGTTTCTGGGGATGAATTTCCACAACTAAACCCCTTGTGTGGAGGAGACACTGTTCCCCCACTATCACTGTGTGTGACAAGGAAATAGAGATATATGCTGCATGTTCTGTCTTACGAGTTACGATCTCACTGTTTTGGAATTTTAAAATGGCAGATGCTGACTTGCACCATATCTGTACAGCTCAGGACACCAATACCTCAAAGATTGCTTCTCCTCACATGAAATAACCTGGACCATGCCATTATCAACTGATACTATTCTCTGTGTGCATCAAGTTTGGAGCTGATGTAAATGTGCAGTCAATGGAGACACAACCATTGATTGAAGGTGCATAGCCCTGTATATACCAGGAGCACCTCGACCCCCATCGTTCAGCCCAGACTTGGAGGTCCAGCTCCAAGGGCCTTCTGGCAGTTCCCTTATTGTGAGAAGTGATGTTACCGGGAACCAGGCAGAAGGCCTTCTTGGTAGTTGTGCCCTCCTTGTGGAATGCCCTCCCATCAGATGTCTAAAGAGATAAACAATTACATTACTTTTTGCAGACATCTGAAGGCAGTCCTCTTTCAGGAAGCTTTTAATGTTTGATGTTTGGTTGTGTTCTTTTATATTCTGTTGGAAAGTGCCCGGAGTGGCTGGGGCAGCCCTGTCAGATGGGTAGAGAACATGAAATAAATTATTAGTATTAGTATTAGATACTGCATAAATGCATTCCGTGTGTGCCATCCCTGTGCCACCCATGCCTCCTCCCTGTTTTAATCACACCCCTGGCATATCTTCAGTGGATCAGCTCCACCAGCAGTGTTTCACTTGCATATCTGTCATGGCAGTAGCAAATTTCACATACTGCTGGCATGGCAGGGCTTCCATCAAATCCTATGGCACCTTATTCAGTGGCTCCTGAGCATATTTTTGCACCCTAAAACTCTTTTTCATTATTAACTTTATTTGATTGAGTATGATAAATAAAAAATGTTAGACCTTGGTCAGATGAACCGTTACAAACAATGTACAGTGGTACCTCAGGTTACACACACTTCGGGTTACAGACTCCGCTAACCCAGCAGCAGTACCTCGGGTTAAGAACTATACCTCAGGATGAGGACAGAAATGGCGTGGTGGTGGCACGGCGGCAGCGGGAGGCCCCATTAGCTAAAGTCGTACCTCAGGTTAAGAACAATTTCAGGTTAAGAACAGACCTCCGGAACGAATTAAGTTCGTAACCAGAGGTACCACTGTATAATCAAACTGAATATCATTTACTCTGTTATGGTGTAGCACACTAAAGTCAGAAAGGAATTGCTTTTGTTGGCATTCTAGAATAGTAGCTTTATTGGTATGTGGTACCAAATAAAATAAAATCCTCTGAGCATGACTCCAGGGGGCTTACCTCTAAGTAGATCTGCATAGAACTGGGAATTCTAATCATGCTAAAGATTGAAGCAAGGCCCTCTTTATTCTGGACTAGTTAACCCAGGACACTTTTGCCTCTGGCTCCAATTGTCCTCAATCCTTCCACTACCTGCATGCGGCCCTCAATGCATTACAGAGGGAATACAGTTCTCAACAGAAAAAATGAGCCCAGCCTTGCTTTGTATAAATAACCTGATTCACAATCACTAAGGAGATGTTGAATTGCCACTCTACACCTTAAACCACAGTATCATTTAATATGGATTAGCCAACTGTTTAACTATTGTGTTAAGTAGTTGAAACTGTCTTTTATTTGCCACTCTTCTAAAGCACATGGAAGCGTCCATTATTACAGCCTCCTATTGATTCTCGCCTTTCTTTTGGACTCAAGTGCTCCAATATGGATTGAAAATGCCGTCCATTGAACATTCAGAAGAGTGAGAATGCTTTAACCGTACTTTGACCAAGGTTTTTTTTTAACTGCAAAACAGTTGTTGAAGCATGTTAAATGATTACGTTAAGTGAGCTTGTGGAAACTTAACAGTCAGTTCAGTCACACATATTTGGAGAAAATGTCGAAGGTTTGATCAGGCTCCACAGCAAGAGTTAAAAACTTGTTATCAGTGGCATATGAAAACTATTCAGAAAAGGGTCTGTTCTGAAAGCCTGTTTGATTTCATTCTTGCCATGCTGAAATGTTTTTTAGAGAAAATGTCTGAGCTTTTCATTAGCATATTCTTATCCAGGTGAAGAACAAGCATCCTGTTTAGTATTATCCTGGGGAATCTGATAATTTAAGATACTCTTCTCAATTAGTCACAGTAGTCCCCTTTGGGAATGTGCCTGACCAATATCTCCTAAACAGTCCATGGACTGAAAATTGATGAAGGAACTAGAGGACGGCTTTTATAAGGCCAGAATGCTGCTCCTTATGATGAGCTCCTTTGTGATAGTACCTCTGAGGAATATCCTTAAGAGCAAGAGACTGACAGCAACTTTGTTTTTCCTCTCATGTGACATCAAAGCATGCCAAAATAGGTGGGATATTGGAACGGTATCGCTACCCTGCTTCCATTTTTATATGAGGAATGGCTGTTCTGTGGCTCTGCAGAAGTTGCTGGGCTACAGCTCCCTTCCTCCCTAATTATTGGTCATGCTGGAGGAGACCAAACAACATAGGGCCACAGGTTGCCATCCCTGTTTTATACCCTGGTCTGGCTCCCTGGCAGATAAAGAGTTTAGTAAGGAGCAGGTGTGTTGGCAAATGCATACAGCATAGCACACTCTTAATAGTTCTAGGTTCCTTGTTATGGAAGCCATATTAACTTTCCACAAAACAGATGGCATAGTCAGATGTTGTTGCCTTTGCCTTCACTATGTATAACCAGAGATCCACAATAAGAAAGAATGGTGTAGTGATAGTTCTAAGTGTCAATGTTTTTCTTTTGTAGGGAAGTTGATCAGGATTCTGATGGCCATATTAGCTTCAAAGACTTTGAATCGGCAATGAACTATGGACAGGATAATTTGTCAGCGCTTCCTCTCATCTAATGAAAGCAGCCAAAGAAAAAACTCCATAGCCAAGGTTTTCTAAAATCTACAAAACATTTTCCTTCAGAATCTTTTTTAAACAAATCAAGGTAGATATGCTGCCATGAACAAGCTGTCTTTTGAACCTTCTATGGAATGTATTGTGTCTTTAAACATATATTCTTTTTTTCCAATAAATTGTTTTTTGACTTCTGCTTCCTTTACATTTGCTGATTTTCCTCTTCATGAATATTGTTAATATGAGCAAAGCCAGCCGATAAAGCTGATTTGTTTGGAAGTGAAAGGGGGCAGTTTTTTATACTGTGAATGAATCCATCTATATAGAACGGGGTGCACAACCTACAGCCCTCCAGATGTTGCTGGACTACAACTCCCATCAGCTCCAGCCAGCCTAGCCAGTGATCAGTGAAGATGTGAGTTTTAGTCCAGAAACATCTGGAGGGCTGCAGTTTGTGCGCCCCTGATATAGAATAACCACATGCAACTCAGGAAGGGGGTCTGTGGAATTATCTGTCTAGGTTTTGATTTATTATACATAAATGTACATTTGTTTTCAAGCATTTTCAAAACACTTTACAGAAAAAATACATAATATAAGCACATAATCTGTAGTCTGGGGTTTGACAGGGTTGTCCAAAAAAAATATACTTGTGTGGCCCTTTGTGTGCCACCTTTCATCTCAATGAGCTTTTTAGGTAGCAATCCTGTGCAGGGGAGTAAGTTACAATGAAATCAGAAGCCCTTGCTTCCAAATACACATGTGTAAGATTGCTGCTGCTTCTTTGGCGATCACTCGTAGCCGAGTAAGATTGTCTTCCATGAACACAGTTTTAACAGTGAGTCTGTAAGTGACTGTGGAGGCCAATTCTGGATCCACACGTCCTTCCACAGTGGGGACATAGGTTTCTGGGCAAGAGTTGATCATGGTGAGGGTTTGCCAAGTGTGCCTTCCTCTTAGCATGTTTTTCCCTTTTGTCCTGAGTTTGAGCATCTTCAAAACTCACAACACCTTTGGTAAAGGCTGCTCTCCAATTGGAGCGTTCATAGGCCAGTTGTCGGTGTTTATACTACATTTTTTTAGATTTGCCTTGAGAGAGTCTTTGAACCTCTTGCTGACCCACCAGCATTACACTTTCCATTTTTAAGTTCGGAATAGGGTAGTTGCTTTGGAAGATGATAATCAGGCATCTGAACAACATGACCAGCCCAACGAAGCTGATGTTGAAGAATCATTGCTTTGACACTGGTGATCTTTGCTTCTTCCAGTACACTGACATAAGTTCACCTGTCTTCCCAAGTGATGTGTAAATTTTCTCTGAGATGGAATCTTTCGAGGAGTTGGAGATGGGGTTTATAAGTGGTCCATGTTACACAAGCGTACAGTAGGGTTGGTAGTACAATAGCTTTGTAAACAAGCATTTTGGTTTCCCTCAAATGTCCGGTCCTCAAACACTCTGCACTTCAGTCGGGAGAAAGCTGCACTGCTAGGCTTGCAAATAAACCTGAGTGGCGGGTTAAAGAGACTCATTTACCCAATGACATTCCTAGAGCTTCACAGCGGATGTAAACCTTGGTTTCCCACATTCAGACCCATACATTAGGCAAAGGACTGCACTTGTTTTTATTATCATCTGCCGTAATAATACACAGCATAAGTCCAGCATAACTTGAGTTCCTCATTTTGAAGCCAAAACCCATCTTCTGGGCTGGCATGGCAGAAGCTGTTGGTGCTGGTATGTTTGCACTTCACCCTTGACCTTGGTCACAGCATAATGGCTCCACGAATGGGTTGCTGCACAAGCAAATTAGTGCAGCCTTCATGACTTTCCTGGAATTAAGGGAACAGCTATCTGCATGAACCAAACTGCTCTAGGTCAGCTTTCCCCAGCTGGGTACTCTCCTGATGCTTTGAACTACAACTCCCATGCTGGCTGAGGCTGATGTGATGCAAACCATCTGCACAGCATCAATATTGCCTTAGCTCAACTAAATATAATGTTTAAGAATGGCCTGCTAGATAGAACCCAATGCCATTATTCACTAGTTCTTCAGTCAATTTCTAATAGTATTTTGTTCTCTGACATTCTGAAATGGTATTAAAGAATGTCACACCTCTTGTCCTTTACTTTAAGATTGGAGGGAAAGTTGTGTCCAATCATCCATAGACAAACGTGGACAACACCCGCATGCCGTTGTATATCGTAGTTGCCAGGTTCATATTTGTTGCATGTTTGGAGATGTCAAGTGTGAAGAGGACACACATGCTCCCACCAGCAAACATGCCTGCAGCTGGAGAGAGCAAATCAGCTCTTCGCTGAGAGAGTTTGGCAGAAGAACAACATTGTTTGCTATAACTGTGTTCTGTGTAGTATTGTCTTGACAGACAGTTCAAGCAAAACTTCACAGTTCTTTACTCATAAATGAGATGTGAAGTTTGACACCAAATGAAGATATCCGAAGAAGAACGAGGACATTAAAGATTCAGCACTTGTCAGAAGGCCTCCATAGTTAAACAGGAATTGCTATGACATTGCACTGTTGCACTTCAGAGCAACTCAGATTTCTGAAGATTATTGTTACCTCTGGATCTGAATGACATCACTTCTCATTGAAATGGCAATCTGCCATCTCTCACTTGAGTGACTTGCTTATACTATTTCTCTTGCAGTATGGTTTCAGATGGAGGTCTTCAAACTGTAGCTTACAGCTACCACTACTAATTTTTTTTTACTTTTCAGCACACGGAAAGGTCTCAGTACACATAACGAGAAATATCACAGATAAAAAACTGAGAAAAAGTACCTTTGCTTCATCTTTCAGCCCTACAAGAACAGCAAACCCATCAGAAAAGCAAGCACCAAATCCAAACATTTGAAAGCTCGCTTCTTTTCAACTCGCTTCTGAGGTTAGGCTGGCCCTCAAGTGCAAGAACGGTTGCTGTCTATCTGAATAGGAATCTTTCAAAAATCTGAGCAGGGGTCGAAAAGAGACATTGAAAGACGTAGGACCACACCTGATGTTCACCTGTGGGGATGCCTCCTCTCATTTAGTTTTCCTTTCCTTAGGCAAAATATTTTCATATTAGAAGTGTCTGGATGCATGCTATCCTGCCAGGAAGTTTATTTTGTTTCGTTTCTGATAATAAAAAGTTCTTCATTATAAGTGCATTTATGTACACACTGCTTAATATGGTGATGATATTTATATTATCAAACAAGGTCTCGATAAAACAATACCAAAGCAAAACAGCTCAATACAGAATAATAAGTCAATATGTTAAAGTATCTTACTCTGATGCATTAATTTGTGGGGTACTCCAGGAGTTGCCAGTCTTTGTGGGTTTATGGGCACATTTGCAAAGGAGAAACACACACACAGACATATGCAGCCAAGCACACATTGCAGCCTACTCTTATTGACTGTGATCAAATGGTTTTTAAAGCCTAATTTCAGTGACAGAGGCATATACCTGCAACCTGCAGACGCCATATATCTGCAACCTGTGGACACCATGTTGGTGACTCCTGGCCAACTCCATAATCATCTTTCCTATACTACAGATACCAGATTATTTTGAGCAGAGGTGCAGATGCCCTCCAGACTCAAACACTGAGGGATAGGGAATCTGTGACTATGCTGATGGGAGCAGGGATCCAATAACATGAGGTGCTGCAGATTCCTTATCCCTAATTGTGGCAGTACTCCGTACTAGCAATCTCAAGCTCAGAGAAGCAACCCAAAATGACCATTATAAAGGCAGTGGCTGGCTGTAAAGTGGTTTGTAATGGGGAGGGTGGGTGCATAAACAGTCAACCACACTTAAATAAAATAAAAATAAAGTAGCAAAACCAGGAGTTCTACCTAGTAGGAACACATCTGTCCCTTGATTTCCCTAGTTTTCTTGTCCTTAAAATGAAGGGAGGAAAGAGAAAATCCATGTAGTTCAGTGAACAGATAGTGAAATTTGGATTAGGGACGCCTAGATTCAAATCATGCCTCTATCAGCCTCATTCTATATTATTACTAGCAGGGAGTGCCCAAAAATGCCCCGGTATCTTTAGAAACCAAAACATATTGTGATTTTTAATGGATAGTGTAATTTGTGAGTTTGGACATGTCACACCAAAAATTGGGTGAAGTCAGTGCAAAGTCATGTTTTGGTCCAATATTCTCAACAGCTGGCCAAACCTATACCAAAAAACAGGAAAGTCATGCCTAAGTCATGTTTTGGTCTGCAATCTTAATTCAAAATGGCCAAATGTTGACATAGACCACCACCCTCATCTTGGGAACACTTGTGATGAGTTTGATGATTGCACATTGAGAGGTGACTGAACCCACACCTAAAAAAAGTCACACAAAAGCCATGGTTTGGTCCATCCATCTTGATTCAAAATGGTGTCCAAACAGTGATTAAGTCCACCGGCCGCAACTCAGGAAACCTTGTGCCAAGTTTGGCAACAATATCTTGAGAGGCAGCTGAACCTATGCCCCAAAATGAGTGAAGTCATGTGAAAGCAACGTTTCAGTCCGCCATCTTGATTTAGAGGTACAGGTGGTGTCCAAACATCGACAAATGTGGCCGAACCTATAGAAGACAAATGGACAAACCATTTCCCAAATATATATAGTAGATTATTATTATATTATCATAACCATCATCCCACCCTTTGCCCCAAGGTGGGTTATAAGCATTTAAAACACGACATGAATTGCAGCTAAAATAGTTTACTATAAAAAGGGTTAGGGTCTTAAAGATATACATCTCAGGTATCAAAGGCTGCCTTCCCTGTGGAACGCCCTCCCATCAGATGTCAAGGTGATAAAGAACTACAAAACTTTTTGAAGACGTCTGGAGGCAGCCCTGTATCAGGAAGGTTTTAATGTTTGACGTTTTATAATGTTTTTACAGCGGTACCTCTGGTTACCAACGCTTCGGGTTACAAGTTCCGCTAACCCGGAAATAGCTGCTCCACATTGCAAACTTTGTCCCAGGATGCAGGAGGCCCAATTAGCGAAAGCGCGCCTCAGGATAAGAAGGGTTTCAGCTTAAGAACGGACCTCCGGAATGAATTAAATTCGTAACCAGAGGTACCACTGTATATGTGTTGGAAGCTGCCCAGAGAGGCTGGGACAACCCAGTCAGATGGGTGGGGTGTTGTTGTTTTGTGTTGTTTTGTTGTTGTTG